ATTCACTTAATGATCAACTTGTACAACTTCCAATGCAGTACCATTGGGCATAATCAGATCTTGACAGTCTTCATGAAGACACCGCCGGCAACCCGCGAGGCAATGGACAAGCCGCACAAGCTTCAGGAYCTTGCTGATGGATACTTCCATGCAGGGAGGAAGGTGTCTCCAGTTGGAAACAATGTATTCTGTGAATAATTCCCATGGTCGAGTTTGATAAACACAGCAGCTTGTTAGATCTGTTAATCGATTTGCATTTCGCGGATCGCGTATCGCGTATCGGTTTGCGAAAGTATTGGTTTGCGAAAGCGTTTCGCGTATCAGTTTGCAAAACCGATTCAATACAACGCGTATCAATTCCACGCAGCAGGGATTCAACACAGCGATTCAACGCAACACGAACTTACAGGAGTGACGGCGTTCACCATGGTGGGGGAGGAAGGTTGGTTAGTTTCGTTGAGGTCTGTTTTGTTCACGACAGATTAGTTTAGTACAAATAGGAAATAGTGAGCCCACGCGTTACACCGTGTTGTTCCTAATGTTCTTCCTTAGTATACTACGCGTTACTGTGTTATACCATCTTTTTTGGGAATGCTTGGTTTTCGTGCATACCCTTCGTGGGAGTCGTTGAAACCAGAATATACCGCGTTGAAGATATTCAATGCTGCATCTCAATATATAATGTAATGAAGATAAGGTATGCAAACAATGCATGTGCATGCCGATCAATGCATGTGATTTGAAAGCGAACCTTGGTTCGTGGGATTGCATTGGGGTTCGTGGGATTGCATAACGCGTGCTTACTATGGATTCCGTTGAAATCCCGGTTTTCATTGGTATACTTCTAATCCCGGTTCTCATCGTTACTATCAGCATTTTTTGGGAACTATCAGCAAAATAGAGAACAACACGGTGTAATGCGTAGTAACAAAGAACTAATTGCTAATCGATGAGCTCATTATTTGGCTTCTTGCTCCTATTTCGCTGTTTGCTGTTTGCTGCTGTATGTTGAATCGAATCGTAATCGTTAATCATTGCTAACAAGAAGATTGAATTGGTTGCTATCACCATGGGATTTTCTGGGATTATTCACTATCAGTATCAGTGCGTTGGCGCTTACTGCTGACGATGTTACCACCAGCGAGTGCCATTGCAATGGTTTCAGCCATGGTAAGCCAACGTTTGTCTCTTGCCTCTTCCCGTTGCACTCTTGCGGCTTCCATTTCAGCAGCCAGTTTTGCTCTTTCAGCTTCCCTCTCATCAGCCTTCTTCTCTCTTTCAGCTTCCCTCTTGTCTCTGTCAGCGTCTCTCTTGTGTCTGTCAGCGTCTCTCTTATCCTGTTGCATGAGGTAACCCTTAAGAACAGCATCCTGTTCAGCAATTTCCTTCTTCAGTCTTCCATACGATCTCTTTCTTGGTGTTGGTGCTGTCACGACAATGGGCCCTTCTTGTTGTTTCTTGTCATCGACAATGGCGGTCGAGTCGGAAGTTGATGCTGTTTTGTTGCTTGATTTGCTTGATTTGCTTGCTTTTGGAGTCAAAGCGTACTGCAAGTTGCTTGGTTTGCTTGCTTTTGGAGTCGAAGCGTACTGCAAGTCCTCATCCAAGTCCTTGATATCCTCATCATCGATGTAACCTTTGACTGGATCAAAGGTCTCCTCTCCATTTCCAATGTTTGCCTTGATCCCGATCAAGTGATGGGCCTCTCTTGCAAGGCGGACTGACTCAGGAATATTTGGGTGTCCAGTCGGTGCCTTCTGCCTCCTCAATCGATTGAACTTGGTCTTAATGGATTCCTTGCTCCTACCATAGGGCCATTCTTGTCCATGTCTGTAAACCACCATATCCCAATCAGTCTTAGCAATGGGGAGGATCTCCTTGATGAGCGTCATCAATGAGATAAGCTCATCTTTGGTGTAGTTTGAGGAACCTCCCTTACGGCCGGTCGGCTTGTTCTTTGTTGATTGACCTCCTCCTGCTGCTGCTGGGGGGAAGCGTCCTCCGTTGCAAGGAGGAATGGTAGCATAAGGACCAGTAGGGGATGGCATCTCTCCTGCTCGCGGAATGAATATTGTGTGAGGGATCTCTTCCCCTTGCGTTGCTTGAGACAAGGCCTCCAGCAGTTGCGCCTCTCTTTGTTTCAGTCTAAGGTATAGAGCAGTGACTAACACAGGGGACATCATGTTTTATGTCTTACACCGTGATGGCGCCGGCGCTTTCTTGCTTCATTCTTAAAAGATTTAGTAACGTAGTAAAAATTTATTCCCGTCATAAATTTGGCGCTTCATTTCAGTTGAGTCTTACAACGGAATTTGATTCTTGGATTCCAGTCTAGATTTAGCAATCTGTAAGGCCGGGGGGGGGGGCCTTACAGAAAGTCTAAATATTGAGTCTAGAAAGTCTAAATTTGGTCTGTCTGTCTATCAATATTTAGACTTTCTAGACTATCGGGAATGACCCATTACATCACACACAGAACATCATCTATCCAACAGATCATAGTCTATCTAAAACGTCAATCGAAAACGAACTGCGAAAATCGACACCAACAAAATTGATTGCGAAACGCCGGTTATAGAGCATCCAATCGGCATGGGCAACGCCGACTGCTCATTCGATGGTATCTAATTGTAACGCACAGTACCTTGCGCGAGAAAAAGTGCAAGAATGACATGCATAAAGTGCTTCCAAGTACACAAACAAATAATTGCTTTGGGAGTAGTTTTCCTGGTTCGGACAAGCCTCAATTCGTTCGCCCGGGGCTTTACCTCTCACAAACCAATGGCGAACAACATGGGCGCAGCATCACAGACGACGAGGAGGATAACCTTCCATTGGAATGTTAGAGTAAATCCAAAAGGCTTTTCCTCCTCCCCTCCTCCTCGTCCTCGGCGTGACACAAGGTTGCTCTCATCGTTGTTGCCATCGCCGTTGCCATCTAGCTCCAACTCGAATTCTCCCAATGCATCTCTACCAATCGTATTGTCACCTCTGGATGAAAATTATTTCTTGAACCAAGTAGAAACCACGATTGCGAGAGTCTTTCGTCAACAACAACAGCATGGAGATCCTAATGACGTAAATATTTTGGACCTACCGAAAGAGCAACGAGAAGCCTTTGGAATCGGACGTAACCTTGATAAACGACTGAAATCATTAAGGAAAAACAACGATTGTCCCCGCTGCTGGATGCAACGAAAGCATTGCATTTGTAGCGCCTGCCCTAGTGTGGTAAATGATGGCAGTGAAATTCATGGTAGCAACGATTACAACAGCGGCAGTTTGAAACGCATTTTCTTGGTCATGCATCACAAGGAAATCGGATTGAAAGTCGATACGGCAAAATTGATTTTGTCGTCGTTTCCTTTCCAGTCCAAACTAGTCGTGGGAGGTATTGGGCCCGAGCATCAACATAGTATGCAGGAAATGTTGGAATCTATCCATGATTCGAAACGAACCACCCTATTGCTGTTTCCCGACGAAACGGCCAAGACCCTGGCTGAAATTGTCAACCCCCAAAAAAGCACCAGGGAGGAAAGACAACCTTCCAAAGATTGCGAAAAATGCAAGGAAAAAACTCAAGTCAACGAGAGAAGCATGGATACGTATGATATCATCGTACTTGATGGGACCTGGGCCCAGGCTCGAAAATTTCACTCGCGGTATTTCCCGTCGGACGAGTCGCCCCCATCTCTTCAGCGTGTCCAGCTTAGCGAAGGTTCTGTTGATATATTAAACAAAGGATCTACCGAAACGGGGCATCAGTTACGAAGGCACGACATAGCATGGCGACAGGTTGGTACCTTTGAAGCCTTTCGGCTCTTCATGAGAGATTGGTCCCGGGAATTCGCTTTCACGGCGAGAAATGACGAATTTGAATTGTGGAAGCAGATTGAATCCTACCAACGCATTTCAAACGATGCTGCTTTGAGGGAGTTAGGTCCACCGAGATTCGAATCGAAATAATTTTTTAGAGTAAGGTAACTCAGTTTTAATAGCAAAATAATGATTCGACTCTTTATAGTAAGAAGTTATTGAGCGTTCCCTACGCGGCATAGCATTGGCTTCTGATACGAGCTTCGTCAATCGCTGTCACTGTCGTCCATCATTGCGGCAAAAACTCCTCCGGATCCACCGGAGGTTTTCTTCTTTGCTCCTCTGACTTTCCCGCGAGCCTTGGCTACGGGTCTTCTTCCCAAGGATGACGAGGACATCCAGGCACTAGTGTTAGTACTACTACTCTTTTTTGCGCTCGTGCTGGACTTTTTGGCGGAGGCCTTGCTGGCCTGCTTCGCTGCCGCCTTGCTTTTCTTTACCCGTAGCGCAAAGGATGCATCGTCCTCAAACCATCCTCGACTGTCGTTTTCGAGTTGGGTTATCTCCTCGAGGATTTCGTCTTTTCGTGCAAGCGTCTTGGTTTCCTTCACCGACAACAGTCTCCCCTTGGTGCTGTCTTCTAGCTTTAGCAAGGGAATCAGTTCGACATTCAAATTCTCTATTTCGCTCTGGTACCGTAATGGTGCGGGATTCTTCGGAGTTATCTTCCTCAACATGGCCTGTCGCTGTTGCACTTTTGTTTTCATGTTGCTAAGTTTCTCAGCCTTCTTTGGCTTGTTCTCTATTTTCGCAGCCTCCAAGTCGGCATTGATCGTATCTAAACGATCAGAAACCTGCGTCAACAGCTGCTTGTGCTCTTCTGGGGTGATATTTCCGTCGGTTTCGACTTGTTTTTGCATCGCCTCTTTGACAATGTTGTGTTTTTCTTTGAGATCATCAACAGACATAGTATCGTAGAAAGCTTGTTCGTTGTCATCGAGTATCACTCCTTCCATGAGGCGCTCTTCCAAACTAGAAACAAGCCTCTGGATGTCAGAAATCGCAGCATTGCAGCCTTTTTTCTGGCTCCACGAAGGACAACGATTCTTCAAGAGGTTTGGAAACATGCTGATCGGGGACAGGGCAATCATCTCCTCCGGACTTCCGCGTTGCAACAAAAGAGAATCGTCACTCCCACTTGCACCACCGCCTTCGTTGTCATCACCACCCCCCGGATCGCTGGCATCGTTGATCCTAGGAAAGACAACGACTGTTTTCAAGTTCTTTCCAGTATCGTGCTGGAGCTTGAACAACCCGGCACACTCGCGTACACACGATGCCGCCCTGTCCTCGTCAAACCCCAAGGCTCGCAGAGAGGACGTCACGGCCTTGGCACATCCCTCGTCGTATTTTTGTCGCCCGAGCTTTCCCGCGCCCGTAACAAATGTGATCCGAATCATTTCGTCAATGGGAAAGGGGTCCTTGAAGGCTTGGGTGATGTTGGTGGTCACGGTTGCCGGGGTCTGCCCCGCTAAATCAAAGGTATCGCTCTCCGTTGAGCCTCGAATCGATGCTGCTAGTCCCGATGCCATAGTTGCTGCTATTTAGGAGTTTTCGTCTCTACCAAAATTGAAAAACAGCAAGATGGGAAAAAGGTGCACTGCCAGCTTGTACCGTAGTTATGACTGACTTCTGGTTTCCCGTAATCGTCAACAAATAACATTAATAATAAGATTACTGTATCCGATTTCAATTTGACTCTGTCAATAACCTATTTTCTACGAAGCAGAAGTACGGTACTCGTATTATTCAATTATTTTCCGCGTGTCTCGTGATCTTCAATCGGCTCAGCGTGAAGTCGTTTTAGTTCGCATAACTATTTAATGTTTTTATTTTAATCACGAGTATTTTTGAGGCGACGGAAAATGAGACTAAAGAAGTTAAATTAAAAAGCTTTTTCGATTATTTTCAGCCGCGCGCGTTCATCAATCAATCAGCTATTCAGCTATCGGTATGTTTATCGGTATGTTTACCAGAAGATCATGGCGCTCTGTGATCCATAATCCTGTGCAATCCATCGAGCAGCAAGGCCTCTAAATTGCATCTTCGACCTCTATCCACAGTTCGTCACGTATTCTCTTCAGAATAATACCGCAATGGTGTTGACGAAAGATTTAGAAACAACTTTATTGCAACGACAAAATCGTCGAAATAAATTGGTGACACGAAATCCCCAGCTATTAAGAGTCCAGGATGCCCTTGAACACATCCTCGTTGTAGGTGCACATGTTCGGCACAATGATTGGCGACGCAAAGAATTTCAACGACTGAATCAAAGCCAATCTGTAGGTGATCGGAACAACAATCACAATGGAAGGCAACGAAAAAGGCGTAAAAAACAAACGGTGGCATCGGTAACAACAATTCACGCAGAAGATTTCCGAATATACGGAACCAGCAACGACGTTCCGCGGACGAGAGATATACCGACGCAAGAATGGCGATCCGAAAGAGGAACGAAAGAGCAAGAACAAACGAGAAATCGAATCGATGATTCAGAATGGAACGTCGAGCACGGCGATTCTGTTCCGCCCATTCTTTTTCGAATGGCGAGGCTTTCTCAAGAATTCCCATCGGAAGAACAATTACGGTTATTCAACGACCCAAGGTCATCCCGCATGAAATCACTGCAAAGCACCAATATCACCGTGGACGATAGAGACGTACCGCGTTCATTGATCGAACGGTGCTGGGAACGGGCAGTGCACGCTGCCTCGACCGCAATTGTTACTCCGGTGGCGAACGGGATAGTGATGGACCCCGCTGCGACCGCCCGGGGCTCTGGGAACCAGAATGAGTACTTACATTTTGATTCAAGTTTACCGCTCTCGCAAGAAATGTGTCGGAAAAAATGCGAGTCACTAGGTGTCGATATAGACTCGCTTCGACAAAAAGCACGACCGAGAAAGCAAGCCCCGTCGTTGGTAGCATCGCCACCAGAAGTATGCCCACGATGCACTCGTTCCTTTGAAACGCCCAATGAATTGCTCCTTCATTATTATGGGAATGAGGAGGCAATAGGATGTTGTAGGGCACTCATTCGCCCGAAGCAACTGAAACTTGTCCGGACACTGCTACAGAGTCATGTCCAATCTCAAACCGACCAACTCTTGAGCATTATTCTTTCTCGGGCGAAAGCAGAAGAAAACGCAAGCGAGGCTGATGAGCATCTTCACCAGCCTACTGCCGATCGGTCGGACGGAAATACAATAAACAAAAGAAAGGAAGAAAACCGAACTCTGGAGTGGAAAGATGTTTGTCAGTTCCTGGAGGACGCCGTAAAAAATCCGACGGTGATCCAAGATCATCGCAGCGAAGCAAGGCATCCAGTCCAACAAAGTTTGGAAACAGCGAAAGGGGCCGATAAAAAAAAAGTCGCGAGTGCACCCTGGCCGCTTATATTGAATCCGATGGTTTTGGAGGCCGCCAACAATAGATTGGTCGATAGATATGCCAATCTTCCCCGCTAAAAAGGAAGGGGACGAACGCGCGAACGATTCAACTCGCTGCTAGCTTTCGTGTACAAAAGGTCTTTCCCTTGTTCATCACAGATCAACAGCTTTGTTATGCGGATCAAATTGAAGAGAGAAGCTCCCAGAGATAAGGAAGCGACAACACGCAATTCATTATAAATCGCTATTTTTCACCGAGTATTGAGACCCCGAGGGTTGATAAATACGTGTGCTTCGTTTGAAAGAAAGTCAATCTAGCAACAAATACAATATGCCCGACTGAAATCAACGCCTCTCTGCCGTTTCACGCCACTGACAATTTCAAGGCGTACACTAATTCAGTTTTCAGAAAATTATTCTTCGCGTGATGTCTCTGCTGCATCGACAACTATTTTCCATGCCTGTTGAATTCAGATCATCTCAAACTGCTCTGATCCAACTATGAACAGATTGCTACCATTAGAAATGCGAAAAGAAACGCATAGATTTGCGTACTTGAAAATTCCGCAGCGGAGGAGATGTCTGGTGGGTTTGAAGCTTCTGTTGAGCCATTTATTTCTCGACCGATATATTCGATACGAATCACTTTTGCACCTCGACCTCTCGTTCCATCACTTGTGACGATCAACCTTCCACAACTATCGAAAGCTACATCCACTGGGCGAAACCCATCTTCCCACTTAGCATTTGGTGGTGAATGTGCCAATAGGTCAATTGGCTCGCCTATCGCATCACCACTTTCATCCATTTGAACATATACAACTTTATACCCGGTAGGTACATCTCGATTCCACGAACCATGGTATGCGATGAAGGCAAAACCATTCATTTCTTCTGGAAATGACTTGACTCCATTACAAGCCTCCGACACTACTTCTTGAGCGGGTAGCCAGTTGAAAAATGTGATTCCAAGAGGTGCCGAATGAGCTTGCATAGGTACCACGGGGGCTATGTAATCATTGCGACACTCTTCGTCTGTAATTGTGCCATCCTCAAAAAAACTAGGCCACGCCCATACCATGCCTCTACCAATACCAGTGGGGGCTGGGAGATTGTATTCCGTCCAACAGTATGGATATCCCCAGTGCTTCCCAGCATCCTCCGGACGAAATCTATTCAATTCTTCAGCCTAGTGGTGTGATTAACGGACGAGAAATGGTGAGCATTCAGTCTAATCGTCGATAAACTGTTTTTTCTTTCTGGCGGTGAATTCGACTTACAGGCTAAGCATTATCAAAATCATTTGAAATAAAAATAAATTCGATGAGCACAAGCAATTTTGCATGATAAAAAATGCGAGACAGTCTCGCAAGGCACAATACGTAACTTACGTTGTCTTCATGTATATCACCACCCAGATCTTCTCGTACGAGATTGTCTGCACTGTTTTCTACACCCCAAAGTATACCGTGCTTGTCAAAAGCTAAGCCGACTTCATTGCGCAGCCCATCCGCAAAAACCTCCATCGTCTGAAAGTCTTGAGGAAATGTGACTGAGGGATCACTGATATTGAACCTTCGTATTCTCGATCGATAGGAGTCGCCGTCCACGTTTTTATTCGAACCTACCGAAATGTACAGCATTCCTGATTTGTCGAATTCGAGGGTCCGTGTCTTATGGCCTAAGGGAGCGCCTCCCATACCGTCCTCATTAATGTTGCTCACTACAACCTCCTCGTTAACAAGGGGAAAGGCATTGTAATTCATTGAAACGCTACCTGCAATATCGCCCTCGTACAACGGCCACCTGTACACCGTCGAGTCGCTAGAAGCGTAGATGTAACCATCGTAAATGGCCAATCCATGATTCAGATTACTCGCAGAAGCAACGATTGCTTTGCTATCAGGAATCCCGTCCCCGTCAGAGTCGAAGAGATGCACGATGGACTGTGTTTCTCTTTCCAGGACAAAGATTTCGTCGGAATCTCCGTGGACACGCACGCTTCTCGGCCTCGAAACTGTATGTGGAAAACAACAGAAGAGAAAGCAAAAGATACGATTAATGAAATGAAATTCTGACCTCTAGTAATATGGATGAGTTTTTCGCTTCGTCCGTAGAGTCTGTTGTTGATGTAACGTACCGCTTAGGGGTAGTTCGACTGCACAAAATCCATCCGCAATTATTCCATTTGCTAACCCACAAAAAGACATGGTTTTGGCTTATTCTTCTTTGCGATAAATTTAGTAGCGTACAACAACAGATTCCTGTCCTCAGGTGATCGAATGATTGCTGATGATAACGCGTTGTGAGCTGTTGTTGGAGAAAACTAAGAACGATGATGCCTCAAACACGTAACATGACGAGAAACAAGAGATTTTTAATGAAAATTTTTGTTAAAATTCAGAATTATTGTCGTACGTAGTTTGCCGTTGGAATCCTACTGAACAATACGTTACGGAAGCTTACGAATACGTTTCGTTCTGTATCGTATGGCATGCAATGTGCAATGTCTGATTATTTGGGGATTGGGTGGATCTTCGTCAAAGCAGAGATGAACAGCCCCTCGTCATTGTTGTACGGTAGACTGCCTTCGTCCAAGGAGGCAGGGGTCCACACACAGCCCCTTAATATTCTTCTCTAAAGTAAGAATTTACCCTCGTCGTACCGGTACCAATGCACTAGAGATGTCACGTCGTTACAAATCGATGACCAAAAAGATGTGGACGAATCTGTCTGGGGATTTCTACAAGTACCTGGTACGTACTGTTATTCATAGGAGTCCCACGACCTGATGCTCTACCGTACCAGTACGCACCTCACTACGTGAAAACTATGACCCCCTACCGTACGAGTACGGTACCCTTAGTACGCACCGTACCATAACACGGTACGTACGTATTGCACAGGCTTTTCCGAAAAGTTGAACAACAGCGATTCTTTCTGTCATCGGCAAACAACAGTCGACGACAATCAGATTACGAATTACGGTAGACAACGATTCCTAATACAGTTGTCCACTTTAGAATTGGCCAAGAGAGAAAGTAAAGAATTGCAACGTTCAGTGTCAACCAGCCAGACCATTCAGATGGCGCTAATAACAAGAGCCTTGCGCTTCATAATAATTTCTTCTATCTTGTCATCAGCCTACTCATCTTCTATCAATACACCGGGATCGACGTCGAGACGAACGAGACCTCCGAACGAGACCTCTCAAACTGCACAGGTACAACAATCCTTGCCCTGTGATGGTAGGGCCATAGTGACTAGCAACCGACGAGCGTGTGGATTTTTTGTTTGGGACTTGCCCTCCGCTATTCTCTACAAGTGGTGCCACAGATTGCTGAAGGATCGCATTTACGAAGGCAAAGGAGGCTATCTATTTGTGAGGTACGAGAGCAACTCCATATTGAAGCTTCTATATCCTTGTAGTAGATATAGTCCCGACAAGTGCATGATTTGTGGGGGAAGCTTTCATGATCATCTGGAACTATGGTGGTCAAAACATTTGTACTCACCCTACGATCAGTACCTGGACAAGACATATAACGACGCATTAACAATAATTGAAGAGGATGACGGGCGAGGGCAGCGTCGTCATGGTGTATCTGCTGATAATATTGGGAATAAAATAATTCGAAATCGAGTGGATCGAAACAGCAGACCGTCGCGAAGAAGCTCTTCCTCAATCCATTCTCTAACGGATCCACCTGCGTTTAATTTTCACAAACGCTACGTTGAGGATGTCACCGACCTTGTTAAAAAAATTGCGAATCTCAAAAGCAAACAACAAGTGAAGCTGATAAAGAAGAGAATAAAGCACCTGGCGAAAAATAGACGCCACGATGTTTGTAGCGTCCCAGCAACCGATGTGACTTACGTTGCTCCTGGTACTGCTGCTGGCTTTATCGACAACGAATTATACACAAAAAGGGATTTTCTCGTCGATTTCTTGACTCTCATGGCCAGACAACCTGTCAATGAAATGATTCAATTGCAAGTTGAGGAGTATACGGAAAGGCGACTTAAAAACTCTAGGATCATCAATCGACTGGGTCAACAATCAACTTCAAACTAATAGGAACTTCGTGAACTACAAGATTTATACGTGGGATTAAGCTCCGATCCATACAAGATTTTTTGTAAAATTTCTAGTTTTTCTTGATTCGGTAGTGCAATGCGCCATTCCAGACCCTGCTCTGGAAAATAGAACCAAACTGAGATGCAACACCGACTCCCTCAAAAATCGTAAGATTGTCATCGCTACGGACGGGATTGCCGGTTCCGTGACCTTCAGTGTAACGCAGACCCCTCCCATTTTCGATGAAAATATAGAATGCCTGGAGTTTGTCCTTCTTCAACGTAATAACATCGGAGTGATCGAGCAGCACCTTGGTCGCAACATTGATTCCTTTTCCCTTTACGTTCATTTTTGCTAGCAATATCCAATCATCGCGTTTGTTCTCTGAACCGGTAAAAGGCCCTTCTTTGGTATATACGTGAACACACACCGTGTCGCTATCAATGAGGTGAAGATCGAATCCATCCATATCAAGATCGTGTTTAGGCAAAACGTCAAACATTACACCGTCTTGACCGGACCCTCCATCGAAAGTAGTCTCTAGGCGACGTCCACCACTCCGTTCGCCGTCTTCTGAAAGGACGTCGTAAAAAATACCCCCATTCCAGATTCGATTTTGGTATACTTTACCAAATGGCCGTGTTAATCCCACACCTTCGTATACGGTCAGATCCTCGTTTGACACAGATACGCTCCCAGCTGCAATCCCATTCGTGTATCTAAATCTACCTTTGGTCAAAACGAGATAAAAACCATAGCGAGTGTTGGCATTTAGAGGTAAATTTTCGATGTCCATACAGCTCTTTTTCCCTCTCCCATTACCATCAACAGATACAACAACACTTCTTTGCCACAGCCACGGTTTGTTTTCAAACGAGATGTGAGTGCCGGTCCTGGTCCAAAGCTCGACGTTGACGGTTTCATCCACGGCAAGATTCAAGTAAATTTTTCGTATGTTGATGTCTTTCACGGGGAGTATATCAAACATAGTGCCTGACGCCCCATTTCCACCAAGAAATGCAGATGACAGTTCATTCATTAAATTTACAGAAAATGACATGGAAGGAGCGGAATGACTGATTTGATGAATCAATATTCCTGTTCGGGCTGGTATCTTCTGATAAGAGTCCGTGCTTGGATAGGGACCTTCCATAAAATTTACTGATGGAGCCAAGAAATCAACTCCTTCTTTATGGAAGAGATCAAATTCATCACCGTTGTTGCGTCTATTTTCGAGATCGTATGCCCCATCTGCTTGAAGAAGCGATACCTTGTAATGTTTCCCATTCACTGGCCATGGAATTCCTTCTTGTTCAGGAAAACCTTCAACATTTGAAGCAATCTCATCGATGTGCCAGATAGCGAGCCCACCTTGCGGAAGAAAAAAGTCGAAACCAATGGGTTGCCGATTTTCGATGAGCAAATATTCAGTCCCCTCATCGCTCAAATTTAATCGAAAGATTTGGTCACACGAGTGAGAGGCTTCAATAATAAAATTTCCAGATTTATCTATCACAAAAGGATCGAGCCATCCGGCTTTCATCTTAGACCAAGGAGACAAAATTGGAGGATAAAGTTGACTTAGATGAAAGTATGGTGGGAAACCCCAATGATTCGACATAAAATCGTACGAACCGACACCATTGCCTTCTGCTGTACCATACAAATCAGGAAGACCTGAAAAAAAATGTCGAAAATTGTTTAATGATTTAATGAGTAAGAGATTGGATTGCCACGAAGGAATGAATTTTTGTAGATACTAAGAATATCATAAATGAAGACTTTCTTACCTAGAGCATGCCCAATCTCGTGACAAATCACTCCAATCCTACCGATTGATGCACCTGATGCACCATATAGAGCCGGTGCAGTTCCGTATTGATAAACAAAAGCGTCACTACTCTTATTTCCTCTATCAGGGAACCATCTGCGCTTTTTCGGGAGCTTTCGATGATGAGACCAGATTCGGTCATTTCCATTCGCACCGTCTTCGTCTTCACCATTGACTTCAGAAGCATAGCCAGAATGTATAAGAGTCACCATATCTACCTTTCCATCTCCATTGCCATCAAAGTCAGAAAAGCTCGACACCTCGAAATTATCCCGAAGAGCGTCCATAGCACTATGCAACGCTTCCATATACTCAGAAGTAGCAAAACCACCGACCCCACCAGCGTAGTATGCTTCGGTCTCTGGTAAATCTACCCATCCATACACCGTTGACTCTATAATGAGCTTCCCGTATGAATTCACTCTGTAAACATCCCGAACACTCCCTGTAGGGGCAAGGTCGTGATGTTCATTATTTTCTCCGTCATGATTGAAAACAATATTGAAATCTTCAGAAGTGGGCAGAATTCTGTTCTTGTGATTTTTAAAGCGAACAAGAATAACCAAGTTTTTTAATGTCCCAGTAGAAGGTACTTGCAACTGACGATGATGAAACTGGTGGCCTTCAACGAGTCGCCTTTTCGTTTGATCTTTTGAGTGAGGGAAGGGAAGAAGGCTCTTAGGTATTCCTGCCTCTTTTGGGTCACTCTCACCAACTGTGATTCCACTAGAAACCAGATGTCCACTGGTTTCGTTCCTAATTGCATACACAAAGTTTGATGTGTATTCATCCTGAATGACTGTGTATCCGTTGATATCAGCAACTACCGAGTCGACTGGACTAGATCCATGATAAAACAGATCACGGATACGACCGCCTACGTCTTGGTGAAGTTGAAACGGATAGGGGTTTGCTGGTCCTGAGTTGACCACATCAAACGATCCGATCAATATGATGAAGAGGATCATACTCCCGTGCGCCCTGTCGAAAATTAGTACGGAGTAGAAAGACATTGTTGGCTAACTTCACTAGAGATAATCTACAATAGGTCGGGTGTGCACGGACGACTCACTTTTTGATTGTCATGGTTCTTATTGCTTTGTGTGAATCCTAAGAAATTGAATTGCAAACCTGGTTTTTGTACTTTATGTCAAAAAGCATTTATGAAACGAATTCGTTACTTTTTCCATGAAGATAGGAGTGTTTTCTTCCTGTCAGTTGGTTACTTTTTTCTAGTAGTAGTGAGTACGAGCTGGGAATATTCTTTTGATCATTTCACTACTACCAATAGTAGAAGTATTTCCTTCCTAACACATTCATAAAATTGATTGATAACAGGTTTGTCGGAAGATAATTTGTTTTCATAGTACAATTGCCTCAAAGAGCTGGTTCCCCCCTTTGACTGGTTTTTCAAATCATTTTGTTCTCAACAGTCGCACGTCGTGTTCTTGGCATTGCTGCTGCTGATGGAATGAAAAGTACTTCTGCTAGAAAAAGTTGTTATTCGCTGGCGTGCGTGCCCTGTACCGGTACATCTACCTCCTCTAACGAGTTACGTGTAATAGGTTTGAAAATTAATTTTCCTGGTTTCAACACTCCCTCAATCTTTCGTCTCTCCAACGAGTAAATCCTATTCGTTTTACCGGTATGTACTCGTACTAGAACGAAAAGAAGAAAAATACCAAAAAATACTTTGCAGCTGCCCACCGAAGTACGATTACGGTACTGTACGTAACCTTCTCCACCGTAGCTACTGTAGGCAAATATGTACGATAGCTGCCGGTAGCACAAATTTCTGTCGCACGGATGCAGGTATTTTATTTTGTTGGTTTAAACCAAAAAGTGACCTTCTGTTCTTCTTGTGTGAACGAGAGTCCCCCGGCGCGCGCCGGCGCTCAGAATAAAAATTTAAATGTTCGATCAAAATAATGGAATGAAATCAGTCATGGCTGCATGTTGGAGGGCGAGCGTTAACGCATCACCGTAAACGCTATCGATCAAACCCAGGTTGGAGACTACAGTATCATACAACAGGTGTTGTTGCGGACACTCTGTCTACCTATTTCATTTACATGTCACGTGACACAGCCACTTTTTCTGTGAATAAAAACAATGCACATCCAGCAGGTTGTGATCGACGGATTCAAATCCTATGCTCGTCGAACAGTGGTGGAAGGGTGAGTCGATCTGACGATTTGCTTGACAGGATTTAGTACATGGCTCCGCCATCATCTCATATATTTTATGGCAAACTTCACGTCTTCTTTCTCGCAGATTTGATCCACATTTCAACGCAATCACGGGTTTGAATGGTTCGGGAAAATCAAATATTCTAGATTCGATATGTTTCGTCTTGGGGATTACAAATTTAAGCCAGGTTCGAGCTGGTAATCTCTCCGAACTTGTTTACAAGCAAGGGCAGGCTGGTGTTACCAAGGCTAGTGTTACTGTCGTATTCAACAACGAAGATGAAGCGAGCTCACCAGTTGGTTACGAACAATGCAAGGAAGTCACCGTTACTCGTCAGGTTTTGCTTGGAGGAAAATCGAAATACCTCATCAATGGGCGCAATTCACCTGCTGGTCAAGTTCAAAATTTATTTCATTCCGTACAACTCAACGTCAATAATCCTCACTTTCTCATTATGCAAGGTAGAATCACCAAAGTACTAAACATGAAACCACACGAGATCCTAGGAATGGTTGAAGAGGCTGCTGGGACACGAATGTACGAAACGAAAAGAATTGCTGCAATCAAAACTATCGATAAAAAGCAAGCTAAGGTGGACGAATTGAATTCTGTCCTGTCGGAAGAAATTACTCCTACGTTGGAAAGGCTGCGAGGTGAGAAGCAAAGCTATCTTATGTGGAGTAAAAATAACGCTGATATCGAACGTATTGAACGATTCGTGGTTGCAAGTGATTTTCTCAGAGCGCAACAAGCATTAGACAATAATGTGGAGGGTTCCTCTGAGATGGAGGATAAAGTAACTGAATTAGAGACTCAGGTAGAAACATACGAGGGCCAAATAGAGGAACATGACAACGCTGCGAGCGAATTATCATCCAAACTCAAGGGGGAGTTTGATCAGTCACATTCGAAGCTGAAAAAGGAGGAGGAGAAACTATCAAAACAACTTGTTAAGGTAACCTCCACATGGCAAAATAGTCAGGAATTGACAAAGAAAGCAGAGACAGATCTCGCAGATGCTAGAGCGCTTGTAACTGAAACAAAGAACTTATGTAATGAAAAAGAAAAGCAGATTTCTCAAGATGCGAAAGCTGTTGAGGATATTGTTTCTGCAAAAGAGGAAGCAGAGCGTACTCTAGAGGACCTCAGCTTGAAGTTTCAGAATATGTCGGCCGGAATATCCATGTCTCAAGGAAACGAAGGTATGACTCTTCCGGACCAGATAGCAAAGGCTCATTCCGATTCTAAAACAGCCGAAGCCAAGGTCAAACAAGCGACGATGAAGATCAAACATTTGACAAAATCACTGACGGTAAGTATTGTCGTGATCAAAATATGCATCGAGATTTGTAATTTCTCTCTTGAAGGAACTCCTACTTGCTAGACATTTTATTCGTGCCCTAACCTAACTGTCTGGAACGACTTTGTAGTCTGTCGAAAAGCAAATGAAGAAAGAGCAAAAGAGCGCAGATACGCTAAACAGACGACGTGAAGCATCAACTCAAAAGGCTGAAAAATTTCGAAAGCTGCTTTCAGAACTTAATTTTGATCAAGACGAATTCGCGAAACTAGATCAAGAAAAAGATCACTTGACTTCTTCTGTGGAAGAACTCAATGGCATCGTTGAAACTCTAACAGCTCAGCTTGGAAGTCGTCTTGCATTTAACTATTCAGATCCCGTACGTGGGTTTGACCGCTCCAAGGTCAAAGGTTTAGTGGCCAAGCTAATCCAAGTGCAGAACCCAGTTCATGCTACAGCTCTCGAAGTTGTTGCTGGAGGAAAGTTGTATCAAGTAGTGGTTGATGAGGCGATCACTGGAAAAGCTATTCTTGACCGAGGGAATCTAAAGCGCAGAGTTACAATCATTCCACTCGACAAAATTCAGCCACGACGAGTGACTGCTGCTGCGTGCAACAAGGCAAACCAAATTGCAAATAGTCTTGGTGCGAAGGCTTGGCCCGCAATCGAGCTTGTAGGATTCGACGAAGAAATTCGTTCTGCTATGGAATATGTTTTTGGTGCATCTATTGTCGTGGACGGAGCGAAAGCTGCGAATCAGATATGTGATGCGACAAAAACCAGAACTGTGACATTAGATGGCGATGTCTATGATCCATCTGGGACTATTACCGGAGGGTCTAAGAACAACCTTGGGAGTACACTTGTAGAACTTACGAAGCTACTCGAAGCCTCAAAGCAGCTTTCTGCGGACAAGGAACGGCTTTCAACCGTGTTGACGGCCCTTCGTGATTTGAAAGGGAAGTCGTCCGAATTCGATAAATTGAGTCATAAGCTTTCACTCGCAGAAGCAGAACTCGAAGGAATTAAAAAGCAGGTCTCCCAGACATCATATGGAGTCCTAGAAGAGAAATTTACCTCCATGTCAAAAGAACTGGAAGAAGCCAATGAAGAATACACTTATATGCAAGATGAGCAAAAGGAAAAATGGGACTTGTACCACGAACTGAAAGAAAAAGAAGTAGAACTTACTCAGCAACGCGAGGACATGCTTGGTCAAATCGAAAGTGATATCAAGAAGGCCAAGAAGGCAGCTGCCGATGCAGTTAAAAGAGCTCGTGAAGCGGAGTCGTCCAAAGACACTCTTCTTATGGAACTTGAGAGCTTGAAGGCCGACGTAGTTTCAGCAGAAGTGGCTGTCTCAACTGCAGAGGCGAGCTTGAAGGAAGCCAACGAAGAAGAGATAAGCAAGGAAATTGTAGTTGGAGAAGTGAAGGCATTATGGGACGAAGCAAAGGCTGCACAAACAAAATTTGAGGAACGAATTACACAATTCTCGTCAGAACTGGCTGAAATCAAGCGAGAGAGAGCTAATTTAACGAAGAAGGCAGAGAAATGCACCCTCGAGGCTAAAAAGCTTACGGTGTCGATTTCTCGTATTCGGAAAGAAAGACAGAGTGCTGAAAAAGTTGTCATAAGCTTATTAAAGAATCATCCGTGGATCGAAAGTGAGAAGAGTGCTTTCGGTGTCGAAGGTGGCGACTACGACTTTACAGCTGCGAACCCCGATGATATGAGTGCACAACTGCACGCATTAAAGAGCGAACAGGAATCATTGGTACGTTTTATCATTCTTTATCATAGTTTCACATGACCCGACCGGCAAGTGTACAAGACCTGTTGCAAAAGCTAACTAATGAATTTCAACTTTCGTTTTCCTAGAGCAAGAAAATCAACAAAAAGGTTATGGGAATGATTGAGAAGGCCGAAGGAGAATATACCGAGCTTCTCCGAAAAAGAAAGGTGGTTGAGAATGATAAGAAGAAGATTAAAAGCGTTATTGAAGAATTGGATATCAAGAAAAAATCTGAACTTGAGCGTACCTGGAAGAAGGTGAACAAAGATTTTGGTTCCATTTTCTCGACATTACTACCAGGTGCATCTGCAAAACTTGAGCCCCCAGAAGGAATGCAGGCATTTGAAGGACTGGAAGTCAAGGTCGCTTTCGGCGATGTCTGGAAAGAGAGTCTAAGTGAACTGAGTGGTGGGCAGAGATCACTACTTGCACTATCTCTCATTCTTTCACTTCTTCTCTTCAAACCAGCCCCTATGTACATTCTTGATGAGGTTGATGCTGCATTGGATTTGAGTCACACCCAGAATATTGGAAACATGTTGAAAACTCATTTTTCCCAAAGTCAGTTCATTGTTGTTTCTCTGAAGGAAGGTATGTTCAACAATGCCAACGTCATTTTCAGAACTAAATTTGTTGATGGCGTTTCTACAGTTTCCAGAACTATTGGAACAGGATCCAGTTCAAGGCAGAGAGTTCTTGCTGGTTCCAATGATATGAACAGCGAATCTACTTCCCAACTTACTCGAAAAAACAGAAACCACTCGTCTAGACGTAAGCAAGGGAAGGAAAATTAAATACAAATATTAGTTGTTGGGAAGTAATTATATACTACATTCAAAGGGAAAGTATTCATTGGGTTTAGCTTTCGATTATGCGATTCCAAAACATTTGAATTATTGAAAAAAGTACAAGTTTATCGTTTCTGTATTGTAAAGAACATGAATTTAATTTATTGCTCAAATTATGTATCTATCGAAAATCAGAATATATTTAATCCCACAAACGCCTTTCGTGTTGTTGATATTGCGGACTCAATGGGCCATGGGCAAGTACCGCTTGATGACTTCGGCCACCTTGGCTGCTACCCGACAAACCTATCTGCTGCGAGCCAGGTGCTAGCTGCATCTGTAGTCGTTGCTGCTCATCGTAAACAAAATTGTCGTATTGTTCTTGGGCTACTCTGTGCATCTCTAAAATTTCGTCATACCGTATTAATAGCGCATCCAAACTTAAGGGGAAGCAACCAACGAAAACGGTGCTTGTAGATGGCAAGGACAAGTCATCTTGTTTCGGTGCATCAGGCATTGGAGTCAGACCAAGATTATCCCGTAGGTTGCATACGGTTGTGAGCCGATTGTTCAAAAGTCGAAATGCATCCCCCTGTGGCAGACAAAGAAGAATCCCGTAAATACTCTTCAGCAACTGGGCATGGCTTTCAGATTCAACGTCGAGAAGTTTCAATCTTAAATGAACAAAGATCGGGCTTTCCAACAGATATACTAGCTTGTCGATTTGCATCAAAAACCCGACAGAGACATCCTCCATTTTGGAAAACCTCTTCACAAGAGCAAACGATAGATCGTACGCTTGTGCAAGCAGGCACAGGGAAAACGTTGCAACGGGATTGTGCGACCAGCACCGGAAAAGGATCACAAAAACTTTGAGACTATCTTCTATAAAATTCTTTTTTTGCCTCGACCATTGTTTTTGTTTTTGTTTTTGGGGCCGTTTCCTCTGATCGTGCTCGGGATTATTCTTCTTGCTATCGTTCTCGGGCGGTATTGTGAAGCTCTTGGATAGAATCGACCTCAAATCGTGCAGCTCGGAAGCGGTAAGAAGAATCAGGTTGAGTGTTTGCACCATGGTGCTGACAAATTCCAGTGTTCCAGCGTCGGCAATCTTCTCGTTGACCTTTTCGTACTGCATCAATGCATTGGCCAACCGTATGTAAACACTCTTGGCATTCAAAAGAACACAAAGTTTTCGAATTATCAGGGAACCCCTTGTTTCGAGAAGCTGGCGGTCCTTCGCAAACAGACTCAGAATAGCATTGAGGACCAGCTCGAATTGTTCCTCGGCCGATTCCTCGGCATCGCCTTTCTCGTCCCTTTGCGCCAATGAAATCCGCGACAAGACCTGCAGGTTGAGGAGAACCACCGCATCGCTCGGATCGGAAAGGGTCCGGATGAGAACGGGCAGCAGCTCTTCGATGAAGGCGTTCATGTCCCCCTTTCGTTTCTCCATGAGCATGTTGATCCACCCCAGGGCCGCCATCTTGGTAGGGACGTCCTCCTTGTTGAGCAGTTCGCTCGTCAGCGTCTCGAGCAGCGACCGAAGTTCGAAGGGGCTAGACGTTCCCTTGACAAGACTCAGCAAATCATCGTTTGTGCGTTCCGCAACGATGCGAATTTCCACTTCTCCGTCTGAAATACAACACAAGATTGCCCCGAGTATTTCCGAGTTGTATGGCAGCAGAGCATCCCCGCCGGAGTAAGGGTGGTGGATGAGTTCCGAAAGCCAGGTAGTAGCAGTGAGACGGTTCAGGCGTTCCTTAGATTGGCACTGAAGAACAAGGATGGAAATGATGGGTCCGAATTCCATAACGGTGCTGCTCGTAAGTTCCTTTAAAAACTCCGAGAGGGCCGAATCGGCGGCCTGCCGGATCTCCCGGTTCGAATCGCTGAGCATGTTGAACAGACCGTCTAGAAAATCGGGCAGGTAATCGAGCATGGAAATGTCGGGGACCGAATCCAGCAGGGTCACCCATCCAACGATGAGTTGTCGTATGTATGGGTTGGTCCTCTGAATGTACTTTTGCAGGAGCGGCAAGAATTGGTCAACCTGAAAGGCCTCGTCGGCCTCCGTGACGATGTCCTTGATGAGACGGTCCAGTAGCTGCGCTCCGTTCTTAACGTCCACGTCGACATCGGCTATGACCTTGGTCAGCCCCTCGAAAATTTGATTGAAGTACTGTAGGATCCCCTGCCGAGAAACCTTGGCAATGTTGTACAAGCTCTCGCAGGCGTAGTACCTCACCCTCGACTCGGGATCGTCGAAACAATGCAAGACCGGTGGCAGCAAGACCGGCAAAAAGGTCCGGGAGTGTCCCATCAAGCCAATCCCCGTGGCCGCAAGCCCGACGAGTCCGCCCTTCCGATAGTTCGAATTCATGCTGGTACAGAAATCCTTGGAGAGAATCTCGATGACGTTCTGGATCATGAGCGAATTGTTGGCTTCCTGGAGTGTCTTCACCAGGGCTTCGATCTCGAGGGCGGCGTTCTTTCGTTTTTCGTTAGAGCGATCGCCCAGGCTCCGCAGGATCATGGGCGGCATGGGACTCCGCTCGACCGATAGGTGCTGGTGCTGCTGCGAGGTGGAGGTTCCGATCGAAACATTGGAGGCCGTGGGCATTATGCTCTGGTTGCTGTTGTTGCTGCCCCCGCCGGCTTTGCTGACCAGGACACCCCCGCTGCCGGGCGCAGCTCCGCGCCGCATTCCCGAGGAAGACGAGGGAGGCTGCTGGTGCTGGCCCAGAGCGGGAAGCTCCGCGGGGGCACCGTGGTTGTTGCTGTAGGTCTCGTCGTTTGGTTTGCTCATAATGGATCGTGACGATGATGGCAGCAACGACGATGAATCATTCTATTGTGCGTACTGTCGGGTCGAGAGCTGAGACGGTGCGAGTATTCGGTATGGAGTGGCACAAGTACGGACTGTGAGTTGTACTGTCAACGTGCAACCAAATCGATCTCACTTTTTTGTGAAGAGAGATACGAGTACGAGTACTCGTAGTCTTCTTCAGGTTTGAAGACGCCGAAGACTCTGCACAAAATGTTTTTAAAATCCAATGCGCACAAGTGCAGTACGGTATGTTGTATGTTCTATTGTGTACGGTTGGGAATCTGGTACTTGCAGTCAGTACTAAGGCACTATTGGTAGGATCCATCTTCGTTTTAGTCAAACGGGTCAAAAGGAACGTTAGTGAGCGCCAACCGTCACCTCGATCATCGTCTCTCTCCAAATCCCTCTTTCAGGCAAAAGACTGACATTGAAAATACTGCCGCAGGTTTTGAATATCGTATGGTAGTACCGTGCCGTCCGTCCGGTACGATATCGTACGGTACGTACGCAGTGTAGCATATGAACGGTAAAGTAACGTACGGACGAAATGTACCGTACGGTGCCTGGTATCAGACGCTCGACTTTCAAACTCGGACCGTGTTCTCACAACTCTCGTCAGACTTGGAAGAGACTCCACCGACCGGACAGGAAGGAATCAGCCACCCGATAGCACCAGCACGCTTGCGAGACAGACCATTCGTTGACCAAGGGAATAGCGGAAACATGAGCGCAGAAGCAGAAGAAACAAAGACGGCGGAGGAGACGCCGAAAACCGAGGAAGCCCCCGCGGCGGAGGAGGAATCCAAGAAAGAGGAATCCAAGAAAGAGGAAGCAAAGAAGAAGAAGGAAGACAGCGAAGAACTCACGAAACGCCTCCAGAAGCTCGCGCTCGAGCGGCAAAAGCAGGCCTCGGGCGAACGACTCAAGGTCATTCAGAACGACTCTACGTCGCACCTGACGGGTGCCAAAACCTTCCAGGAACTCAATCTTCCGAAGCACCTCCTGGACGCAATCTTTGCCATGGGATTCGATCGGCCGTCCGCCATCCAGGAGGAAGCCCTGCCCCGAATCTTGTCGGATCCGCCGAGAAACCTCATCGGCCAGGCCCAGTCGGGAAGCGGAAAAACCGCGGCCTTTACCCTGGGAATGCTCTACCGGCTCGAGATCAACGAACCGGCCACGACCCAGGCCCTCTGCGTCACGCCCACCCGGGAACTCGCCATCCAGATCTTTGAAAAGGCGGTGCGGCCCATGGCTGCCAACATGGCGGGACTCAAGATCCAGCTCGCCATTGCTGGCACCACGATCGACAAGTCGGTCGGTGTCAATGCCCACATGGTCATTGGAACGCCCGGAAAGGTCGTGGACTGGTTGAAGCGCAGAATCATCAACAGCAAAACCATCAAGGTCTTTGTGCTCGACGAGGCCGACAACATGGTCGGCGAGGACGGACACAGAGCAAATTCCCTGTTGATCAAAAAGACCCTGACGCGATCCTGTCAGTGCCTCTTGTTTTCGGCCACCTTTCCGACCGAGGTTGTCAAGTTTGCAGAAAAACTCATCCACAACGCCGATAAGATTTTGATCGAGTCCGACGAAGCATTGGTAGGTACTCTATTGATTTTTTTGTATTGTATTGGATTCGACTCGATTCGATTCGATTCGTTTGCTGCATTCTGTTGTGTTGTATGCTGTCGGAATCAAAACAGAAAGACTAACCAACGACGGTGCGTTGTCCTATCGATTATGCGATTGCTACATCACGATCCTTGGGCTACGGTGTAGGTTTTGGACGTTATCAAACAACTCTGGGTTGATACGAGACAATACGAGGGCGGCAAGCTGGAATTTCTTTCTGATATTTATTCCCTCTTGACCATTGGTCAAAGTGTTGTATTTGTCTCAACGAAGAAAAATGCGGACATGGTACACAGAACTTTGACCGACGGTGGTTACACCTGTTCGGTCCTCCATGGAGGAATCGAAGCGGACGATCGTGATTCCACAATGCTTTCCTTCCGCAACGGAGAATCGAACGTGCTTATTACCACCAATGTATTGGCGCGTGGTGTCGACGTCGACAACGTATGTCTGGTCATCAACTACGACGTCCCCGTTACCAAGGACGGAGATCCCGACTTTGAAACCTACCTCCACCGAATCGGCCGCACGGGACGGTTTGGAAAGAAGGGAAGCGCCATCAACCTAATAGACGACACCCGATCCGTCGAGGTCTTGGCCGCAATCGAGTCTCACTTTGCGATCCAGGGCAAGGAAATGATCCAGCAAGCCGAACCGGATCCAGAAAGTCTTGCCGATGTCATTGAGATCTAGGCACTTGAGAAAAAAACCACCGACGATTGATCGAAACATCGTGCACGTGAAGTGTTGCCCGTGGTACATAAAATTCGCAATAATTTAGTAGAAGATATTAGTTTCGTCAGTAAAGATGCACCGTACAGCTCTGCCAAGAGGAAATCAACGTTAGTGACCACATTTCTTGAGAAGAATTCATGGTTTTCGGTTTGAAGGGCAATGAAGGAAAGCTTGTACGGGGATGGGGCTCACTGGAAAAAGCAGGTAGACGAAACCAAGTGCTCGGACTCCTCACGGAGAACATTAGTGCCAGATCGAAACCATTCAATGCACTTGCTATTCCTCATTCTAGACACAAGAAATCAAAGAATCCATCAGCTCGCCACCGTCTCCTCTCGAGAAAGCAATGGTGTCCCGGCACCTCGATTTGGCGATGACATGGGTAGCACTAGTTGTAAACATGGAATGAGACAAGAGAAGTTGGGCCATTAGAAACCAACTGGCCGGGGAGGAGTATGTGTGATAGTCGAGAATGCGATTCCTCTGCTGCCTCGGGCAGCTGGTCCTGCTAGTGGTCTTGCTGCTTTTTTTGCTGTTGCTGCGGTTTTTGCTTTTGCTCTTCCCTGTCCTTGTCCTGCCCTTCTTTGTCCCTTGCTGCTTGCTGCTGCTGCTGCTGCCTGCATGGAATAGGCCTCCTCTGTTGCTGTTACTGTTGCTGTTGCTGCTGCAGTTGCTGCTGCAGTTGTTGGCAATGATTCTTCTATTGCTTTTAGAGCTGCTGCTAGTACTGAAACACATATGGGAATCAACGTCATTTTAAAAAATCTTGTTTGCAATTATACAGAGGAGAAGTCTTCTGCCAAAACTCAAATATCACATAGAAGAAAAACTGTGAATATCATGCTTCAAGGGGCATCAGTCTTGCTATGAAACGTATGACAGGTATTCTTCAACTGGTGTCAGGTGAGGCATTCCACTTGATGGATTCATGTTAGTTGTTGAGGCAAGTAGAAATACTACTGATCACTTTCATATTTTTCAGGCTAGTATTTTTTCACCTAAATTTGGTCTGCTGGTGTGCCAATCAACATCCTTTGTTTTTAGTTGGCACAATCAAAAAGCCTACTAGTAGTACTCTAAACCTAATTTTATTGCTATAAAAGGGACAGAAACATGGTTTGCAACAACCGTTTTACATTGACTTTCTTCTTTCTCTTCCTCCTCCCCAGTACTGTGTTTTCTACTTTTCTCCTGCAATGTGAATGGCAACAAGAATATGTGACAATAGCTAAAGGAATGAAGTCAATTCAGTAGCAGCTGGTGTTTGATTCACAATATTTTTCAATCCTACTCACCTAGTGGAGCAGAATCATCCACCATTTGAAGGATGAAGACACCATGGAAACAAGAGGGTATTATCATACTGGTGAAGGCTGGAGATGATAGCATCATTGTCCTCCTTTTTGAAAAAAAGTACTAAAGAATTCTTCCAATGGTGGGCAGTAACAAATAGAATTGTTAGAAGGGATGAGTGTTTTTGATATGGCTCCACAATACCACAACCAAGAAGACTTTAAGGTGGGGAACAAGAACATTCTGTTGCCCCCCATTATACCATACTACATACTTCTTCTTCTTTTGAAGAAACACACTGCTACTGTTGAAATACTTGTCAGGCTGATGAAAATAATTGCAAACAACAGTTAAACAAGAAGAACATCAATAGGTTCTACCAACCAAAGAACAATCCAGAAAATCACCATTGAGGTACTACTATTACTAAGCAAGGTCTAGTAATTGAATTGTATGGTGGATTACATGCCTGTGATTTTGATTTCAAGAATTATTATGCTAATCCAACTTGCAGACACAAGAAGTACACAATCTAGTCAATTGTTTATCCAATACTATTAGTATTCTTGCAAACCAACTCCACCCGACGACCTCTTTGTCTACACTGGTGGACAGGAGGAGAAAGGTCAGAAAGAAAATAAATGCAGGAAAATTACAATGAATTAGTATACCCACCAGTCATCGCTCTTTGGAGGTGCCACCCCTTAGAGCAACTACTAGGAACATGCTTCTCCCTAGTACTAGTAAAATGATGGTTCTAGCCTTGTTCTTGTTCTGTGGTGTGTATTACAAATTCTTTAATGGAGAAGTGTAACTGCAGTAACATCTAGTACACACCCAAATCATAATGGACAATATTGGATAGTACAAGTTATAGGACAATTACTACTACTACTACTAGTAGTAGAGATAAGGGGCATGCTTGAAGGGCATTCGGGTTGATAGGTACCATATGAAGGGTAATAGCTGGTAGTAGTAAAAGTATTAGGTCATTCTGGCCCGTTGATCGCAGACACGAGTAAAAAGCAAAAAACTCTCCCTCCATCAAAAACCTCCTCAACATGAAAACGCCATTCTCTCCAAGCACTAGAACTTGTTGCTCACTTAGGATCGACACCGTCACCCGAAAAGATTATCATTTTCTTCGTCCCAACAGCCATTATGAGCCTTCCAATGCCTACTACGGGAAACAGCAGCTACGGACGCTCCGGTGCGATGGATCCGAGACAACTCCAAGCGATGGACGCTCCTCTCATCGCCCTCACGCAGCAGTGCAAGGGCGATCTCCGGCAGTTGATGTACGCCTTTTTCAGCTTTTTGAATCGCCGGACCGATTTCTACCTCGTTCCCCATCCCGACGATACACGGGACGGAAAAGCTACGCAGATGGGATTTGCGGAGGGGGACGCCGAAAAAATGTTGCTCGCCGCCTTTCGGCAATTCCCCCTCCGGCGCATCCCCAGGGGCGGTGTGCCGGCGGGAAGAAAAGCACCAACCCCTTCGGCGAAGACGAAGACGCAGGCGAACAAATCACCAAGTCCTTCCTCTAAACCGGATGCGGGAGACAAACAAACGGAACCGAAACCGATTACCGACAAAGGAGACAGCAGCGGGAACAAGAAATCCGAACTGTCCGGGGGAGATGGGACAAAACAAAGTCCCAAAACCAAGAACGACGACGACGACGACGGCAGCAACAGCAATAGCAATGACGAGGAGCAGGTACCACCCAATATGAATGGCGTTCGATACAACGAGGAAGGTCTCCAGATACCCGTTGGCAACGGTGGTTCTACTCCGAAATACAAATGGACCCAGACCATTGACGAGACTACCGTCTTGATTGGCGTCCCAAAGGAGTTCAGGGGTAAGGACTACGATGTATCGATCACGGCCTCGGAACTTTCCGTCAAGGCCAAGAGATGTTTGCCGGGCGAAGAAAAATCGAGGACCTTTGTGGAGGGAAAACTCGTAGACAGCATCCGTGTCGATGAGTCCACCTGGAGCATTGAGGGAGGAGTCATGATTGTCACACTCGAGAAAAAGGCCAAAAAGTTCTGGACCGCAGTATACGAAGATGACATAGAAAAGTACAAGATCGACACCGAACTCGTCGATTCGCGTCGACGAATAGACGAGTACGACGACGCGACCCAGGCTCAATTCCGGAAAACCATCTTTGACCAAAACCAATACCATTTGAACGGCCCCACCTCTGATGAAATCTTGGGCAAAACCAAGAAGGGGGGCCCCAATAAGCCAGGTATTCCAGGACTACCGCAAGGTATGGAGATCAAGGACGCTGCAAACAACAATGCAGGCATCGAAGACCTACCGCCGGGTGTGGAATATATTGATAAGAAAACGCTAGACGCAGCAGAGAAAGATAAGAAATAATACAAAACATATAGCAGCAACATTTGCACACAAAGACTGCGAGGTCCCTTCCTGATTCTGTTGTAATATAGAATAAAGTCAGTTGGCAAAACGGATTTACTATTCATTTTTCTGAGTCATGGATCACTTCCAAGACTGCCTCTCTTTCCGCATGAAACTTTGTATGATCTACGAGACAACATCGACGGAAGAAACAAATCAAATTACTATTACTGAAAGATCACACAAAAAAAACTAATGTTCATTTTGCACAGCAACAACAAAGTCAGATTTCTTTTGTCATTGCATGATGCAATTGTTACCAAAGCTAGACCTTTTCGTGTAGAAAAGAAACAGTATGACATTTTTTGCAAACTTCATAGGAAGGCATGAACAGGAAGAATCCAGTCTGAAACCCGTTGTAACACCTAGTTGAACTACAAAGATAATTCTTGCTGCCTACAAAGCAAATTTTTTGTCTCAAATAGCATTCTGATCCCCATGAATGTGCCATCAGACTTTTTCAAGGGAATCACAGCCCCAGATTGACAAGAACAAAAGCTGGTCAAGTAGGATACCTTTCCTTTGCTTCTTCTGCATAAACAACACAGTAGTCACTCCTCACTCCCTCATACCATCAATTGAATCTTTTTTGCGTGGCTTTGAAGTTATCTTTCTACTATTAGCAATGCTGGTTTCCTCCCACCACTGTATTCTGATGTGTACACCTTCCATTCCATCATAAGCTCATCACATGCAAGTCTAGTGCCACTTATGCAACAGAAAATGCACTTGTACCACCAAGCTCCTAGTAGGCTAAGGTGGAAAGAACAAGAAAAAGTGAATCTTCATTGGTCTTCCACTGAGTTTTGATGGCTCTCTGTCCTTATACCTTGAAAGGTCAAACAGGCTATTTTTGGTCTGGGCTCTACCATATTCAGATGAATTGTGTGCAAGTATGGAGCCTTTTAGTAGTGGAACTCATGAAGATTGAATCCTGGTAAAGATATTCTAATCCATCTTCCTCAAGATGAGATGAATCAGAAAACTCATTATCAAACAGTTCTTTGATCATGTTATCAGAGGAGGAAAGATTGGACAAGTGGGTGATATCAGAAAAAGGAGCTAGTAATTTTTCATGGAACCATTAGAATCACCACTGGAAATAGTCCTTCTCCTATCTCTGGGGAAACTCTTCTTAGCAACAGGAGGAGAAGGCCCACTACTAAAAGAGTGATGATTTACTAATATTTTTAGTTAGTAGTACTAGGATTGTTCATTACTATTTGTTTCTTCTTTCAAAATTAGAAGGTAGGAAGTGAATAAGCAGGAAAGTTTTTGTTTTTGCTGAATTGCAATGTTGTTTTGTATGGGATTTCTTTCATCACAGTCTATAACAATCCTCTAGTAGTCGTACTACTGGTAGTACTACTACTAGTACAACACCAGCAAAGGAGGTTTAGACATGAAAATTCCTCTGAGAATTTTATCCAAAAGGAGGGTTTAAGGCAGCAGCAAGACTGGGAAAAATTTAGCATTGCAACTGACAACTGAGTTATCAGCTTTTGGTCCCCTTGCTTGTTGTTGTGCTACTACTACTAGTACTACTACTAGTAGTACTACTAGTTCTATTTAGATCACCTCCTGGTTGCTCGACTTGGTAATACTACTAGTACTACTATTACCATCTGTACGTACTACGACAGGTGCTACGAACAGTCTGTTTCGTGGTTCAGTTACGAGTACACGTAGCACGATTGATACAATTGCCATCGTTCGGATCCGTGTGCCGATCCGTTCTATCAAAACCGTTTTTGAAAGAATGAACACACATACGAATACGCAATGACTGCCTACTTGCCCGGTCCACACGACTGGAAGCCGAGACGGGGGGCCCCGAGAGCGCGCCACAATTTTTTATGACCAGTTTCAAAAAAAGCAATGCCAGAAACACGGCGAACGCCAAATTTTGGTTTCGTGATTGTTTTAGTCGAACCGGGTTGGCTCGAGAGAACGTTCCCCACAGTCAAAAATACCGATCGTTGACAATACTGACCAAAAATCTCGAGTGGCACTTCTGTTTGTCCCATACCGAACCTTTCGATTGCACTCTATTTGCACTAGACAAAATAACCATCTGGCGGCTTCAAGCAATAATTGACTATAGTGCATGCAGGTATCTCAGCCCGACACTGAAGGAACCCAACTCGTTTGAACTGAAGCCCTAAAAAACTTCGCGATATTACGGTTTAGGAATTGCGCTTTGCATTGCGTACTGAACGTGAAAAACGAACTCTGGGGTGAGACACCTACCATACCAAACAAGAACACTATCCCGTAAACAGACTACAGTGAGAACCAAAAAAGGAGAGATCGATCTCGCACAGAAACATGTCGCTGAACCATCGAATGCCGGCGATCTTCACGGCCCTCTTTAGCAGCGCGGCCGTCCTTACCGCGGCGTTTGCCGGGGCGAGCTGCAGCTTTTTGATCCGCAAGGGCAGCGACGACGACGACTTGTTCTTGTCCTCGACCGGGAGCGAGACGTTTGGAATTCTCTGCGAGCACGACTTTTATCCCAGGGAAGGAGACAAGATGTGGGAACTCAGCCGCATTTTTCTGATACTTTCGCTCACCCTGGGATCGGTGACGGCCGCCCTGGCCTGGGCGGTGGCTTCCTTTCTGACCCCCAGCAACGTCAGCTGGAACGGTATCTCGGTGCTGGCGGCCATCACGGCCGTCATACAGGTTCCCATCTTTGTTCTCTTCGAGGCCGAGCCATGCGTCGCCGGCGATGCCGACGAGGGCGAGGGGGACAGCAGCTTTTTCTTTAAGACGGGCGACGCGAGCTGCCAGCTCGGCTCGGGCTCGTACATTTTGATGGCGAGTGACCTTTTGTACGTTACGGTCACGCTGATCACCCAGTGCCTCGACCGACCCCGCTGGAAACTCGAGATGGACCTCTGGAAGGTCGGCAAGCGGGGGCAGTCGCGTCCCGTCTCGCCCGTGGCACGCAACGACGAATACTACTACGACAGGGACGAGAACTACGCCGACAACGTGCGCCTTACGGGGCGCAGGGCCAGCAACCGAAGCGCTGCCGGTGGCAGGGACGACTACTACGGAAACTCCTGCATCCTGCCTGCCGGAAAAGCAAGGCGGTCCCACCCCGACAAACCCGTTGGTTTCTTTGCAAAGCTCTTTGGTGGCTCGTCGTCTCCGGACGACGACAGAGAAGTACCGGGCGTTCCGACGCATTCTATGAGCGCGGAGGAGGATTGGGACTACGAGAACCAGAAATCACCGGACGATTCGCAGCTTGTTCTGCGTATCGTAACCACCAACGACGGCGGGAGGGGATCGCCGGTGTCGTCATCGCCCACGTCCGTCGAAGGGCAGGAGGTTTCCATCGGAGCGTTTGAAAAGATCAAGGCCGAGGAGGATCTACGACAATACCAAGTGCAAGAGGAAGTGGTTCAGAGCATTGGGTTGAACGCGATCGAGCGCCACCAGCTCATCGACAGTCCCAATGCAAGTTTTTGCGGCAAGGACAGCATTCCGCTGCAGCACACGGCGGTAGTTTCTAGTGTCAACGACATTCTCGAAGACCTGCACAGCGAAGAACTCGGTGCGAGACGTTCCAAGTCCTCCGGCGATGTCATCGAGCGAAATGCCTCATCGGACGCGGTCGTGGAAGGCGTCCGAAAGCTTTCCAAGAAGCTCAAGAGTGCCGATTCCAAGCGTCGCAGCATGAAGAAGCTTTCGATTCGGAAACCCAATCTGTTTGCTTCTGCGAATACCGGGTATGCCCTCATAGACGACGAAGAATCCGACTACAATTCTTACCACGATGGGAATGACGACAAGAACGACGACCACTTTCTCGGTCTGGGTGCACACGACTATAACTACAAAACCGACCAGAAGACACTGCAAGAACTTTCGGTCATGTCGGAATCCACCTACAATCCAGACGAATTCCTTCCTCAAGCAACTCCGGAGAGCGATGGTTACGCAGGCGCAAACAACCTGCAAATGGACGACGTATCCTCGGATCAAGACGACCTGGACGACGAGGATGACATTGCTCTCTTGGCGAGCGCCATGGACTGGCAAGTGGATTTCCCCGTTGGAAAGACGTCACCGGACAACACGACCAACAATCCGTTCGATTGTATATCGATTGGTTCGACACACAGCGACCCGGGTCCAGTGAGTGTGGTCAACGAGAGTTTCGAAGACGTTTTTGATTTTTCGACCCCGATTGTATTGACCGGTGGCGGTCCCGAGGAAGGACAGTCGTCTGCCGCGGACGAAATATTCAAGTTTTCATCCATAGACGATGGTCAATGGGAATCCGAATTTGCAAACGAGAGTTTGCTGGCCAGCACAGATGACGACTATGAAGATGGCTACGAAAACGAAGACGAGGACGACACTTACCTCGATTCCGGCTCCGAAGAGCAACGCGGCCGGTCTTCGGGAAGATACGATGGACGAAGAAGAAGAAGACCTATTTCACCGGTAGGATCGATCAAATCGAATGGCTCTTTGCTCCACACAATTATCAACGAGGAAACCGAAGAAGACGTAGAGAGGGAGCTCGGTGTCGATTCGCCGTATCCTATCAAAAGAACGCTATCGTGCCCAGAGCAACGGTCGTTTACTGGTCCAATCAAGAATCGCAAAGAGAAATCCACCAAGGAACTCTTGAAAAAGCTCGAGAAATTGAAGAGGACCATGGGCGATGGCAACGCCATTGGTTCCAGAAATCGAAGCTTGCCTCCGCGGAGCCCTCGAGAAGTCACAAACACCGCGAATCGCCCCAGTGAGATCGGTAGCACGAGCCCCGATACAATGGACGAGCCCGAGTCGGTACTGGAAGATTTGCTTCGCGATTCCGATGATGACAGTGATTCCTCGGTGCTTTCGGAGGCATCGGCTGGAAATCTCATCGAGGAGCCAGAATCACCAATCGATGAAAAACAATGCATTGCTCCTCGTTCCCTAGAACAATCTAACCCGAGCAAAATAGTTGTACCCACCAAGAAACCATTGAAGGAATCCGATCCAAATCTTCTTCCAACGAAACTGCCAACAACCACCAAACCCCGTAAAAAGCTGATTTTACCAAACAAGAGCACTCCGGTGGACAGAAGTCTAGACATCTCCGATGAAACATCTGACACGGGATGTACCCGTTCCACGATTTCGGACTCGGATGGATCTTCCGAAAGTGGGAGCGAGGCGGGACCGAGGCAAATACGTTCGAAGTCCATGGGTCGTGGAAGGAGAACCAAAAAGATTAGGAATCTTCGCGCCTCGAGCTCCCTCTCTCCCACTCGCAGTACCATATCGGTGGACGATACCGCTATGCGCCCGGCAAACATTTCCAGTCTTGCTCGGGAAAGTCGAATCCGCCGTTTGCAGCGACGAAAGGGATACTTGCCATTGGACAACGACAATTCGAGAGAAATGTCTCCATCTCCTCGGGATCCATACTCAACCAACCAATCAAAGGACGACGATGATTTAGAATTGACTCCCAAGCGAAAAACAGTCGGTCTTTCAAGTGCGCATGAGGAAGCTGGCACTGATAGCATAGCTAGCGTTATGCCCAGCGACCTCTTTCAGCCAAGTCTTGACGATACAGACGAAAGCTGTCCAGAATTCGACAACATTCTGGAACAACTCGACCTGCAATTAATTGATTTGAATCGTCCTGTCGGAGCTGAATACGGAGATGACGAAGTATCTTTGTAATGAAAATGATAATTGATTGTTCACAAAGTAGAAGTCATGCGCGTTGTGATGTACGTGGAGCACGCTATAGGGCTTGTAGTAACTCAAAAGCAATAGCATTCATTTATAATATATTACAATTAATTATGTCATATTTTTCAATCCAACCTGGGATTATAGAACGCCACGCCTCTCCAAATGAACGAGATCCAAAACCTGCCGAAGATTGCCACTTGCAACGAGCCAGTCTCGAAAGCCACGGTTCAATTCTTCCTCAAATTGTTTTTGTTTATCCTCCGGTACACTTTTGCGGATAGCTTGTTGAATATTCCTCATCCGGTCGGCCTTTACCAGTGCTCTCCTCTCGTACTCGATTGGAAGTCGAAAAGGCGAAAATTGTAAGACTTCTGCCAGGGCACGGCAGTACTTGCTCTCGTTTGATGGTTGTTCGCCAGTACCTCCCCCAGCTTCGTGTGATTCTTGCTCCGACCTTCGCTGTCGAGCGGATTCACTTTCTATTGGAACAAATAGCACATGGAATTCCGACGCCGGTAACAAGATGGGTGTCTGGACGGAGGTGTCACCAATCGTACCCGCGTTGCTGTTTGGAGCACGCTTGTCGTCGGCACCGACAGAGTTAGAAGGTGAACCAGGAGGGGGAGAGTTAGATCCCGCAACTTGTGGTATTTCCAGCTTTGATATTTCAACAGGCTGCTTCCACTTATTGCTTGCGCATTGCAGTGGGGGCCAAGCACCCTCATTCTCCAAGCTTCTAGATCCGTGAAATTGTGATTGGTTGTCTGCAGGAACTGCTGCTGCTGCCAAGCCTGTAGCTAACAAATCTTCTCTCAGACCTTCGTAGTAGGTGTTGTAAGGCGCAAACTGGCAACTGCGATTGTCACCTACGAGTAGAGGTGGAGTTGGAGTAAATACATTCATGATTGTATCGCACGAATTGCTCAGTAGGATTCGTCTTGAGGCTGTTGTTACCTTGGTTCTTTCGCAATCTACTACGTGCACCAGACCTGCAACGGCACCAACGACAATAGTGCAGCCGGTACAGCTTGAAATAGTGACGTTTTCGAAGGGTCGGAGCAAGTACATGTGTACGTCCGAACAAGAAGACATGGCCAAATCGTGTAGGCGATTGTTAGATTGCGATCCCGGGGAGATGAGCTCATGATGATCCCCTGATGCAATTGATACTGTGCCCGGAGTCTCCGACGGAGGGGATTGCGTGTTTGGTTTCAACAAAATTGTAGTACCTCTCAGATGCGTGTAGCTTATTTCCTTTTGGTTACCGTGTTGGGGTTGCTTGGCCCGTTCTCCGTCATCTCCACTAGTACTGTCAGTCAAAGACAGTTGCGAAAAGGACGAAGAAACTGCAGTCTCTTCGTCGTCTGTGGAAACTTCTTCCTTGTCCATTTCAACTCCTGCCATCAGAAGTTCCAATTCCAAATGACGTCGAATTTCTCGTTCGACATCTCCTATGGGAATTGTCGCAGTCGGTGGTGCAGGTGATGCATAAAGGCTGGACCATAAATAATCTCCAATTTTAAGCGGGGAGTCATCAACACCTCCTCCAGAAGGTGGTTGCAACCAAAAGTGCAAACGCTCTAGATCTTCCATGCTCAGACGCACCGCCAACCCAACATTACCGTGCTCGTCGTCGTGTTGTCTCCGCAAGTCATCAGCGGAATATCTAGTGTGAAAAGCAGCGCCCATCAAACTCCTTTGATTCCGGAATTTCTCTGTTGTTGGTCCCGGTGGAGGGGATGGAATGGCAGCGAGATGCATTATCGCTCGTACAGCGTCAGGATTGTGCGATACGGCCGCCAACAACAAGAGCTTTCGTAGGTGACGTAACAAATATGCAGTGCAGTGTGAATTGTCGTTGTGCCATCCAGAATTCAGATGCGCACTTTTTTGATATCAGTATCACATCACCGATCGCGTAAAAAAAGAAAATACGGGTTAGGTTTACGTGCACACAACTGAAATCAAAATCAAAATCAGAAAACAGTCAAACCAGTGAAAGATTGATTGATTCATTGGATGGCACTTCATCACTCACCGCGGGGACAAACCAGGATACTTCAATAGATTCATCAAAGGGTCAGACAAGGTCGTGGCATTCATTCTTCGATCGTCCAAGGCCGATAAATTTCGTTGATAAGCCATTTCTTCGCAGTGCATGAGCAAAAAAGTTGCAACAAGCCACACGGGCAGTTCCTTTGCAGAGGCACTGGTCGAAGAAAATTTTCTCTTGTCCCCCGCACTGCTTCCACCGGTGCCTCCTCCCATCGTGTAATGTGTATTTCCACTGCCCATGCTAGAGGTACTTCCGCACGACAAGATGGGCGGAATATTTGAGGTTTCGTGAAAGTCTGTCGCATAAGCCCGCCCTGCCAAGTATAGTGTATGATACATCGTGGCCATCTCCCAAAAGAGAGCTGCAGATGGCTCACCCCAGCCCAGGACTCTCCATGCTTCCGTGATCCAAAGTGTATATGGAACCGCCGTCTTCCGATATGATTGATCAGCCAAGCCAGACGCAATGGCCAAACACAGAGAGGGTGTCAATTCACGTGCATGTTTAGGAGAGAGGACAGCCCCCGCAAAGGCATGCGGTTTCGCGGTCAGCGTCATTCCCTCGATAGTAAAGGTTGTCCCTTCATCTTGACTTCCTGATAGGGCGACTATGCCACTTCCATACTCAGAACCTTGGTTCATTTTGTCCTCCCGTATTTTCTCCGATGCAGACGACCAGTCTATCTCGACCAGTGATGATATTCTGTTTCTCTTTCAAATCAACCAAGCAATAAGATATCTTTCCTTTGGTGATAGCATATGGTCAGTAACAATAGCTTTGGGTTTCCTAACCATATGACACAGAAGGTAGTGAAATGCAAAGCCTGCGTGCGAGCTTCATAAACTCCCCGATCGAGATGCTCTCGAGTCCGGGGGACTTAGAAAAAATAGCGCAACTTACGAAGTTTTTCCGTTATCGTCATACAATTCGTCATAATACTCTACTTCGTACCGGTAGAACCCTAGTACGGTACGGTACTACTGCGCTGTAACGTAAGCAGCGAAGAGAGCGAATAAGTCAAGAATAACGGTTGTGTCTTCGCGTCTTTCCGTCTTTGCTGCAAACTACATGTATTCATTCACGCAAGACTGTTTTTAAAAAGTAAAATATGCTGCGCAAAACATTTTACCGCACTACGTACATTACGTCGGTACATATGTACGTACAAGTACTGTACGGTAGCTCTCTATTCATAATTCATACGAGTACTGGTTTCACTACATAATGGTACGTACGCAATTGCACTGGTACTGTACTGAAAGAAATCAATCAATCAATCAATCAATCAATAAGTAATTAATGCAGTAGTACCGGTACTGTAATAGAAGTAATGGTAAGTTTACCCTACGGTATTTACCGTAGCCGTTCGCCAGCCTATGTTCTGTTGCACCTATTTCAGGTTTTACGTCAATTAATTTATCTCTCGTCTAAAAAGTACACTGGTAGACGATAGATTGATTCTCTGGAGTAGTAAGTACCAGTACTCGTAATTTACTCGTACATCTACCGTACGATCGGTATGCGCGGGAAAAAGTGCTTCAGAAAATTTATGATCCTTCATAAATTCAAATTCAGCTGAACAAGTACGGTGGCACAGCCTGAGCAAACGGAATCAACCACCGACAAGATATTGTCTGAACAGTGCAGCTCTGATTGGAAATATACACCGACAAATACCACTACAGCATGTCTGTCTCTGAGCTTTTTGCAAATGGGAAACGTCCTAACATCTTGATAATCATTACCGACCAAGAGCGCGCGATCCAACACTGGCCGGAGTCCTTCTCGAGGGATCATCTTCCATCGATGGAGCGTTTGAAAAAACATGGATTGGACTTTAAACATCATTACACAAACACTTGTATGTGTTCACCCTCTCGTTCGACGTTGCTAACGAGTCAGTTTCCTATCAAAACCGGAGTAACACGGTGAGTAAAACCAAGAAACAGAGCGATTGATCATCGTTTCGTGCACTTTCAGTGTTAGTGCTCTTGCTCACGACAGTACAAACTAATCGTCGTCGACACCGACCCATAGAACTGGATCTCCGGGACCACCTAGGGCGTTGCCAACTGATATCCCGAATATGGCGACAATGTTCAAGAAGGCAGGATATCCTAGAGTCGAATGGCACGGAAAATGGCACGTGGGGAAAACACCCTCTGATTATGGCTTTGAAGGATGGCAACCTCCAGATGCAGGAAATTATTTGGCTGTGAACGACACATTGGGTGGAGGAACTCCTGACAATGACGGTCGTTTCTTAAAAGACCTGTGCAACACTTTAGAACAATATCACGACGATAATCAACGGAAAGGAAACAATGAAGGACAGAATGAACCCGAGCCCTTTTGTATCGTTGCGAGCTTTGTGAATCCCCATGATGTTTATGTAGCACAGCACGGCCCGGCGAAGGGATACACAAGGGCAGACTATAAGAAAATAGAAGTTCCACTTCCTCCAAATTTGATGGAAGACCCAGACAAAAATAACAAACCGCGATCACAGGCGCAAATGTCTATGCGATACGTTGAATTCAAGAGTTCCCATCAGGAATATGTGAATTTTTATGCACACCTTCACACCGTGGTGGACGCCCAGATCGGAAAATTGCTGGATCAGTTAGATAGACTTGGCTTCACCGACTCGACGCTCATATTACGAACAGCAGATCACGGCGAACAAGGGCTAAGCCATTCTTTGGTGGAAAAGTTTTACAACTGCTATCAAGAGAGTCTTCATATTCCATTGGTTGTAAGCAATCCTATTGCCTTCCCCGAGCCACAGACAACGGATGCTCTCTCGTCGCACTTGGATATTGTACCGACATTGGCTGGTCTTTTGTGCCACAAGAAATTGGAGTCCTACAAGGGGAAGGACCTCACACCGGTTCTCGAAAATCCGCAGATGACAACGACGATTGCCGGAAAGAACGAGACACAGGAAACGATAGTTGGCGTACAATCTAGAATCCATTTTACGTACGATGATATTCCTTGTCCAGGAGCTCCGAGTAAGATTCGTTGCGTTCACAAGGGACACATGAAATATGCTGTATACTTTGAACCACTTGGAAGAGATGCCGACTGGGAACTCTATGATCTTACAGTTGATCCTCTAGAAAACACAAATCTAGCAGGGAATCCCGAATACGATCAGACACAGAAAGAAATGGAGAAAGAACTCTACGAGGTCATGGTGGAGATGGAAACCTTGCCAAAAGAATTCCAGTGGCCCCCGAAGGCCACTCCACATAGTAAGGGTTTTAATCATCCACAAAGGGAAGAAATTGAAGAATCTGTCAACGAAGATCACAATGACGGTAAAGAGGAAAAATCGACTCTAGGCTCATATACTTTTTCCGACGAGGGGGAACTAGTCAGAATATTTCTAAACGTTCAAGACGTCCGAGCTAAATGCTCCGAGAAGGACATTGAGCTTAAGTCGAGGGAACGTTCGTTGTCACTGATTGTCAAAAATTACCAATCTGAAGATTTCATGCTGTCATTCAAAAAACTGACGAGCGAGATCACCCATGCCAGACATGAAATCGAAGAGAATAGGATTGTGTTGATACTGACAAAGAAAGATCACACAGTGAAATGGAATTCCGTGTTGTTCAAGGACCCTGGGATTGAAGCATTGCTTCAAGATCCAATCATTCAGCAAATAATGCGTGACTTCCACGAGAATCCCGTTGCTGCTAACCGGGCCATGAGCAACCCGCAAACTAGAGAGAAGATTCTTCAACTAGTGCATGCTGGGGTTTTAAAAGTTGTTTGAAGTATTGGGAAAGCGAATTCTTTGAAGGCAACGTCGACATTTATATTGACCATCATTGAATATTTCATTCCTCGGCTGTACCCCAGATCTTATTTTGATCATCCGCATAACTTTCGCTTAGCAACAGACAAGAAAGCGATAGCGCTAAGTCATTCAATAGTATGATTTTAGCAATGCTTTTAAGTTTGATATCAGTAACTATCGGCAGCAATGACCTTGAAAAGTTGGAAGCTGCGTGTTTTACGGTTGGAAGTCATAGTAATAGACCGGGCAGCCTCCTTTCCCTGACACATCAGTTTTGGTTGCTTCCCAATCGTGGATCTTGAACATGTAGCTCAATACCTTTAGTCGCTTGCCCTCGTCGTTTCTCTTCTCTTTCAAAGATTGCAAAATAGGCATTATTTTGACAATGCCCTTGGGCAAGATAAATAGATACAGCGCTGTAGCGTCATCTAACAAAGTCAAGTCGGACAAACACTTTTCCCCTTCATCGTTCGCTTTTATGCCTTTTCCAATCTCGGCAGTACTTGTTTCTACCAATTTTGTAGCATCTTCTAATCTAATGTCGATTCGAGATTCCAAGTTACATTCCTTCACACGCTCCCGTGCCCGAGAAACGAATTCTTCTAAGATCTCGATCCCGACGCATTTCAAACCCGGTATCTTCGTTGCGGCGAAACATAGCAGGCGGCCATCCCCACATCCGATATCAAAAAGTACATCATGCTCTCCCAGATCGAACATGGATGTGGCTTTTTCCTGAATCTGGTCACTGGATGGATTGAACGGTGCAAGTTTAAATGCATCACCTTGTTTCTCGCCATTCGCACCGCTAATGCTCGCAATCCGTTTCATCACACCATTTTCTCGTTTCTCTGTAACGGTATCATTATCAGTGTTCGTCATGCTACTTCCTCATTTCGCAACAGTGATACTGTTGTGCTCAATTCTTGTTACTCCCTACCGGCCGGTATTGTTGTTTGTTTTTCAAAGGAAAAAATTTCAAAAATTAAAAAAAATTCAGGGTTGTTCCATAGTACGAGTACGAGTACGTACGTTGTACGAGTACTCCTACCGGCCGGCCGGTACGAGTATCTCAAGACGTTTCGGATGAACCGGACGGACGAAACGTGCGAATTGTATTCTTGCATACTGTTTTCCACAACCGCTCTGGCGATCAAATAAAGATTTTCGTGCGTTTGGTACGTACGTATGGTATCCTTCCATGACGCATCGACTTTCGGAAGGAGTTACTACTACTAGTTGCAGTCCTGCTGGAATATTAAACTCGGAAGAAGTCAGCTGCTTGTGGTAGCACAGATGTTGTCCAAGAAATTACATACAATATTATTAGTAACTGCGATATTGTACAAAACCATCATTAGCACAACGACGAACATTTTATCAAGAACACAAAGTAATAGTAGTACTAGCAAAACAGGAGTAGCAGAACAAGGCCGAAGAAGAAAGTATAACTAGTGATGCTGAAAAAAGTGAAAGTACCAGTACCGCAGCTTTGGCAAAACAATGTCGCTCCTGAACATATAATGAAGCAGGAAAATTCTCGTGTCGTTGAGTCACAGCAGACACCTTCGATTGAAGAAATGATCAGTCTAGAGGAATATCATAAAAAGTCGAGATTACAAAGCTAGGCTTCCGTAGTGTACGGTTCGTTTCTTGATGCTTTATACGGTGTCTTCTCCAAATATTGCACGTTGGGTAAAAGCAGGCAAGACGAAGGATGCTCTGTGGAGCGCAGGAGTGTAGTACTTCAATTTTTTCTGTAATTCTGGAGTCATGTCAGCTTCTCGTTCTGGGACTTTGCAGGTTTTCCTTCCCTTGGTAGCCAAAATGAAGCCAATCTGTCCGGATGGATATGTGGGGATTGTTGTGTAAGCGTATTCGACAGAAGAAAAGGTTTGGCTGATTGAATCCACCAGGGGTTTGATGAGATCTAAATGAAGCCACATGCATTCTCCCTGCGTGCAGACAATGCCGCCTTCTCGAAGACTCTTGTACATGGCATTGTAGAAGGGTGTTTCAAACAGTACAGATGCAGGCCCTACAGGATCAGAGGAATCGGTAATGATCACGTCAAAGGCATCCTGATTCTCATCCATGAATTTTGCTCCGTCCATGATTTTTACGGTGACACGAGGGTCGTCATAACCCACTGCCAAGCTCGGCAGATGCTTTTTCGACGCAATAATGACTCCCTCATCGATTTCGCATTCGACAATTTCTTCCACACCGGGATGCCTAGCAACTTCTCGCAACACCCCGCCATCTCCACCACCAATCACCAGGACTTTCTTGGGATTCGGATGTGCAAAGAGAGGAATATGTGCAATCATTTCCTGGTAGGCATGTTCGTCGCGTTCCGTCACTTGGATCACACCGTCCAATACCAAAACATTTCCGTGGTTCTCCGACTCGAAGACCAACAGATCCTGAAAGTCGGTACGGTAATGATCAAGCACTTTTTTTACTTTGAGGGACATGGCTTGTCCGGGCCAGAGCACTCCACGTTCGTGGAACCAGCCATCGATGATCAAATCCATACCGCTGTTACGTATCATATTGCGATATAGAATGATTTATGCGGTGTTTGGTTCAGCGCACATGCGAATAAATGGAGATGACGATACGAAAATATTGGAACGATAACCATAAACTAAGGTGAGATATTCGTGTTCGTAGCTTCTACTGTCAATCGAAAGAGCAAAATAAATTCTCTCTGCCTCTCTTTCCTTTTTCGTGTTTCAAGCATTATATCCCACATCTATTGCACGTTCACACTTACTTGAGACCCATGTTGAGTGTTCGCAATTTTTATTTGTCTGAAAGAAACGATCTTTTTTGAGAACACAGTTTGATTTAAAACGAGGCGTTAGTTGCCATGCAGAAAATTTGATGAGCAATGCTTGCCTCGGGATCATTACGTACCGGTACATAGATACCGCACGTTGCCGTACCGTAAAAATCTTACAGCACTTTTACACCTTATCGGACGTCGTTGTGACTAAAAATGACTTGAGTCTTCTAGTGGCCATCAACAAACTCATGATAATGGATACGACTTCTTCGAATTCCAATTTTACTTACGGTACAGTATCCCGATAAAATTCCGGATTCCTCCTATCCTCCTAAATTTGTTTTGACAGTTTTTGTCATGAAAGAATGGAACGTTTCGATTTCGCGCTCGAGCGGGTTCTCCGAGGACCAAAGCACGCGCATGTTTTCTCAATCCATCACTAAAATCCACGACGAAGATCTTCCATAATACCGTACGCACTTCTAACTTTGATAAACAATCTTATTGAAATACCGCACGTTACTTCATACCATGTGAGAATTCTACTCGTACGATTGGTATCTGCTAGTCGTCGTCTCTGGATCTTTTTTCACGGATCCTGAAACCAACGAAGAAGAGAAAAAGAATTGGAACCATCAATAGAATGAAGTCAGATGGTAACCATGGTGCTAGAAATCGGAAAGTGATAGGGATTATAGGTGGATCGGGACCTGAAGCCGGGGCGGACTTGTTCGGCAAGGTCGTCTCAATGAATAGAAAAAAGATGGGGGAAACGTACAAATCCGACCGGGATGCTCCGAACATACTTTTGATAAGTGTTTCGGAACTGGGAGGACCACGCACGGCGATCGATGTCGACCCTAGAAATCCTGATGGGACCTACGAACAATCTCGGACGGCACTTCTGGACACAATACGGAAGATCGTGCCGCTGGTGGACGTCTTCTGTGTTGCATGCAACACGCTGCACATGTTCGAGGCACAGATCCGGGAAACAGTCGCAGCTTTGGGACGGAATCCATCCATGTTTGTGTCGATTATATCCTCAACGATCAAAGCCTGCAAGGATGAGCTGAATGGCGACGAGAGCGCGAAAATTTCGATCCTTGGCGGACCCGTAACCATGGATCTCGACGGTAATTCATCCTATCGTCGGCTTGTGGAAGAGGTGGGCAAAGACTATTTCTACAGGCCACCATCATCGTGCACTTCAATTCTGCAGCGAGTCATCTGGAAAGTTAAACAAGAAGGAACGGCACACACGAGCGGAGATGCACTTACGGAATACGAAGGCTTGCTGAGAGACGTTGCTTCGCAAAGTGTGAAGGTTTGTGTCCTCGCGTGTACCGAGCTCCCGCTAATCAACGCAAAACATATCACCGACCTGCCGATGAAATTCATCGATCCCGCAGAGGTTGTGGCAGACGCGCTTCTGAGTGTTGCTCATAGATAACGACCGTCGCCTTGTCCGACAAGGTTTCCATGCGTTGGAATTATTCTAAATGTTTCCAGCTTTATGAAAATTTCGTTTTGGTAATAGTGTTCATGTTTTATCATTCTAATATCTAAGTCTATCACTGCGGGGACTCACATGTTATCGATGCGATGCATACGGCTTCCGGCTGACCTCTAATTTCATCTTTGCACCATCGAGAATATCTGTAAAATGCGACATGTCGTCATCGCTTGCTGGACCAAGATATCCTCCCATTCGTTTCATAAGAGCTCTTGCCAATCCCAACCCTATTCCTCTTCCCCCAACGTCCGATGACGTTTTGTCACTGCGAAATCCCCGTTCAAAAATGAGGTCGAGATCGTCTTCTGCTATTCCTGGCCCATTGTCTTCCACAAGAACTGTTACGCCGGGCCTTTCGACGTGATCATTGGGATATATTCGAACTCGAACTTCAGGATTGGGATTTCTTGTAAACAGTGCGTCATCCTTCGGTAGAACAACATACTTGAAAGCATTATCCAAGACATTGCTTGTAGCTTCCTGAAAACTCTTGGGAGCTACGAATACACCGGGTAGATCGTCTATGTCTTCAATTGAGACCTCAAACTTAATATCATTTTCGGATGCAATCGCTTCGAAAGTGTCGAAGACGCTTTCAAGAACATCAGTAATAAACACCATTTCGGTTTCGAAATCCCCAATTACGGTTGCCTGCAAGCCATCTATTTCGGTTTCTTTTCGGTTTTCGATGGTAATCTTCTCTGGAGCTAGAGGTTGAGGGTCATTCTCGTCGATAGTTGCTTCTGGATTGGACCTTGGGACCATGGCGCTATTGTTCGAAGGATGGTCATTCCAAAGTACCATCGACTGCACATTCTCAGTATTGTTACTTATTGCAGGGGGAAGCATCACAACAGAGTTTGGCTGATCCAACGTTTCAACCAATGAATCCATTGGACCCAACATATCGACCACCCGATCACTCTGAACCATGAGTCTCTCGGCTAACTCCAAGAGTTCAGGTGTACCACTACCGTCGCTTGTTGTATCAGCAACCTGTCGTTGCAGAATTTTGCCATAAGTTCTCAGGGCCTGTATAGGATTCTTCATTTGATGCAAACTATCGGAAAGATTCTCCCGAAAAACACTATTTTGTTCCCGAAGGAGATTACGCTCGTTGTCCATTCTCAGAGCCATGGACAAACTCTGTGCAGCCAGGGAAACTTGCTCTCTCTCTCGTTTTGTCCAAGATGTGCCGTTTTCGACACTGCTCTTGTTATCGAGTGTTACCGTTGGCGATACCAAAAGTACGCCAACGGTTTCTGAACCAGATAAAAGTGGAATCGAAAGGGCCGACGTCTTCAATCGAATATCACATAATACTTCTTCAACAGTACCTACCCCAGGATCGTTACCACCTGCAAGCATGGGGTATCCAGGTAGTAAATCTGGGGCAGAAGAAAAGCCCGGCAACTTCGACAGAGATTTCGGTAACGTCGGAGCTTGCCCTGATGCAGCATCCGAGGCGATGAAGACTCGTTCGGTGCTTGGATCCGGGTATAAGATAGCAGGAGTGAATTCTAGTTGTCCAGTGAAAGAATTTTCTTGTGGAAGATAGAGAATCATTGACTGGACTTTGCTAATCGAAGGATCATCGGCGCGAGAAAGAGAACTAGCAAGAAGTTCCAGTTGAGACTGTGCCATCTTTCTGAAATTATCCGACGGCATGGCCGGAATTGGAAATTGCTGCTGAAAGTGATTGTGATGTTGTTTTGAAAAGAGGGCTGTTGGTTTCCTTGGTAGTACATCGAGGTGATAACATCCCATTCTGAAAGGGAACGAAACTCCGTGATGACCTCGAAATGATTCGGTCCAACCGTGCTGCGCCAGCACTAGAACAAACACCGTTGCAATCGGCGTCACCATCATCGTCGTTGTCATGTTAGATTATGCGTATCGCACCATCAACAATATTATTGTTATGTAAGTATAGGTTGTAAGTAGTATACTTCACAATAATCTCAACGGGTGCCTCAAGGTTCGATGTGCGGTACGTTGATTTGTGATTTCTTTCTCAAATTTTGTTAAGTTCTCCGTGCTTCCATGGTTTTTCTTCCTTTCGATTCAAATCACATTTCGCGATGTTTTCTGTCCGTCGCCCATCTACCATAGCGTACGGTACGTAGGTGCGAATAGGTGCGACGTACCGGTACTTTACGGCAGTACGTTGGTACAAGGTACATACTAGTACTACGTGCGATACATACCTTGTACTATTACGTACTTCTACTTACAACTTACACCGATTGAAATCGTTTGCATAAATTCGTATTCCATGTAAATCTTTTCTTCGACATCCAACGAAAGCGAAATGAAAAGGCTCGGTCACGAACACTACGCTACTGACAACATGATCTAAAACATGGTATCTATAAATTTATGAATAGATGCAGTATCAATGGTAGATAGAGCATCTAGCCTAATCAGCCTAATGCGAATTGCTTGTTCTATGATCCGACTAGATAATTTTTTCCAGTCGGATTGGTGATTCTTTCACCGTGTCACATTATTGTAGACAGGACTTTTGACAAGAGGCAAAATGTGCCTTCCTGATTATGCTCCCCTAACTAACGAAGTCCGACGGCGACGCACCCGTCGAGCGTCGGATCCATAGTTAGCTTCGCTGACGACACCGTAGTTGGCTTCGGTGGCAATACCATATTGTCCGTAGTTCGCTTCGCTAGCCACACCATATTGTCCGTAGTTTGCATCACTGGCAATACCGTACTGCCCGTAGTTGTCTTCACTGGCGACACCATACTGCCCGTAATTGGAGTCACCGAACTGTCCGTATTGTTCGTAGTTGGCGGTACCATATCCGTAGTTTCCTAATTCTTCAATTTCAGTTTCAGTTTCCTCAACTATTTCATCCACTTCTTCATTAATCTCTTCATTATCAACCTTGTCGGAATAAGATGCAGCTCCACCAGCTCCACCAAAACCGAGTTGTGCGGCAAGGGATAGTCTTCCTGTCAAGAGCTTTCTGTGGGTAGAATGGTAACGCTGCTGACTGGAACCTCCAAGGGATTCGATGATCATATCCAAACACGCGTAAAGCTTGCCAGGTGTATGAATCAACAAAGGTTGGGTGTGAGTATCAATATGAGTCAAAGGAGCATGCGATCCCTGACCTTCGAACACACATCCATCCACAGGTCCCCGCGTCCACTGGGAATTACCAAACATCTCTTGGCCGTAGTCCAGAACAATCGCTTCAGGATATCTATACATCAGCCCCGTAAGAACGGCTTGGTCATCTTCGTAAGGAGCAATGTCCATGATATCCATGAGGTTGATCAAGTCCCTTGGGTATCCGGCCATTAGACCGGCGTTCAAGTAAACATCTCCGTGGCCTTGTAGACCAGTTTCTTTGAATCTACGCTGATGCATAAAAGATACCCATTCGTGAATGTTTCTGTTTTCTGACCAACGACATTTGGCCTCTAATCCGGATGAACACGCACGTCTATTACGCTTTCCAGTGACAGGATCGAAGTAGTCCCGGGGGCTGGCATGGGACATGGCAGAAACACAACATTGAGCTTCAGCAGAAAGGACGACTGCGTTTGGAGAACGTTCTGTGAGTCTTTTAAAGCTTTGGATGAAATGATCAACCGCTGCAACTGCCAAATCTTCATCTTCAGGTACGTTGAGGGCGACATCACGAGCATCCGCCAAAATTATCAGAGTGTCATCGTCTACAATCTCAAGAATAGGTCTTAGAGTTTGGTATTTGTCTCCGAATCCTCGGTATTCCAGATCATTTCCGTAGACTGTCGCCTTCACATTTGCTACTTTGCTTCGTTCCGTGAAAAAATGAAGTGGAGAATTGTGTTGTCCCCCCAAAGCTCCATCAGTTTCGTACATCAAGAAGTGAACATCGTCACGGAGTTTTTGGGCCTCAGAAGCATGCGACAAACTTCCGATCACACATAACACTTGAGTCAAGATATTGATGGAAAACTTCATGGTTGCTGTGATTTCTCTCGAATAAAATGATTTTAAACGTCGGCAATTTCTTTTGAAAAAAGAAAGCGCTTTATGTATTGTTGTTGTGAGGCTCGTAAGTGAATTCACACAATATTCAACATGAAAATGTCTGAGCAATAGCAGTGAAAATGTGAACGGTATTGAATGGATTTGTTTGACCGTCTGACTAACGAATATTTCTGACCTGCTAACGGTTTGTTACATATGGTTGTCGTTAGATGTTCTGGATTAAAAACCAAAATATTATAGCCTTCTTACGGAGTGTACACATGAAACTCGAATGGATGTAACGGTATCATTGCTGGAATAGCGTCCGTACGCCTTGGGATAAGGAAAAAATACGTTATTTTTTTCTTTTACGATGTCGTACCGGCCGGTTTGATTGGGAAAAGAAACCGCATACTCCGTCCAGTGAGTCTTGAAGAAAGAATGGAAAATTCGACGTCATTTCGATGAGTTATATCATTATATAGTCTTGGTTCCACTGGTTCGCCGCGACCAAACATCTGAAGCTGCGATTATCTAATCTAAACAGAGATCGAAAACCTAAACAATTAAGTATTTCATTGCAGTGATTACAGTGATGATCATATCTGAGATTTTTTACTACAGCGGAAGTGAGCGTAAGATGGATAGTGATAGTTACCACATCGATGGCGACGATGGGAAAGTTTGCTCTTCTATCTCGTGTCCAATATGCAACTAGAGGAGCAAAAGCCCAGAACCGTGTGTGCTGTGCTGAAAAAGCGTCAATATTAGCAACGCAAATTCTTGGACGACAACGGAAGCATTTCACTTCATCGACAACGACGACGATGGAAAAAGAAACGACAACGGAAGTAAAAGATCGTCACTTGACGCTTTTGGAGGTTGAGGCAATATGTAGCAAAGCTCTTTCTTCGTCTGGGCTCAATCCTGATGCAACTGCTGCAATTACAGAAGTAGTTACTGTCGCTGAGCGTGATGGATGCCATTCCCACGGCCTTTTCCGAGTACCAGGATATTGCCAGGCACTGTTGTCTGGCAAGGTTGACGGTTCAGTGAAACCAAAAGTTCACGACGTAGCTCCAGGGGTAGTCAGGGTTGATGCAGGTGGTGGATATGCGCCGCCGGCCATTCTTGCTGGTCGTGATCTTGCCATACAAAAAGTTCGCAAGAACGGTATTTCGTGCTTGGCAATCCACAATTCTGTACACTTCGCTGCACTATGGTGGGAAGTGGAAGCCCTGGCAAACGAAGGCCTAGTATCTCTTGCTTTTGTCAATTCTCGTAGTTTTGTTGCTCATCACCCCGGTGGCAAACGAAAACTATACGGTACCAATCCAATGGCATTTGGCTTTCCAAGGCCTATCGGCACGTCGTCCGAAAATGAAGCACGCGGTCCTTTGGTCTGGGACCAGGCATCTGCCGCAATGGCACGAGGCGAAATCCAATTGTGTGAACGGGATGGTCACACTTTATCCGAAGGTGTTGCAATCGATCGCCATGGTCAACCAACAACCTCGCCCGAGGCTGCACTGGTAAGTTCCATTGTCTCTGGGATACTACTTTTGCATGATCTTGGTTTCTGAGTCGAGATAAAATTCTTTGTTTCTAGAAAAATTTGACCCACTCTATTCCTCCGTGCCTCTACTTTTATCGCTTCAAACCATAGGATGGGGCACAGGTGAGTTTTTGTTTGTTGTCAATGTATGATATATTTTGTATAGCTACTCGATCTGCATTGCATCCGTTTCTTTTCTCTGTTGTATCCTAGTTTCCAACTCAACGTATCCATCAACATTTACATTACACAGTTGCCCTTCGGTGGTCATAAAGGCTCCTTGATAGCCATGATGGTGGAGTTGATGGCAGCCGGGATGACGGGCTCACAATTTTCCTTCGAAGCCCACGATAATGACGATGATCCTGAAAATAGCAATGGGCCAACTAATCACGGAGAACTTATTATCTTAATTGATCCCGTTGTTACATCGGGTGGGAATGACTACCTACAGCATTGTGAGATGCTATTTGAGAGGATTTTAGAAGAAGAAGGTACGCGGTTGCCTTCTACGCGTCGGTATGCTAATAGACTCAAGACTCCCTCGGAAGGAATCTCGATTCCACTTGAACTTTATGAAAAGATTATTTCTCTTGGGCTAGAAGATGGTGGTCCAACGCCAAAATAGGGCACAAAAAAATGCAATTGTAATTGAGAGATGGAAACAATCAAGCAAATTTTATCATTGATGCGATCTTCTCGAAAATCAAAAACTGCGATTCGTGTGCTTCGTATTTCGCTTTCTCTTCTTCCTCGGAGTTGCGTTTATGTGCCTTTCACGAATGAGCTGAAGAAGTTCGGTAGTAACTTTTATCAGCATTTGCGAAGTCCTATTTTCCCGTCTGCTTTCCTTGTTCCCTGCTGCGGGTTGTTCTTTGTGCGGAATCGTTGGCAAAAATAGGTTTTTCCGCTTCACTGCCGGCTCATCCGAAGACTTCTGGGCGAAAATGTAAAAGCAAGCGTCGTGGCAGGGGAAGGACTTTCGATCGAGCGCTTTTCGCGGTGTGTATGGAGGAAGGAGGAATCGATCGAGGACAATGCGCCCACTGTAAAACAGCAGGGGGGGGCTTTTTGTTGTCGAGTCACAGTCGTCCTTTTGCGAGCTAAGTGCTACTTCCTCCAGGTTCCATTGATTGTAGGGCGGTTTCGTCTTGTGACAGAGACACAGTTCCCCATCTCCCCCACCTGTCAAAATGGATCGCGCGTTTTGCACGAATTTCCGAACCAAGTTCTTGTTCTCTTCCATCGCCTTGTTCTGTCCGTCTTGTCCGTTGGAAATGGCGGTGCAGGGGAAATTCCAACAGATCCTGTGAAAGCGGCCCTTTATGGTTTTGATGCGGCCCTTGGCAGAAACAGACAAGGTGTCGAAAATGCGAGTAGCATCTACGCTATATGCTACAATCACTCCCAGTTCATCCAACCGGCGAAGGGTCTTGTCGAAATCTGGGTACACCTTTCTGAGAGTTGCCTCGGTTTCGTAGCTTGTTGCAACAATAAATGTCTTTTGGTCTTTGCCATCGCTCGAAAATTTCTTTTGTTGTAGAAGTCTCTGTGCTATGCCCAGGGAGAACGAAAAGTCGCCGTCGCCAACCGTCAAGATCGACATTCCGCGGCGGAATCCAAGCACTCCATCGTCGGTGTCGGTGTTGTTGTTCGCTGCCGTGTTGTAGTCTACTTTGCTCCGAGGGCACTGGTCGGGTCGCTGGTTGGGTCTTCGCCTGCAAAACTCTTTGTCGAGAGCAACATCGAAACAGCCGATCTTATAGGCACACGGGATGCATTCGCGGTTCATGGTGCAGTCGTAGGTTACGTGCGAGGCATACAATTGTTCTGTGTTTCGTGTCGGCGGCTCGTTGTCCGACGAAGACGACGGCGGCGGTATCCCGCCTTTTCTTTCGTTGTCGTCATTCGGTCGATCAAAACCCACCTTCGAAGAATCATCATCGACCGAGGAGGTGACGGGTTGTGGCAGTCTTCGTTTTTTGCCCATGTTGTGACTCGCTTGCTTTGCTCAAAAGCCTTTTGGAACGATCGATCGATGCAAGAATAATTGTGCAGGGAAGGACTCTTTCTGGTTTGGAAAAATAAAAATAACGATCCGGTGATGGGAAATCCAAATCCCAAAATGGACGGTAGGACAGGCGGGTAGACGGGATTAATCCACTACTGAGACACGGAATGAGACTGACGTACCGTACTCTAGAAGGTCTTACTTAGGTTTTCGCCCTCTTGCGGAAGAATGCATCTGTACCGTAGCAATTGGAACTTTGCGGAGCTCAGGAACAGTTGTATCTGGAAGTTATTGGAATGGGGTTTAGTCGCTGTGAGAATTGTGGGTAAATTACGGCCTTGAACACATGCGGAATGGCGTCTACTAGTAGTACTATTCGCACGAACCTGCTCGTGCCCTCGTTGTTCCCGCTACTGCTAGTAGGTTTTGGCCCATGGCACGGCAAACTACGCAGTGTGTGTGGTCGGCAGCGAGTGCAAAGGCAGTTCCGCACGACAAAAATTACTTCGTTTTGCCATGACAAAAGATAAAGCACGATGGCAAGGGTGCAAGCCTTGTTTTCTGCTCAAAAATACATTCATCTATTAGTTGTAGTAGTAGGAAGAATGAGCACTGCATGTACACCTCACGTCTCGACGGTGGACTATGCTTCTCGCACCAATAATTACGTTCTACAGGATATACGTATACTCTTGCTCGATAAGTATGGGTACCGTAAGAGCGGAGAGGAAATCGATCCTCCTCGAATCGTGTCTATTACGATCTTCTCTCGCTTGTGCGAGACCCAACCATCCACCTGTACCCGTTCTTCCCTCCTTTTTGCGAGCAAAACACAACGCCGTCGCTCGGTTCGGTTCGTTTCTGGCAACGCACCGTGTTCCGCACCGGAAATCCCTCTGAGTCCGTGTTCCGATGCTTTCCTTTGGACCGCTTGCGTCACCGTGGCTTCCCGGTGGCCGGATCGAGGTCCGAGTCGGGGTTGAAGGCGTGGTATTCCTGCATGATGCGCAGGTAGTTCCTCATCTGCTCCCGCTGCTCGGGGGTCAGCGGGGGCAGGTCGGCGCGCCTGCTGGCCCGGTCCTCGGCCGACCACCGGGCGAATTCCCGGGCCTCCCGGTAGTGCTCCGAGGCGTCGAGGTGGGACCTGGCCCCCTCCTCCAGCATGGCGTCGCGGCAGTACCGAAAGTACGTGATCTGGGCGCGCGGGGGGTCCGTGCGATCCGGTTCGGGGCGGGGCGGGAACGAACAACACAACACAGCACAACACAACACAACACAACAAGGAAGGGGTGAGCCGGGTTGCCTTTGCCGCGGGTGGGTGGGCGTTCCTTTGCCGCGCTGGTTCTTTCCGAGACGGCGAACGCGACGATCTGCCAACAGTGTGAACCCACCTTGAATGCGGTTCCCACAACAATGACGCCTCCGATGGCACCCCACACCCTCTGGTTGGCAGAGAGCCTTCCAAAGTTCTGAAACATGTTCGTTTCGGTTTGGTTCGGTTTATTTGTTTGTTTGTTTCGTCGCAGAAATTCGCTGCTTCTGCGCTTTTGTTGCTACCGGAACACCTGTTCGGTTCTCGTCGAGAGCCCGAGGACGAATCCACCGGGTTCGTTCGGTTTTCGATTGCGGTTGCGAACTAGATCGGTTCTCCCTTTTTCTATGTTCCCGTCCGAATCTCGCTCGGTTCCATCGGTGTCCCTCGGTTCTTTCGATCCGAAGCAAAGAAGTGTCGCGTTGTTTTCTGTTGCTTTGGATGGATGGGGCGCTTGCGGAGAGTGTCGTTTCCTCGTCGGACGGTTGTGTGGTTCGATTCTGCTGTGCTCCACTTCGAACCGGTACGGTAGGTGAGATGCCCCGAAGGTTCCGTTCCAAACGAACGAACGAACGACACGGCGACGGAACAGATCTTGTTCGATGCGATGCGATGCGATGCGTTTTGCCCGGGTTCGACGTGCGTCTCGACCGGCTCCGGGAGTGACCCGTCTGACTCACCATCCAACCGATGTTTTAGTCGAACGAATCCTTCGGAGATCGATTCGTTCGAACCACGGTGTACCGTTCGTTCGGCAGTCCAGCGGGTCCCGCGTTTTGTTGCCATAGTACTTTATGGTAGTACTAGTACGTATGTACCGTACCATACCATACGTAAGGTACTAGGCAGCTACTACGGCACGAAGAGGCACCGGATGGAACGAGAATGACCCTCAGGGGCATCGGACGGACCAAAAACTTCTTTCGGGTCCGGCGAAGAGGTCTTCTTTGTTCTCCGGACGCTGGATCACAGATGGCTTTTTCGCTTTTTCGGGTCTTCCTCGAGGCTTCACCCGCTTTGAATCGTTTTTTGTTCCTGTTTCACCCGAAATCACAACCAGGGATGCCGTGCAGTTGAAAAGTGTTCCAGCATCCACGCAAGCATTGTCCCATTTCGAGAGACAAAAAGAATCCGACGCCGATTGCAAGCACAGCCTATCCTCCGACGCAACGCAACGCAACGCAACACAACACGACACAACACAACACGACACAACACACGACATATCACACCACACCAAAACACACCGCACGCACTACACCGTTGCAGATCGGCATGGCGACACTCAAAGGCCTGGCTTCTTCCGCCGTGCTCCGCACGATGAGCCACCACGCAACACGGCAAGGGCTCCGTCCGACGGGGAGGCGGCGCCTCGCCTCTCTTCCGCTGGCCAACGCCGGTGCATGTGCACGTACACGTGCAAATGCCTCTGCCAGAGCGGGTCTGCGGCAACCGGGCCGACGGGCACTCTCCCCGGCGCCGACGCTGCTGCCCGCGCTCGCCGCCCGTTCCGACGACCAAGGCGCAAGCGCGTTCTCCGGCCTGGCGCTCCTGCTGCTCGGGGCCGTGTCCGCAGCCACCGATTGCGAGGCTGCTAGCGGGAGCGACATTAACAGCGACATTAACATCGACGACGACAACGACGACGGCCCCGAATACACCTCGGAAGACGTCCGAGCGAACGACGGGATGGACGGCAGGCCCGTCTGGATGACCTACGGAGGAAGGGTCTTCGACGTGACGTCCTTCGTTCGGAACCACCCCGGCGGAGACCGCATCCTGCTGGCGGCCGGCGGGCCCATCGAGCCCCACTGGCACCTCTACCGGCAGCACTTTGCCTCGGACCTGCCCATGCGGCTGCTGGAGCCCCTGGCGATCGGCACGCTGCGCGAGAGCGACCAGGACGAGGTCGACGCCAAGATGGAAGAGATCGCGGAGCGCGAGCGGGACCCCTACGAGCTGGAACCGGAGCGGAGGGGGATCGTCACCGACAAGGACGGCGCGGAAGACAGAATGAAGGTCCATTCCGACCAGCCGATGAACGCGGAGGTCCCGGAACGCCTGCTCACCAGGAGCTACMTGACGCCGTCCTACCTCTTCTACATGAGGCACCACCACCCGGTTCCCTACCTCTCCGAGAAACAGATCGAGAACTACCGCCTCGAGATCGACCTCTCGGAGTACGGAAAGGGCGTGGTACGCCTCTCCCTCGACGATCTCAAGTCCCTGCCCAAGGAGGAAATCGTCGCGACCATGCAGTGCAGCGGGAACCGACGGAGCGAGTACAACGTCTTTGAGAAAACGAGCGGGACCACCTGGGGGCAGGGGGCCATCTCCACCGCCAAGTGGGGCGGGGTCCGCCTCGGCGAGCTCCTCAAGAACGCCGGGATGGGAGACCCCGTGGAGGCCCGCGAGAAGGGCGGCATCGAGCACGTCCGCTTCGGCGCCATCGACGGGATGAAGGTCTCGATCGGCATCGAAAAGGCCACCAACCCGTACGGGGACGTCATGGTCTGCTACGAGATGAACGACGAGGAGCTCCCCCGGGACCACGGGTACCCCATCCGGCTCATCGTTCCGGGCTACGCGGGGGTCCGGAGCCTCAAGTGGCTCAACAAGATCTCCATCTCCAGGGAGGAGGCCGAGGGCCCCTGGCAGCGCGGGCTCAACTACAAGGTCCTCCCCCCCAACGTCCACGACGCGAACGAGGTGGACGTCGGAGGCATGCCGGCCTGCAACGAGCTCAGCGTCTCCTCGGGGATCACCACGGTGGAACCCGTCGGCCTCGGGTCCGCCCCGCAGCCCGGGGACGTCGTCTCCGTCAGGGTGGCGGGCTGGGCCTTTGCCGGCGGCGGACGGAACATCGTCCGGGTGGACGTCACCGGAGACGTGGCGAACCACGACTGGAGGGCCGCCGAGCTCGGGGAGGGCAGGGACCAGCGGTACGGCCGGGGCTGGGCCTGGACCTTCTGGGGGGCCGAGATCCCGGCCCGGGTCCAGGCCGACGGCTCGGTACACATCTTCTGCAAGGGGGTCGACATGGCCTTCAACAGCCAGCCGGAGAGCGCGGCGGACCAGTGGAACGTCCGGGGCCTGATGAACAACAGCTGGTACCACAGAACCATTTTGTTCAACAAGCAATGAATTGGCCACCGCAAATCGCAATCGCAATCGCAACCGCAACAGAAGTACCAACAACAGCGACACAAACACCAACATAAATAACCACAAAAATTATAGTACTGCGACAACGCCGGCAATCCGTTCGTTCGTTTGTTTGATTTTCTTTTCTTTTCTTTCATTTTACGCTGGGCGGTCGCCGGGATCGCCGCCCTCCTTGTGAAACCGGGCCAGTGCCTCGAGGTCCGTCCAGGAAACAGCAATGCCGGCACCCCCGCTCCGCGTTGCTGTTGCTGCTGCTGCTGCTGTCTTTGTCGAAGGGTGGTTGCGAAATTCGCCGCCTGTCTCCCGAGGAGTTCCTTCGCAGACACAGACGCAGGCGCATCCCTCGGCCGCCCCGGACCGGAGCGGCAAAAACCCGAACCAGGCCCCCTCGTCGTCGGTTCGCGGCCGGCCCGGAAAATGGACCCTTCCCCGGAAGCCCTCGCAGCCGTGTCGTTTTGGTGGTTGTGGTTCTTGTTGTGGTTCTTGTTGCGGTTCTTGTTGCGGTTGAGGTTGTTTCGGCGGTTCGGCATTGCTGCCGCCCTTTCGTGCTCCAAAAAGACGGGCCGAGAGGGAGAACGGGCCGTCGCCGCATCCTTCGATCCCTTCGAGCCGGATCTCGAAGCTCCCAAAGGCAAGGCCCATCCCCACACCGATGGCCTTGGTGTAGGCCTCTTTCATGGCCCAGCGGAGGTAGAATTCCCTCATGGCTGGCGTGGCTTCCGTAGTTGCCGCCCCCGCAGGCCCCGGATGGTGGTGGTGGTAGACGCCCTGCCTCCACTCGCTGGGGGTGAACTGGTCCTCGAAGACCGCCAGGAATTCCTCCGCCGACGAGTACAGCCTCCGGTTGAATCCCTCAAAGACGACAATGTCCAGGCCCACCACGTGCGCCGCCGGGGCCAATGAGATTCCCCCCTGCGCTTCGGTGTTGGCTTCCCGCGGGAGTTCCGCCATGCCCACAAAGGGGAACTGGTGGGACACGCTGAGCGGAAAGGCGTCCTCCTCCCGCGGCTCTGCCTGCGGTCTCGCCGCGGGGGATCCTCCCGGAAGGGGGACGTAGGGCTTTCCGCGGCCGGTCCGGGGCAGCGAGACGATCGGCACGGGGGCGGCTTCCGCCGCTTCGTTTGGGTCGGTTTCGTTCTCGTTTTTGTTCTCGTTTTCGTTCTCGTTTTTGTTTTTGTTTTTGTTTTCCTTCTGGCTTCGGCTCCCGCGAGACCGCGCCCGGAGGCGATCGCCTCCGTAGATATTGTGAAAGGCCCGGCTCTTGAAGAGAACCGATGCGTAGGCCAGGTACTTGTCGTTGCTTTTGAGAAAGCGCGAGACCTGGTTCCGAATGCCGTTGCCGTTGCTGTCGCTGGTGGAATTGCTGTTGCTGGTGGAGTTTCTACAGCTGGTTTTGTTGCTGCTGCGACGAATGCTGATGCTGACGCTGCCACCGCCGCCACCCCGCCCCAGAAAGTCGGCCGCGGAACACGAGAGGGCCCAGCTGGGGTCCGACGCGAGGGTTTCCAGCAGGCGGCTCGCAGAGGGATCCCCCCCTGCGTCCCCCGACGCGTCGAGCAGGAAGAGGGCCACGGGCACCGGTGGTGGCACCGGTGGCGGCATCGGGCCTCCGCCGTTGCCGTTGCGTGGCCGTGGCCGTTGCTGGTGGCTCCCTCCGGGAGGGGTGGAACGGCAACTGCTGCTGCCGCCCATGGTGGAACAGGTTCGGCTGCCGGTGCCGTCTTCTTTGGATTGATGGACACAGCAACGATACGGTACACAAACCAAGCGGGCTTGCGGTTTTGGTGTGAGGCACGTAGTAGTCAATCACGAATGGTTAGGGAGTGAGCAACAAGCGCACTCCTTGTACTGTACCGTACCAGTACTTTGGAATCGACCGCAGGGAAAGATGCTTCAAGTTACGTTGTAGGTACTCATAATATGTATAGTATATATTATAGTAACCTGTGCTCGCGCCAAGAAAATGAATGAGTCACGGCGGCGTCGGCATTGGAACAAGGAAGCAAGTTGTTGCCGCCCACATCCATCCTACCGTACGCCGAAGTACGTAGCGTACGATAGGAAGCCTCGTAGATTTCACGGGCGATTCGTACGTACCGTACTGTATTGGCTAGGCTCGTGGTAATACAGTACGATACTGTACTGTACGTACCGTACGGAGCGGGACTCGTCAAAATCCACGAAAATTTCAGGATTTTCCCCCCAACCTTTTCGGCTCCCGTACGGTAACATCGCTCACAACAACAACAACAGCGAGCGTTTCGGAGGCAAGAACAAGATCCACTCGCTCTCGACACACTCTCCCTTTCGACACACACTCTCGCGGAGACCAAGMCCGGCCCCGGGCTTGGTTTGGCTGGAGTTYCCCAGCCGATGGCACCGGATCCCGCCAACGAAGCACCGGCCGGGAGCCGAAACGGAAGGAACCACGACGAAACGGCCCCCCCGTCCCCGGGGGAGGGATGGTTTGCCACCGAGAACGAGGAATGGGTCGTCCGGCTCCAGCGGTGGCGGGAGGGGGGAGGAATCGGTGGTAGGGGGGCCGTAGCTACGATCCTGCACGCGGCAAAGCTGGCAAACCTGGCGTGCGCCTCGGAGTTCCACCGCGGGGGCAGCAACAGCACCAGCAGCAGCACCAGCAGCACCACCGGGAGCAGCATCCGGGCGCTCTATCTCGAGGCGCAGAACGAAATGGACGGGGACGGGGACCTCCGCTACGGTTCCGAGGCCCGGCTTTCCGAACGACCGGTCTCTCCTCCCGCCGTTGCGGCGACGGGAGCCACGGAGGCCGGCGACACTAGCAACAAAAACAACCAAGAAGACGACAACAACGAGGACATCGCCATGGAGCTGGACGCCTTTTTCCGGGACTACCCCGAGTGCCACCGAAGCAGCGACCGCGGTCCGGGGCACTGGAACGAAGACGACAGCGACAGCTATAGCGATAGCGACGGCGGCGAGAGCTGCAACGAAAGAAGCGAGCCTTCGTCTCCCCGGCATCGGCGTCGGCGTCCAAACCAGGACGAATCCAGCGCCGTCGTCGATCTCGTTGCCGCGGCCTCGGAACCCCTGCACACGCAGACGCTACCAGAGATCCACGCACGGGCCGAAAGCAGAACCAGCAGCAGGAGCAACCATGGCAGCAGCAACAACGGCAGCAACAACAATAATGTCAGCAACAACAACGAGCAACACACAGAACCACTCGATGGGGACAGAGATCCACATCCGCGCACAGATCCGGACCGTCCTCCACAGCCACGCGGACGGCCCCTCTCGGCCAACGTGAACCACTCCAACACCACCGATGGAGCCAGCGACGCGTGCAACGCTCCGAATCCCAAGAACCCGTACCGAAGCGGAACCGTGGATCTCACGGCGGCCCTTCCCCCGGGGAAGGAACGCGGGAAACCAAGAGGCCCGTCCGATCCCAATCCCTACCGGAGGCCGGTGTCCCGGTCCGGTTCCGGGGCTCCGCCGCGGGCGCACACCGCCCCCCGCAATCCCTACGACCGCCGCAGTCAAACCCAAAACCCGTACGGCAGCGGCAACGCCAGCTTCAGCGCCAGCGGCACCAACCCTGCCTACGGCGACGCTGGCAACCGAGAGGCCTGGCTGGACCACCGGAACCGGACCAACCCCTTCCAGACGGCCCGGGAGGTCGCGCAGGCCGAGCAAAACTTCCCCCACCGGGATCCCTTCCGCGGGGACCACCGCCAGCAGCGGCACGGGGATCCCGGAACCCGGTACGGCCCCAGCCCTTCGGGAAACGACGACAAGGGCTATGGAAGCTACGACGCCGGCCACGAGGGCACCGGTCCGTACATCCCCCAGTCCCTCAAGCGAAAGTTTCAGCCCCCCACCCGAAAGGGACTCGGGACCGGCGCCGGGCAGCCCTCCCGGAAAGCGGACCGCCCATGCATTCGCAGCAACAGCGGAGGCATTGGCAGCAGGAACAGGAACGCAAGCAGCAGCGGCGGCAACCGCCCCAAGAGCGAACCCGCCGATCCAAGCGGTGGCGTTGGCGGCAAGGACGACAAGGACAACGACGAGCTGCCGGAGGCCCTCCAGCACCTCGAGAAGGAACTGGTCCGGAAGATCGAGAACGAGATCATGGAATCGGGGGAGACCGTCACCTTTGGCGACATTGCCGGCCTGGAGGACGTCAAGGCCACCGTGGACGAGCTGGTGTGCTGGCCGATGAAGCGGCCCGACCTCTTCACCGGCCTGCGAAAGGCACCCAACGGCCTGCTCCTCTACGGTCCCCCGGGGTGAGTCGAGTCGAATCGKATCGGATCGGATCGAATCGCATGAATGTGTTGTTCTTGTTCTTGTTTTGGTGTGTTGGTTTGTTTTGGTTTCTAGAACATCGTGCCGTGCCCTCTGCCTCTCGCGAGATGGTTCGGCCCTGGATGGATTCCCGTTCGCTTTCGATTCTTTCGTAATACCCACTCTCCAGATTCTTACACACTCGATGCCCTCCCTCTTCCCATCCCCGCATTTCGTTTCGGCCCGTTTCGTCTCGCTCGCACAGGACCGGAAAAACCCTCATCGGCAAGGCCATTGCCCACGAGTCCGGGGCCACCTTCTTCTCGATCTCGAGCTCCTCGCTGACGAGCAAGTGGATCGGCGAGGGGGAAAAACTCGTCCGGACGCTCTTTGCCGTCGCCGCCTATCACCAGCCGGCGGTCGTCTTTATCGACGAGATCGATTCGCTCCTCACCCAGCGGACCTCCTCCGAGAACGAGGCCAGCCGGAGGATCAAGACCGAGTTTTTGGTCCAGCTGGACGGGACCGGGACCACGGGACAGGGACGGGTCCTCGCCATCGGAGCGACGAATCGGCCGCAGGAGCTGGACGAGGCGGCCCGGCGGCGATTCACCAAGCGACTCTACGTCCCGCTCCCAGAAGAAGCCGACCGGAGGGTMCTCCTGGAGGTCCTGCTCAAGACCAACAAGCACGAGCTCGGACCTTCCGACGTCGAGGCCCTGGCCAGGGACACCAAGGGCTTCAGCGGWGCCGACCTCCGGTCCCTTTGTACCGACGCCGCCATGGGGCCGATCCGGCAGCTCGGCTCCAGGGCCATGGAGATCAGCCTCGACGCCGTCCCACCGATATCCTACAAGCACTTCCAGAAGTCCCTCAGGGGGACGAGACCGAGCGTGGCGCAGTCCGACCTGAAGCAGTACGTCGAGTGGGACAAAACCTACGGAACGAAGCGGTATATCGAGGACGAGGACGAGGACGAGGACGACTGACGAAAGCCACCAACGAAAATCTCTTTCACGATCGACACGCGGCAAGCAAAACCATAGACACTAGAATAACCAAGCCAACAACCCGATCCAAGGATTTTTTTCGTGTGTTCTAGTATAATGCGTATGAATAGGGTGGTTTAGGCATCGCTCGGCAGCAAAAAGACAAACACCCGAGAACCGATGGTGCAGATGTCTTCGTTGAACAGCGGGAAGCTCCCCATCTCCGGGGTGATCCGCTGGCCGTTCATCGTGATCAGGTCCGACGACAGCGCCGAAAACTGGAAATCCCCCGTGTCGGTGGGCACGTAGCGTATGCACGCCGCGGTTTCCCCGCAGCACCTCGACTCGCCCCCGGTGTTGCAGTCGATCCTGCCGACGGGACCCCCGATCGGGGGGGACCCCAGGCCGAGGGACGCGTACACCCGCTTCGTATGGGAACCGGCGCAGCCGAGGACCGTGGTGCTTCCCTGGACAAGGCACCGGAAGCGCTGGTTCAGCCCGTCGCTTCCGAACTCTTCCRCGAGCGCCCGGGAGGCGTTCTTTCGTTCCGCGTCGGATCCAAAGTATTGCTTGGCGAGGACCGAATCGATGTCCCAGCCGAACAGGTGGGGGTCGAGACCCACCAGCAGGGCGCAGCCCATCTGGTGGTACAGCCCGGTCCTGCGGGGAACGCACGGCCGGAAATCGACGTGGATCGGAGCCGGGAGCTGCACCTCCGTGACGCAGTAGTTCACGGATCGGGCGGCGACGATCCGGACGGCGGCTTCCTTCATCAGCTCCTCGTCTCCCATGTCCGCAAACTTTGGAATCGGTGCGAGAATCGTTGCCTTCCCAACACTTTTCGCCAGAATGGGGGCAATGTCCTCTTTTCCCGCTGTTGCTTTTTGCCYCTTCGCCGGCGGTGGTTTAGTGGGAATATCCTCCGGGTTTTTCTTGGGCCTCCCCGGCTTTCGCTTCCCAGAAGCCACGGGATCTTCTTCGGAATCTTTTTYCCCCTTTTTGGATCCCGCTTTCTCGTCCGCTTTCCTTTTCGGTGCCTGTTTCGACTTTTTGTCGGGCTTGGGTGGGGGAACGGGTATTTTCCCGGCTGCAATGTCTTTCTTTTCTTGTTCGTATGCCGCAGCAGCCTCCTCGCCCTCCTGCTGGGCTTTTTTGGTCGCCTCTTCCCCGTACAGAATAAGATGCGCCCATGCTGTTTGGGTGTGATCACAACATACACATGAATGGGTTAGCCATGCACAAAACACAGTCTGGAGATTTTGTATCATACAAGCGATATGCGAATAGACGTACCATAGATAGCCGCCGCGTCCCATTCCGAATCGAACGTGCCGAGGTAGTGATTCACTCCCAGAAAAGATATCTGGCTCTGCCAGCGATCGTGCCCCTTTCTAGCCTGCCGGCAAACTCCCCGGTAGGCATACACGTGCCGCTTCGAGTTCCCACCGGTTCGCGATGTCTGGCGGGGATCGCGCAGCAGCGGCTTCACCTCTGGCGGCAGGTCCTTGATGTTGATCACGGACAGGGCCGGGACCACCCCTCCTCCCAGGCCGGTTGCGGAGGGGGCCCGGAGGGAGCCGTCGGCGTTCTTTTCTTCCTTGGCCCCCGAACTGCCCCCCTTGGCGGCCTTTCCCTTTTTCTTGCCCGTGTCTTTCTTGGACGAGCCGGCCGCGGCGGCCGCGGACGTTTCGTTCTTCGTGCCGCTCCCCGCACTTGCCTGGCCGCAGGAACGCTCGTGGTGGGTTCGGGCCTGGCTCGTTACGCAGTCTGCCTTGCAGGTACGGCAGAGCCACGTTCCGGGTGGCGCGTGGTGGGTGGAGAGGTGCTGCCGCAGCCCCTGCTCGGAACCAAAGCACTTGCCGCAGCGGACCGCCAGCTTGAAGGCCAGGTTTCCAACGATTTGTCCCGTGGCACCGGTGGTCACCGAGGAAGCGGTGGCAATTTCTTCGCAGATGTGGCCGTGGTTGAGAGAGGCTTTCGTGGCGGTCACGATGGCCTCGAGAGAGACGGAGCCCAGTTCGTACCGCAGCCAGGAGTCCTCCGGCGATCCTAGCCATTGCAGAGCAGAGCGACGCGAGCTCGCCACTTTTCCGTCGGCCACAAAGTCCTCGTCGGAGATCTGTTTCGGAACCACCGGATCGTCGCTGTACCGGACGGGTTCCGGCAGTTCCCCCCTTAGGCATTTCGTGGCCAGCTCAAAGGCGCTCTGTGTTTCCGGATCGTTGCTTGGGTCGTGCACCACGAGCGATCGCGTCAGGAGCTTTCGAAAGTGGCCCATGCTTGCGGCGTCGTTGCCGATCCGGCTTCTGTCCCATTCTTCCCGGACCGCTTCGGCAAAATGGGGCACCGCAAAGCTCAAGAGTCCGGAAACGGGGAGCAGGTCCGACGAGTTCCGCGAGTTTTCGATGCGGAGTTTCGACGAGGTCATCAATCGGTGCCGTGCCGTCAGGCCGATCCAGGCTTCTTTTGTCGCCTCCTCGTCGACCTTGTCTTTCCCGTAGTCCCAATCTCTCAGAAACGATCCCGCCAGCCCCATCTGGTGGTCGTTCTTGCTGAAGAGTGCATCGTTCCACACCGTACCGATCGGCGAGTTTGGATCGTTCTGTGCCGCAGCCATCCACGACGCACCGTCGTCCATGAGCACAATCTCAAAGGGCGTCTGGCAAAAGTGGATGTAGTCCGTTAAGAAGTCGGAATACGATGCAATGACGACGTGAAAGGCTGCATCCGGCAAGCCGGTGGCTTGTGGAAACCGCTTGCGGAGATTGCGTCGTTCTGCCTTGGTCCCCCTGTACGGAAGTGCCCGCAGGGACCGTTCGTCGACCGTCGACATGAGCCGCAGGTGGCTCTTGGCGGTCTTGAATTCCTTCGCGAAGCGGTCTACGTCGGGATCCACCGTTACTATCAGATGAAGTCCGAAGTATTCGTCGACSCGATTGCTTCTGTCGCTGCCGCCGCTTGCATCGTCCGCCTTGGGTAGGCTCGAGATTGTCTGCAACAGGTAGGCGATGCGTTCGTGCCGAGTGGACCACGTGGCATCGTGAATGATCGCATTCCCTACCCCCGTCTGCAATATCGATAACAGTCTTGGAACGCATCCCTTGCTCCAGGCTTCGGTAATGTTGCTGCCGCTCCCCCCGCTCGAAAGATTGTCCGCAGTGACAATGGATGCATTGTCGTCCACTTGCATCGGTCGGGTTCCTCCATTGCTGAATGGGTCGTCCTCGTCTTCCTCTCGATCGTTCCACGCAAACGGATTCTCGAGGATTCGAAAGCCCGACTCGTTCTGGCTCGGCGTTCGTTCCCCGTTCGGGTTGCCGGTGCGCGTTGGTGGCTGTGCTTGGGCCTCGTCCCTCCCACCAAACAGGACGTTGTCCTTTCGGAACCGGAACCTCCGCCTCGACCTCCTCGCCGCGTTGGTGGCGATGTTCTCGATCCGCTGTCCCAGAATCCTGGACTCGGCGACCACGTTGTCCATGCTGGGCACAAAGGCGTTCTTGCGGTCATCCTTCGGGGCGTCCCCCTCACCGGCAGCGGCGGTGACGGCGGCCGCGGCCGGGTTTTGCGGAACGTCGGAGAGATCGATGGGTCCCCACCCGGGGAGGGGCGGGGTCAGCGCCCCAAAGGCGGCGTTGGCGGTGGCGCAGAGGACGGCCCGGGATCCCGTCAGCCGTGCCTCGAGGGCCGCGGCGGAGGAGGCGGGGGTGTTGCGGGTGAACCGGGGCGGGGAGGCCCCCGCGGTTGTGGAGGACGAGGGATTGGTTTCCTTCCGGGGGGCGACGCCGGGCCCGGCTTCCGTCTTGGCGGCTCCGGACGGACCCGAGGGGCCGGCCTTGGTTCCACCCGGACGATCCCCGTTCCCTTCCGAAGAACGAACCGCGGACGGGGTGGCTCCGGCACCGGAGGAAACCGCGGGATCCGGAACCGGTGCCGCTTCGATTCCCGTGCTCGTTTCTCCTCCGCTGCCGCCTTCCTTCTTGGTGAGCTGCTGCTGCTGCTGATGATGATGATGATGATGATGATGCCGATGCTCCTGTTCCTCGCGTTTCTGCTTGAGACGCCGCTCCTTCTCCTGTTCCTTCGCCACGGCAATCTTCCGTTTCGACAGGTCCTTGTTGGCGTGGGCCCGTTCCATGCTGGCCACCCTCATTTCCTGGAGCGCAACAACGTCGGCCAGCAGCGAGGGCAGCCCCCGGCAGGCCTCGTCCCCCGTTTCGTCCGCGGCGTCGTTTTCGTCGTCGTCCGCCTTGAAGATGTTTTCCAGAACGGCCGAGGCCGCGGCGTCCAGGGCCGTCTGGACGATGGGGCTCTTGTCGCGCCGGAGCCTCACGAGGGAGGTGTCCACGTCGTAGCACCGCGAGAGGACCAGGCCCGATGTGGTTTCGGGATCCTCTCCGGCCCTCGACGTGGACCGGAGCCCGCGCCGGGCCAGGAGGGCGTCGGCGGCGTCCCTGGCCCTCCACGACGGATGCGGGGACGACGACAGCGAGGCTTCCGGGAACGAAGACCCAAACCCGCCGGGCCACGAATGGGTGGACTCCGCCATCGCGGCGTGGACAGCAATCAGGGGTGGTTGTGTTGTGTGTTGCTTCTGTTCTAGGAATGGATCAATCCTGTGTCGTATCGTGTAGTGTTCGATGTTCAATGTTCAATGTTCAATGTTCAATGTTCGGGTGCATTTCGTGCTGTTGTGCTTGGGCCGTGCGAAATTGTTTCGGTACAACGTACGGTACTAAGCGTTGGGAAGCAAGACCATTCTGGAGTCTTCTCCCTTCCCTCCGTTCCTCATGGTCAAGAAACCAGAAACCCCGAAAGATTGAGAGATTGTCTTTTGTCGGTGTGAGGGTTGGTCGATGCGAGCTCGGCAAGTACACCATTAACATATGTTTCATACATACAGAGAATATATGAGTATACCGAAGGAAGTTTTTTTTAGTGAACAGAAAAAAGGAAAATGCCACCGGGAAATCCGAATGTCAGAAATTTAGTCATAGTCTTTTTTCCAAAAAACCCTGGTTGTGGTTATGTGTCACGTCACACGACAAATAACGTACCGGTACGTACCGTACGAGTCGAGAACGAGAACGAGAATCACACCAGTACGTAGTACTCGTACGCGTACTACTACTCGTAGTAGTACTCCTACTCGTTAAATCGCAGGGTACTCGTACTCGTGAAACTCATCGAACGAACATATATTAGTCGAACCCCTCGCTCAGGTACCAGTACGTACAAGTACTCGTACTTTACCGTACGGTAGGTCGAAGCTTCGTCGTCTCTCGTTCGTTCGACGATCAACGACACAAGATACGACCGCACGAGAACTAGCACTCCCGTCCATCCCCAGGAAACCCCGACCCGACACCCACCGCACGGATCCCTCCCCGACCGCCAACCCAGAGCAAGGAAGAAACACGAAACACCATGGGTTTCCTCGGACTGAACGGCAACCAGAAAACCCCCGCGGAGAAACAGCTGCGTCCGATCCTGTTCGACGAAAGCATACAGGTCCTGTCCAATTTCGAACTGAACCAGGTAGCTTCCCTGACGTACAACGACCTGACGTGCGACGGGATCTTCGAGCTGATCGAGGGCATCTGCAACTCGCCCCTCGACCACACCTGCCTCACGATCCAAAAGGCGCTGATCGTCACGAAGCACGTCGTGGTCTACGGATCCGAAAACACGGTCAACCACGCCTACGCCATCCAGCACTTGGTGCACCCCCTGCAGGAATTCAACACGGTCCTGATGGCCCACAAAAAGGGCGGCCCCAGGGGATTTTTCCAGAACCTGCAGGGCGGAGGCGTCGACCGGGGGGGTCCCGTCAGAGAAGCCGCCGTCGAGGTGGTCAAGCTCCTCTCCAACATCGACGAGCTGCGGAAGATCCGCGTCGCCAGCGCCAGCCAGGATTCCCTCGTGCCCGTCGGCGACAACGGGGTGGCCTTTGTGACGGACGAGGTGCGGCTGCACGTCCTCAAGCGGCGCATCGAGACCGAGAACCAGCTGCGGATCCAGTCGAACCTCAAGAAATCCGAGGGCGGCTTCGGAGCCGGCTACACCAGCAAGGACGGCAAGAACGTCGTGGGGGCGGCCCACGGGATCGAGGAGATGATCAAGATGGCCAGCCTGCAGACCAAGAAATTCTCGGACGACGGAAGGAGCGGAAAGTCGAGGGAGCAACTCATACTGGAGGAGCTCAAGGCGGAAGCGGACGCCGAAAAGGCCGCCAGGGACGCCGAGGCCGCGGCCAGGGCTGCTCCCCCCGTGGATCTGCTGGGGTTCTCCTCCGATCCGGCTTCCCAGCAGGGCACCGCGGACCTGCTGAGCTTTGATGCGCCCCCGGCGGGTGCCGCCGGCGGCGCGGCCGGCACCGCAGCGGGCACGGCCGACCTGCTGGGGGGAGGCCTCGTTGCCGGAACGCCACCGGCAGCGGCTCCTTCCGACGATCCATTCGGCCTCGCATCGGCGTACACCGGAACGGCGGCCCCGGCCCCTTCCACCGGCAACCTCCTGGACGCTGCGGCGCAACACGATCCGTTCGCAGCGGTACCGGCGGTGCCAACCACCAGGGATTCCATGAACCTCATCAGCATGAACACCAACCTGGATATCATGGACCAGGCCGGAAGGGACGGCAGCACCCCGATGGTGTCCGTCACCCCGGCCCCGATCCAAGTCCTTGGATCCGGCAGCGCCGCTCCAGCGATGAACGGCCTTTCCGCGATGCAGATGCCGGGGCTGGACGCGACGGGCCTGTCCACGATGCAGATGCTTGGCCCGGACACCACGGGCCTGTCCACGATGCAAATGCTTGGCCCGGACACCACGGGCCTGCCGGCAATGAACGGCCTTACTTCGGCCGTGGCGTCCGTCTCTCTCTCGGAACCCGCCCCCGAAAAATCGCCAGTGATGGAATCCAGCGGGGACCGGTTCTCGGCCCTGGACGCCCTGGCCGAGTCCTCCGTGGGCCAGGCCCAGGCCACAGCGCTGGACGCCAAAAAGGCCGAGGACCGGCTCCTCGGCTTTGCGTCGGCGTCTTCCACGGGGCCGGGATCCGGTCTTTCTGCCCCTTCTCTTATGGGCATGCCACCACCCGTTCCGGAACCCATGGGAGGCAGCGTGCCCCCGGTGTCGATGGGCATGCCACCGCCGCCGCCCGTTCCGGAACCCATGGGCGGGATGGGGATGCCGATGGGCATGCCGCCGCCGCCGCCCGTTCCGGAACCCATGATGGCGCCGGGAAGCGGCAGCGTGGCGAATTCCTACGGCGGTGCCGCGGAACCCGGCGACGACGACAACCCCTGGGTCATGGGCGGATCGGCTGGGATGGGCCTCGAACCGAAGGGACCCGAGCCGTCGGCTCCGCCACCGCCTCCACCACCCGATTTCTAGTCTTTGAACGAACTGTATGCCACTTTCAACTTCGTTGTCCAAGAAAAAAAGGGTTGGAACTCGAGCAAACCGCAGGAACGAGCGCGATCGTCCATCGACCAGGATACGACTATCTTGAGAACGGAGAATGCAGGATTCGTGCTCTCTTTTGATGAGTGGGGAAAAAATGAGTTTGCTCCAAAGTTTTTCGARTTGGAAAAAGGATCGAAACGAACGGAATGGTTGCGAATGCCAGCCTTCTATTGGCACCCCACGACGACTCACGCGATGGCCACGATGGATCGAAMACGGTTGCTGTTTGGAATGGACCGCGGTTTCGTTTCCTCACGTTTCTATGAAAGAACTCCTCATGGTGGAAAACATCGATGCCAGTGAGTCTGCCCGTGTGGTGCTCGTCGAATCGGCCTAGAGGACGCATGGCACATTCTATTCACCAGTGCGTTATTGACAAAAATCTAGGAATCTATGGACGTTTAAAACCAACAATAGTGTTACATCTCATTTACCATCGGAGCATGCTCCCAGCTCCGTATTTGTTTGCAATGAGTGAGTAATGGTTTGCCCATAACGCTCTGCACTCTTCGTCCCCCATTTCTTCTACGGCGGGRTTTGAAAGAACTRAAATGTGTGCTCTATACCGCAGGTCATAAAAGTCGGCAACAAACGGCTTGAGTTCTTCGTCGTCGTCGTTCGAAAGCGCGGTGTACTCGCCCCTCGAGTGCCAATCCACCAACGGAAAAAGCTTTAGGATTGCGTAGGCTTCTCTGGGGAGTTTTACACCATTGTGCTTCAGCATCCAGTACATGTAATCGCTCCCGGTCCAGCTCAGCAGAACCCGTTCCAGTCCGATGTGCTCTTGGTACAATCCTGTTCGCGTGCTGTACCTTGTATCTCCCTTGTCGGGATTCAAGTGTCGAAATTCTGCAAAGGTGGAGTTTATCGAGGCCTTGCATCCCATTATACGGGTGTCGACATAAATGGTCCAGTCGAAATCGTCCTGGTCGTCATGTGTCACCGAATCTTCGGATTGAAAAATAGAACCAGAACTAGAACGGACGCAAGTCAATGCACTGGCTAGGCCATGAATCAGGGCAACAAATTGCACCCAATCAGGGTGACCCTCCCTCCTCGCTAGTTCTGCTGTATGAAACAAATAGGTTCGAAAAGAGGGTGGCGAGGGAGTGTTCAGTCGTTCAATAAAATCCTTTTGCTCCCTTCTCATGGATATGGAGAAGGGGTTCGCCTGTAAGTTTTTCGTGATATTCAAGGCCTCCTCGATGGTCATGCGTTGGAGATTAAACTCGGAATAGCGATGTCGCATGTGAGTTACGTAATCGACACTTTGCTTCATCCACATGCGACGATGGTGTTGTCGTCTCGCCGGGGAGTCGTAGGTGTGCGTGAGGCAAAAATTATCATCCGCCTGCCAAAACGATGCTTCTTCGGAAAAGAACAAATCATTTGATTGTGTCAATCTCATGAAGGTCCCAAAGACCGAAGAACGAATCATCCACAGTTCCTTTTTCTTGGCAAGCCAATGGTATTTTTGTTGATGGTGGTGTTCTCGAAGCAGTTTGTCTCGTAAACAGAATCGTTCTTCCTCGTATTCTTCCTCCTTATCGTAGAGGACTTTGTCTAGCATGTCCGATACACGGAGAAGCTTGAAGCTATCAAAACCAGTGTTGGTGCTACAACCAGACGAACCTTCGTGGACTGGAACTAGTCGGCAATTGCCCCACTGATCCATTTCCAGTTTTCGTCCGTCTGTGGTGCGGAGCTGTATGTTCCCACCTCCGGATTCCATAATCAACCATGAATCAATTCTTTTATCGTTCAACCTGGCGCTTTCTCCCGACGATGACTTTAGAACAGCGGGCAAGAATGAGGAGTACTCAGCAGCAAAGTGATGGTCGCCGTGATTAATCTTCCATTTCGATCGTTCTATTTCGCGATTTTTGACGCGAAGATCGATCTTCATGGGTATTTTTCGATAAGTTTCTCCATCGTTGTTGTTGATGAAAACCGTCTTTGCCCTTGTTCGTCGTCTCAAACCTAGATGCTCATAGAATTGGACTAGTTTGTCGTGTCGACGGACATCTTCTTCGGCGTCCAACAAACACCGAACAGACGAAATTCCTCTTAGAATCGGTCTATTCGAAAGCTGCGGGTTGAAAGAGTTGCAGTAGCGCTCTCGGAGATATGTAGTACACAAGACAAATAAGAAACCACCAAGGTTGAATCCTCTGTATGTGTCTTTCACGTAAAGGACATGAATCTTAGCGTTCGCCATTGTAAAAATCTCTTCGTCTGGGTTTTTGCAGGTTTGAGCTTTTGGCATTTTCGTCGAGGCATCTTCCGAATCGCCGATTGTTACCGGGCTCGAGGAAAAGACGACTTTGGCAATGGCGCCGGCCTGGTCGGATCGGAAGAGCAAGAATCGTTCTTCTCCGACGTGTTTTGCAGCCGCGCCACCCTGCCTGTGTTCCATTCGCAGAGTGAAAAATTTGGAAGGCATGTTTGTTTTTGGTGAAGGATGCCCTCCGTTGTTTGAGGGCTGTCCTGCTCGCTTGCTCTTGCCGATAGCAAAATTCGTSTTGTGTATAGTATTCTTCTCGAAGGACGAAGCTTCTCCTGGTGGGCACGCCCATCGATTTCCACCAAACAAATCAACGAGACCAAACCAATGCTGCTTCGTGGAGTCACAGCTGTCATTTTTACTATGAAAAGTCCCTTTCGAGCAGGGCATTCGTCGAAAGGATTCTTCCCATGATGTCAGGTAACGAGGTCGTTTTCGGGCGACGATTCTTTGGTATAATCTCCCTCTTGTCTCCCGTATCTTCCTCTTCATTCCCGGTGCTTTCAAATAGATATCCACCATGGTTCAATTTGACATTTGAGGAGTCTCAAGGATGCGGCCGATGCAATCGATTGCTTTGTTACAATCTTCGGGAAGTTTTGATGCGTAAGAGGTTATCTTCAATCGATCGATCGACTAAAAAAATCATCAGAAAACCTTCAACCACACGAGTGCTCTTTTTGAACGAGTGCTTTCAAAGAACATCATGACTCCGTGATAGTTGTTATTGATGGAAAAAGGTCTTGGTGAGAATATCGTCCTCCTCTACGAAAGCATCAACCGACGGAACTTTCGGTGATACCGGTAGCAACGAAAAAGTGGTGAAATTGGAGAGGGTTCTCGCAAGTACACAAATTTGACAAATTATGGTGACACCTAACTGACACGGAACAGTTTTCTTTTCATTACAGCCTTCCAATCCCTAATTCGACGGAATGGCAAAAAGGCGACGTGCCATTTTGTCGTTCTTACAGTAACGAAATATTTCTATTCACTGTATGTATTGTAGATATGATTCATACTATTCTTTTCCATTTGGTTCTACTGTCGTATCCTATCATGACATAATACCGTACATACCTAAAGTTATTGTTCTCCAACGTGCAACGTTTTAGAATGATGGATTTCACCAGAATTCCGAAGTCCCAAACKTGATTCAACTGAAATGGAACTTTTTTTCTAGAATTTCCTGTTTACGGGTCTAGTTTGGTCATACGCCTGAGGACGTACCATACGTGCAATCAAGTAATTTGTGTGCGAGGGCCACTATTGTTCTGTGTCATCTTGTCCCACAAAACGATATCCGATGTCCTTACCATAATTTCATTGAGTAATAATTCTTGCGTCCTGTTTCGAATAACGTCACGATTCAGCAATCATCCCGATATCAGCACCACGAAGATGTCCGCAAGAAAGTTCTTTGCTATTTTTTCACTCGGTCTTTGCTTCTGTGCATCCGTCACGGAAGGCAGACTCTTCGCGAGGGCAAGTTCCACGAGCAGCAGCAACGATGTTGCCGGTCCTGCCGAACACGAGTCAGAAACGACAGGTTTGTCGCGAAGACCGGCATCCGTGGAAATCGCCACACGRAAGTTCCACGACTTTGGAGAACCTTCCAAGAACACATCCATGTGCGCTCGGATCCATCCGGAGCAGCTTCCGGAAGAGTGTTCCTGCTCCGAACCGCACCCGTATAGCTTGGTCGTTGAATGCCACAAGGTCTTCAGTTCGACATATTTCAACGATACGATTGGAATGAAGATCGATCTCGATCCGTGCGACGAAGAGGGGGCCAAAATTTCCCTTGATGTGACAGAGGAAGACCACAACATTGACTTTCCACTTGCTGGCATCCGAGCGGGGGAACGAAAGGACGTTCCCATTCCAGGTATGTGCCACAGCGTGTTTGCAGTGCTATGCTTTGTCAATCGATGTGGATACCTCGTCGATGGGTAGGGGGGCAGTCCGCATTCCATTGTTCATGGTTCGTGCAAGAGACTCATCCCACATTTGTTTGCTATGCTGTGTATTAAGGTCTTGCCATGATCGTACCCGGAGTAGGAAACGTGGGTCTGGACGTTTCGGTTTTCATTGCTGGAAACCCGACTCTGCTGAGGCTGAAGGTCGGACTCAATGCATGTGCCCAGTTATCGACGGATCACCAGGTCTGCGCTTCTTCAATTCCCGGCCTTTCCACTATATTTCCGTGGTATGTACTGAAAGGGACCTATAATTTTGGGGGCATTTGTGAGAGCAAATCAGGTGCCGGTGTTGATGGGAATGTAGAGGTTGACGGTACCAATAACAGCGATGACACAAAGGAGAAAAAGGCCATTGTCATCGAACAGAAATAAAAGTTGAAGAGCAGTCGACAATCTACTATCAGGATCGAATTCTTCCAAACGAAATCTTGCATCCAATTATTGTATCATAAGAAAACCCTTTTTGATTAAAATTTATTGATTTTTTCTTTGATRGAAGAAAATAAATCTTCTGCATCAGATACGACGAAAAGTCTTTTTCTTCTCTAGTCGAATCGATCCAGAACCTCGCCCTCGCTCCCGAACATGGCTTCGACGTCGTTTTCCATATGGCCGACCTCTTTTGCGGCCTCCAGTCTCTGCTGGCCGATTTTGCGCTGCTCCATCATGCGCTTCTTCTGGCGTGCCGCCCACTCGTCGGCATCGCGGGCCTTTTCGGCGATTCGCTCGGGTGGCAAGAGTTCTTGTACATCGTGCTGGAGCTGCAGCAATGTATTCGTCATTTCGCCGAGTGGTACTACACCGTCGAAATTTCCGTTAACGCCATCCCCGAGAGACCCAACGATGTTGTCCACAACCTGTACAAAGGGCCGGACATCCATGGTGGGCATATCGTCGATTAGACTCTCCAGAAGTCGCCGCCGTTGCTGGGGTGACTCCATTCGAATGACGTACCAGATGTGTTCTATGTATCGGTTGATTCCCTTCGCGATTTCCGCATATACCCCCTGCTGGACAATATTCAACACAAAGAGCCACTGGTTGTAATCGGGATCGTCCAGTAACCCGGCACGCGCCAGTTTTGCTTCTTCCTCGGCAACGGCGTACTTCAAATATGCGACAAAGGTATCGTCCAACAAGGGACGCATATCCCTCACGGCATCGGACAGCGCGTTTGCGGTTTCTTCTTCGGTGGTGTGTGCCGGATCCATTGCAACCTTGCAAATGGATCGGACAATCTCCAGCTGGTGTGCTTCCAATTCCGCACCCAGAGCCCGTGTCTCTTTTAGAAGAGCCTGAGCGTAAACCACCAGCTGTCCCAGGATCTCTCGTTCTTTTTCGTGAGGCTCTCGGAGGCTTTCGTCATCGCGCCGAAGTGCATCAAGATCTCGATCCGCCATAGCCGTCAAGCGATCTCGGATCAATCCAACGAAGCGCTCGGACAAAAGCAAATCCTTATAATTGGAGGCAATTTCACGGAAGCGTTCTTCGGGCTGATCCCAAAGCTCCTTTAATAAAATTTGGAGGCGGGAACTTTCTGCCATGACTTCGACGGGGTTGTCAATAATACCACTCTTTGAAGCTTCTGATACAACCTTCTGAAGGTTCTCCACTTGTTTTGCCGTTAGTTCCTTTCCACCAGAAAAGTACTTCGTGGTTGTTTCGCCGGTCTTCTCGTCTTTCTCTTCTTTGGCTTCCATTTTCATCAAGACACTGGCTGCAAATTCGGCCTGTTTTATAGCTTCGTTCAATTCCTTGGGCAGCTTCACGTCCGCTGTTCCTGGAAGAGCTCCGGGATAATTCACGGCATCCAGTTCCACATTGGGATTATACACTTCCGGACCCGACATGGGGTCAAACAATGGATTTTCCATTGGCCCATCGAGTTCTTCTCCGGGCGAAGTGTTGATTCTTACTTCAAGTTCGGCGAGTTCGTCGTCTAATATCCGGGCGTATTTCGACACGGTCTTCTCCTCTGCAATCAAGCGGTCTACGTCTTCTTCGGTCGTCCCCGTTTTTTTCAAGCCACCAACATCGGCCCTATCGATATTTGAATCGATTTTTCCGTCGGCAATCTTCTGCCCTGCAGCAAACATTGCTTTCAACTCTTCTTCGGGGGTTAGTTTGCGCTCCTTTTCGTTCGAAGGATCCATGGAGTTTGGATATTTTGGGAAAGAATTGGAATCCGGCTTGTCGAATTCTTTGAATCCTACCTTGTTTTGCTCTTTCTGTTTTTGCCGTTCCTTGATTTGTCGGTGTCGATCTTTCATAAGTTTTTTGGCCTCTTCCAAGGCCCCGCTTACGAAACCACTCCCGGGTTGCTCTTCCTTTTTCTTTTCTTCGTCAAACTTCAAAATATCTTTGAGCATTTCTTCCGATGTCATTTCGCTACCTTGCGCCTCGATCTCGTCCAGGGCTGTCTGTGCCGCCTTCATTATTTCCTTTTCTATTTCTTTTTTGGAAGGAATGCTTCTGTCGTCGCTCGTTGCTTCTTCGAGAAGAGAATTCATAGTGTCGGCATCGTCGTCGGTATCACCGGGTTTGGATCCATCGACTAGTTTTGCATTCAATCTTCTTTTGTCTATGGATTCCTTGATGTCTGAATCCGTGTCGGCCGGTGTGTTTGCGTTCGCTGCGGTGTCGTTCGATTGCGTGGCGATCTTTGCTGCCTGTGCCCTCGTCGATCGCTTGGAAGATGCCGTCGCCAACTTCTTTGCTACAGATAAGGCCTTCCGCTTTGCCCTTGCTTTCACCTTTTTGGGGCTCGATATTGTGCCACTAAAGGCTCTTTGTTTCTTGAAATAATCCCTGGGCTTCCATCCCTCGGGCACTGGAGGCATCGAGGGCCCTTTCTCCGTTTTCAGTGACGTCTTTATTTCGCTCGAGATTGCCTCGGGATCGCCGCGTACCTTCCTATTATTGGCCCTACGAGGGGGGGCTTTTTTGGATTCGGTCGGCGAAGGCTGTTTCTGCTTCTTCTTTCGGAGTTCCACCGCTTTGCGAGCCGCTGCGACCGCAAAGTCGACCGTATGCGCAGCGGACTCACTGGTACGAGATTTGTCGTGTTCATTGTCGGTCCCTGCATTCCTGCTCCTAGCCGCTTGTGCCGCTTTTTTGGCGGCCTCGACCGCAAAATCCACGCTACTTGGCTTGCTGCCTTGTTTCGACCGCGGTTTCTCGGCCTTGTCGGCCGGCTTTTGCATGGTGGCCAAGGCACGGGCCTTGGCATCGTCCACTTGTTGCTCGGTCCTTGGGTCCTTTTGTTGCGAGGGTTCGGCTGGAGTGTCGCGCTCCTTGCTCTCTCCCAGATCGGTGGTGGCGTAGGCGTCAAAGACAACGTCTTCGGCGGGAACCGCCTTCTCGGTATGTGCGGGAACGTCGTCGACGAGTTCCGCTTCGATGGCCTCCTCGGCGGTCTTGACGTTTGCCGGAATGCCATTCTGGCGTTCCAGAGCGTCGTCGTCGTCCATGTCGAACTTGATCTTTCCGGCCACAAAGTCGTCCAGCCCGCGGTCCAGAGCCTGGATGATGCGCTTTTCGGAGTCGTCAAAGAGCCCCTGCATCATGGGGGGCAAGGAGGATTGGCTCTTGCCAACGCCAACACCATTGGACCTTCGCACCACCACCATGGCCATGTTCGGAACGGACGGAGACGAGGTGGACGGCGAATCTTTGCTTTTCTTGTCGTCTGTATAAATCCCGACCACTTCGACTTCCATGCGGGTGGCATCCGAGCTCGGCGAGAGGGGAGAGTCCCACGCCAGGGTATACCGATCGCCTTCGCCTCCATCGCTGCCGTCGTCGTTGCCAGCCACCATGTTCTCGTAAACCATCGGTAGATCGGACGGCAGCACAAAATRTTTCTCCAGATATTCAATGAGGTATCCCAAAAACAAAATATCGGGCATGTCTTGCGTGGGCCGAATAACCTTTTGAAACAATACGGTTTGTTTCCCTTTTCCCATGCTTCTGCCCTCGCCCTTGCTGGGAGAGCCTGTTGTGTAACCCCTGTCTRCGGTGGCCATCAAACCTTGTCGCGTGCTGTCGGTAGCAATGAGCAATCCGTATTTGGTTCGGCGCGGAAGAATGCTTCGGCACGAGGTACACGGCGACGACGGTAATGTGTCCAAATTCCCCGACCGAACCCCCGGTGCGTTTGGAGCTAGCACGAACGCATCGATCCGGTCTGTAGGACAGAGTGCCCCGAGGAAAATGAGACACGCGACCGAGAGGACATGGCCCCTTCGCTTGCTTGAATTCATGTATATGTGGGTGYAGTATCGTACGAACTACCGATCGGGAAGGAAAGAGGTACTGTTCGTTTGGTTGGCAGCAATTCTTTTCGATTGATATGGAAAGGCGTTTGTTCAATCAAAAGGTCGCGCAGTCGGTGCGTAGCAACCGGAATTTTGAATAATGCTGTTTGAACGTGTTCTCTTTCGAGCTCTCAAAACTTGGKTAACACAAAGAAGAAATGCAAAGGAGCTCTATGTTACCTTGGTGGTTGCTAACTTACAGAGTCGTAGTACATTCGACGAAATGATAGATTGCCGAATGATTGGATTTTGATGGCTGATGAACCGGCTGATGAAGTTTCTTCTGACTTCTTTTCAAAATCAATCATGAAGCATTACCCCGAAAAGAAAAAGAATTCAATGGTCCCGGAAATCCCAATCGTCCCCACTTTGAATCAAAGAAGTCGAAACTTAAAATATTGATCTGAAATGTTTTCATGCGCCGGATGTCTTCGATGTTTTGAAGTTTTCGGTCTGTTCACATGGAACATGTTCCTTGTTTCTTCGAAAGTTCATGTCTAATCTTGACGTGTTCAAGACGCGACAGATTGCTTCCATCCAATGGTTTTTTCCTGTACCATTAGGAGTACGTATTGGCACTCGTACCTCTTCCGTATGACCAGTACTGTATCAGTACTGTAGGCTACACTAACTACGTATCTACTGTATGGCCGTTGACTTTTCGTGTGATGCATGAGTACGTACGAGTACCAAGTACGAGTACGTTGGGATCGGCGCGCACATTTTTACACGATGGCCAAGGAAAAATAAAAAAAGCCAGCTGGGTCAATTGGAGATTCGCTTTCGCGACGGTGTCCAAAAAAATTCTAGGCTACAGCATCCCACACTTGTATCGCATCCTTTCGGGAGGAATATTCGCATCGATCACGTCATAGATAGCTAGTCCGGAAAGAGGAACTGTCCAGCAGAATGGCGCAAGGGGCGAACGGCGACGATGACGACGATAGTTCCTTCCCGGCGCTGGACGAGCGGAGGGTTTCCTTCAACGACAGGTTCGACTCGTACTACTCAAGAACCGCTGCCTTCTATGGAAACCTGTTGAAGGTATCCCAGCGGGAACACTGGCAGCTGGCCTCGCCCATGACGAAGCACGTCTTTCCCTCCGAACACAGCGCTCAGAGCGCGGGGAGCTTCAAGATGCCGAGGACGCGGTCGAGGTCCTTCAACGATTACATCGAATCCCGCGACAATGACGATGGATACGGTTCCGCTCGCACGTTTAAGACGACTGCGATGCCGACGTGGAAGACCAACTCGAATCGAGGCGCCACGAGCCCTGTTCGAACGAAAGAGAGCGATCCGGAACGCGGTGGCCACCAGGGACGAGACGTTCGCAAGGACGACGGTGCGATGCCCTTTTCCTTGTCGGTGCTGTATGGAGCCATCAATTGCACCATTGTGCTGCCAGTCATAATGAGTTTTGGAAACATCATATATCGGGACGATGCCTTTATTGCGTACATGCCCGTTCTGATCAAGCTCACCTTGTTTTCGGGGATGGTCCACCAGCTCTGCTTTTCCCTGTTTTCGACGCTCGACTTTGCCGTCGGCAGCGTGCAGGACGCCGGCCTCATTTTCTTGTCGCGGATGGCCCACGACATGGTCCAGTACTGCAGGGCCAGAAACTACGATGACGATACCATGCTGGCAACAGTCACGGTGGGCCTCGGCTGCGCCGCCGCCGCACTGGGGGTTGGTTTGATAATCATCGGCAAGCTGGGGCTGGCGAGCTACGTTCAGATGCTTCCCACGTGTGTGATTGCGGGTTATCTTGCCTACATTGGTTGGTTTGTCGGCTATTCCGGTCTGGGAATCATGGCAGGGGAATCTTCGCTGACTCCGGCGTTGTTGGTCGAGAAGTCTCTGTACATCCTGCCTGGCGTTGCGGGCGGGGCCCTCATTTACGTTTCGGTTCGGAAATTCCGCCACGCCGCGGTCTTGCCATCTTGCATCACGCTCTTGCTGGTCGCGTTTTACGTCATTTTGCTTGTGACCGGAACATCGGTGGAAACCGCCACCGAAAACGGATGGATCCGACAAACACAAGACGAGCCGGCATGGTATCAAACCTGGGATTATCTCCAAGTAGATAAGGTAGACTGGGCGGCTCTACCGCAGTTGTGGTTGACCTGGCTCGGGATGCTATTTGTGGTGGCTCTGTCCAGTTCTTTGGACGTGGCTGCCATCGAACTAGAAATGAACGATCCCCTCGACTACAACAAAGAACTCCGCATGGTGGGGATAAGTAATTTTGTATCGGGGCTGACCGGCGGCTATACCGGATCCTACATTTTCAGTCAGACCATCTTTTCGCTACGAATAGGGGTCAGATCACGAATCTCGGGATTTTCCATTGCATTTTTTACGCTCGTGGTCATTGTTCTACCCTTCCCGATTCTGTCGTACGTGCCCAATTTTTTTTACGGTTCCCTCTTGTCGATGATCTGCATCGACCTTGTCTACGAATGGCTGTGGGAATTCCGACACAAGGCAACGACAGCTGAATATCTTCTTGGGCTATCTACCTTCGGTCTGATCCAGGTCTTGGGGGTTGAATATGGTATAGCTGCGGGGGTCGTGCTGTACGTAGCTTGTCGGCAGCTGGAAATCGATGTCGGTGAACTGAAAACGGTGTATGTCGAAGAAGATGAAAATACTACCAGAAGTTGTGAAATCTGTGCGGAACCAGATGAAACCACAAAGCTAGTTGTGAACGGCGACGATTCACAGCCCCATTTCTGAGCTTCTCAATTCAATACATACCACTACTATAATAAAACGTAAACCAGAACCAATTTAAGATGTAAAAAACCATCACCCGTCCTGCTTGTTTTCTTCTGTTTCAGTCGACAATGGATGCATTCAAAAAAAATTTCCAAGGACTGATGATGGTTGAATGAGGTAAATTTTCAGGTATCGGTGGTGCGATTTGATGGGTTTCTAGAATTGTGTCTGCTTGGAACTAGCGTGTAGAATTGTTAGTGATTTGCTTTTACTTATTACAGAAGTAATTCGTACCTCCTTATCCGGTAGTATTTCTTTTTTCTTTGAACTCTACATATCATTTATCAGTGCTGCGTAAGTACGTATGTATACCATATATAATATTGGGTACGGTACGTTGAACATTTTGTTTTAATGTTCCCCCTTTTTCCATATTATGGGGCTGAAAGTTCCTATTTGAGATACCCTTTTACCGCACGGCATGTAGTGGTGTTTGCTCGTTTACCCGGTGATATGCTATCGCCATCGCTACTGGGCATCTGTTGTGACGAATTGATGGGTGGCCAGATAGAGGTGAAGGAAAAGGCAAGTCAAACGAGGCAGGTTCCAATTGCGCTACACAATATCAAAACATCATGTTCAAAACATTTGACCGATCAGAAGTATCCACGTCGTCCCAGGTCAAGGCGTCGGTTCAACGCGGGATCAAGGCTGGCATCGCCAGCGCCAACCCCAAAATAACCGATGAAGAACTGGACGTGCTCCTCCCCAAAAAGCCTCCGCTCGTTCAATACAAGGTCGGACCTCACATGATGCTTTACTGCAAGAAAGGTGATGCAGAAGAAGGCGCTACCCCTTCCGATGAACCTGTGTTTTTCCAGCACCGAGACGGTCCCATTCTGCCGACGTTGCGAACCATCCACAAATACCCAACTCTAGAGTTCACAAGTGTAACGGTCGACAAGGGAGCGATTCCTTTCATTCTTGGGGGAGCGAATATCATGTGCCCGGGATTGACAAAAACCGGACAAAGTTACATGCCACCAGATGGAGAAGAACAGGATGAGCAAGGTTTCGATTTGCCTGGTTTGTCGAAAGGCGATGGAGTAGTAATACGGGCGGAAGGAAAAGAACACGCGATTGCTATAGGTGTTATGAAAATGAGTAGTGTCGATATGTAAGTATCGGTTTTTGAAGTGACAAGTGAATTGTGAATGGTCTAGTCCTCATTAATCTACTGGTCCACAAGCTTATTCTCATCTGAATTCAACTGTTGTTCTATCTAATCATCGTGATAAAAATGGTTACGTGGAATGTATTCATTCTGCAGACGATCAAAGAATAAGGGAGTCGGAATTGAGCTGGCGCATTCTTTGGGAGATGGATTGTTTCTCACGGAAGGACTTTAAGTGATGTGTAGTGAAGTAATTCAGGATAAGACTCGTGTTTTCTAAAGAGAGTGCAGCCGCAAAATGATTAGATGAAAGAGTGGAGCCCACATTTCCGTTCGTGCGAATGACAACGACAAWAAAAATTCAGATCTCGACTATGCATTTGATCGACAGTAGTAGTAATGACCTAGGCGGGACGGAAACATTGCGGTGGCTGTCCGTTAGACTTTGTAAAACATCACTTTCTGTTCGTCTATTCGTGTGTAGTTTGCAAATTTCAAATGGATTATTCATTATTTTTTCTTGAATTTCTGCAAGTCTAGATATTGAGACAARTAATACAAAGTTCCGGCCTTCCCTGATCGTTGCTGTTCTGCATTTGCCTTCTTACAACATTCTTCCACGTCCTTCACATATTTGTAAACGGGTCCGTTGATTCTTCCCTGCCATACACATTTTTTTAGCGTTGGCCGTTTTCGACAGAATCGAAATGCACGATATATTTCAAATGCAGAGTTGTTCAAAAGGAAGGGTTAAAAATAAACAACATAAAATGCATGCATTTGATCAAAGATAGAATTTTTCATTCTTGAAGAAAATCAACTTACTTCCGAAGCCTCCAGGGCATTAATCAATCTCATCATGACATCGGCACATGGGTTCACTTTGCTTTTTGGTTGCTGTGTTGGAATTGGTATCGAACGTTTGGGGAGATACAGAGGGAAGGAAAAACAGTGAAACGCATCCGTGAGAATGATTCATTCATTCTTATAAAAAGTTTAGTGGCGCAATCAAAAGCAATCAACCCATGTCTTGTACTCCTGACACATCAATTGCTTGTAGCTTGTATCAACGACAACGACACATTCACACTAGTACCTGCCTTTTTGTAAATACGCAATTGTTCCAGAGTCAGTCGAAAGTTTTTCGATCTGGATACACCAGCCATTAATTTTGTGCTCGTCGAACGGAAAGCCATTTTATTGTTGTGTAGTCTGAACTAGGTCGATATTAGAAATAATGATCATTCGCACCGTGATGAACTGTGAGTTTCTAAAATTTCGTTTCCTCTCGGTTGCTTTCGTTGAAAAGTACTTCCGATCTTGTCTCACAAACGATCGGGGTTTCTTTTAGTCTCTCGACTGGGACCTGTCGTTTGTGATCTGGTGGTAAAACGTTGTCGTACGGTGATCTGGTTTACGAGACTGCTGGAGTTCGGGAAAGATGATTCCGTAGGGTGTGATATTGAAAATATGGTTCGATTTTTTCTTTAGAATGTGATCAATTATCTCTCTTGCAATGGTCAGATACGGGATCACAGGCAGCGGACRATGTGAATGTGTGAGTGTTAGCCTCTKTCKTTATCGACCCTCTGTCTTTGATCACGATACAGAGCAGTTAGTTAAGGGAGGGGGGGGTGAAGGATAACGGTGTCGCATCGGATGCGAGCACTTCTGAGAGTTTCAGTCCAGTCCCGTGTGATTCAGATTTACCTACTGAACGATCTAAAAGCAATGGATGGAGACGAGGATGATGGATGCATGATGGACGCTGTCTGAATTGAGAACTGACCAACAACTTTTCGAATAAAAAGTACAAGTACCAATTGTAGACAAACGTACAAGGTTCTCGTATGTCCTGTACGGCGCCAGAGCAATTCCCTTAATTTTCTGTTCTCATCGAAATCGTTCATCGTCGATATTGGAAAAAGTTGAATGTAAATGATGACGTCAACCCACACAGTTCAATGAATTTCATTCTTTTTTATACTTCTAATTGATCAATGTCGACGAATTCGACCAGCAAACAAGCAATGATGGGCGTCGCTAGATTGGTCGTATTGCTCTCGGTAGTCCTTTGTTTTGTACCATCGAATGGATTTTCGGCAGCTCCCGCCAGCAGCGGTACATCGCAGCTATCCATAGAGGACTTGGTCAGGGACCAGCTGGGATATTTCCCCCCGAATTATGTAAAAGTGTCGGCCTGGAAGAAAAAATCCAACGAAAGCACCCCCCTCGCCATCCAGACCTATCCCCTGAACGGAGGAGCGAAACGACGCCAAAACAAGGCCAAACTTCCACAAGACCAATCAAAGGAAAAATCTGAGCAGCAACCCATCGTGCAGTCTCCCTTTCCTACGCTTTTTTGGTTGACTTGTCCCGATATTTCGAGAGCTGTTGCAAATCTAGAACGTAGGGGATTTGTGCAGATATTCGAAGACGAACTAAACTCCAGATCCGATCTAGCGATACGGCTCTTTCGGTGCCACGAAGAATACGCCCGGCTGCGGTGGAAAAGCCTTACGGAAGAAGACCGAAATGTGTTGACTTCGTCCTCTTCATCGTCACCATTGACGCCGTCCCTGCAGCGAATGAGAAACATGATGGAACACTCGGGGATTTCGGGCACGAATTTCACCGATATTTCCTCGTGGGACAAGGACTACGACAGCAATTTCGAGAGCGATTGCGGAAGTATTGTCGAAGCTTACGTCGGTAAACGAAGCGTTCAACAGAAAAAGGAGTGTGGTGAATCATCGTTGTCGTCGACAGAAGCTGGTCTGGTCAAAGTGCCACCCATCAAATGCCTCCATGCACATTACGCTCACTACCGTAGCACGGTCTCGGAAAAGTCGACAACCTATGTTAATCCCGTTGGAGAATTGATACACAGACAACTCGAGAAGGACTTTCCAGATCTGGATTTGTAACGAAGGATATAGCGCACCTGGAATGATATTCTTCACTGAGATTGAAGGTGGATCTCATAACAACTAGAGCACTAGTTGGAATGTCRGCAATCGTATTGTCGGTGTTCTCCTAATCAACTACCTCCACTTGTTGTCTCAGGTATAAAACTAAAAACGAGACGGGAAGATTGAAAAAAATTTGAACCCCAATATTATTATTTTTTCATGCTTAGAGCACCGAACTTGCAAGACTCATAAGAGCTAAATAGAACCGTGCATTTCATAATTTCTTCTTTCAACCCCTCCCACTGTGTTTTTTCGACTTATCCCATCCCCAATGGAATTATACAAAACTCCTTTTTTGAAATCTTCCGGCAGCATCAACTGACTATATTGCATTACAGTATTATTCCCTTTTTCTTCAGTTTTTCTTTTATAATGACAAGCCTTTCTTTTCTCTCGCTTTTTGCGGCCCGTTTGGCCTCACGCCGTTCTCTGTGTTCACGCATTTCTTTCTGCGTCGGGTAATACGGRAGGGACARCCTTTGATCGGGGTGGGTACCCAGCCACTCTACAAAATTCGCCCCCATCTCGGTTGCGGTCTGCGATAATTCCAACGGCGAAGCTATTCCATTGGTTGTGGTCGTTCCTCCAGCTTCTCCGTTGCTGTTGTCGTCCTCGTCCTCGTCCTTGCCATTGTCTTTGTCCTTGTTCTTGTCCTTGTTCTTGTTCTTSTCCTCGCCCTCGCCCTTGATTTCGTTGTTTTTGTCATTCTTTTCCATCTTTACATACTGCAGTAGAGTTTTCCTGCGAGCATTTGCAGGGTATTCATGTTCGGGATTGTGCGGATCGTCTCTTACCCATGCGCGAAGCATCGAATAGAGACCGGCATCGCCCTCGTCGACGAATCGATTCATGTCGATCCTTCGTCCCATCACACCGATGATTCCGGAGGGATTGGTCGGAATCGACTGCAGAATTCGTCTTTCTTCGTTCCACCAGTGCTGCTGTTGCTSTTGTTCCACTTTCCCATCGCTGCTGCCAAAAACAGGTCTCTTTCGTTTTCTGCAGCTGCATTCGCAGCCTGATTTTTTCCTCCTTGAGCTTACACCGAATGGGTCTCTTTTCCGCAATGACCGGTCGGAAATGTCGTCGTCGTCGTCCGAAGAGACTAACCATTTGGCGGGGAACGATTCTGTTGTTGTCAAAGGGTTCCCAACAGGTGCCGAGGTTTCTACTTCGATCGGATTTCTTCTCTTTCCCGTGCTTGATTTTTGCCTCTTAGCGGAAGCACTTGTTTGGGCGTCGCTGTAGCTGCCTATCTCACTCAAGAGTATGGCGACCTCCTTTCTCTCTTTTACCATCTGCTGTTCCCATTTAAGCAGATTTTTTCTTCCGTTAGGAAGATGTTGCCCTATTTCGACCAGTTCTTGGAATGGTTCGTCTGTTGTTAGCACTGGCGGCCATAAATCGGTCTCCATCATCAATTCGATTCACTCGTTGACCGGACTTTTGCACCATCGGTTGAATTCTAAGATGATGTTTGAAATAAYGATGACATAACCGGTCATGTATGTCATGACCCCTGCCCTGTCGTACTTGCGGTACGAGTACCTAAGAATCTACTTTAAGCCTAGATRTACCTTACGGTAGAAGACATGCAGGCAATTTTTGTTCCGTTGCCGCTAGCTAGCTGTCCCCCGCTGTCACCTCTCAAAATCATCGAACATCTGTACTTATGGGAGACACGCTTGGTGTTGTATTGTAAAAATGAGTAATAATACGATTACACGTAGGGATACCTACAGTAATACCTACAGTAACGTAAGTACGTACTAACACTGTTACAGTGTTTGATATTTTTTTCAGCACGAAAACAGAATTCCTTACTTACTGCATGATGTTATAATTTTTTTAAACTGCGTTCTGTATTGACATCATCGCAAATGGGGGCGAGGTATTTCCTGGCATTTCGACTGTAACAAACCAGGCAAGATAGAAATTTTGTCGGGTTGATTGCATCAAGCGACCAGTTCAAGTGCATACATCCTATCAAGCGTTTGTCAAAGCGCAGTACTACATCTCTACGGTCCAGATTGTCTTCCGGCTGAGAAGAACGTGTTCCATTCTTCGCAGGCTGTTGACTATCTCTCTGTCTGTCCCTGTCGTCCGTTCGGAAATTCGAACATGTCTTTGACTGGTGAATTTCAAGAAGACGAAACGGAGAGGACGAGACTTCTTTCCGATTTTTCTGAATCCTCTTTTTTATCGGCGACGGGACGTTGGGCAACAGCCACACCATTGACATTTTCATCATCGTCACCGTCATCATCGTATGGATCAATCTTTAATAACTCTAGTCGTGTCAACAATTCAGCAAGAACCGTACCTAATGGGAATGTCTCTGTAGATGAGGGACCTATCAATCGGTTCAGAGGCGACGCGAGGACAGATTTTGCGGATATTGAAGGCGGCAGCCAGCAGCAACATGAGGATGAAGAAGGATCTCTTGACACGATGACCACAAGTAATACGAATCGAGCCGTTTCTGGCGATAGCACAGGTGATTCTTCAAGAGTGGATAATAATGGTGATGAACAGGAGCGTCAGCAGCCCTCGGAAGGAAGAGATGCGGAAGAGCCAAGGGATGGAGCCATCGGAAACCTCACGAGGCGACTGAGATGCTTGTTCTCGACTGTCACATGGCCTATTGTGCCGCTGGGAACGATTGTTTCCCTCGCGCTCTTATGGGTTTTGTATGCGGCATCATCCTTGGACCTAGAGAAAAATTGCTCCCACCCGCTGCACTCCTACGCGCTGGTATCTCTGGTGTTGGTGGCATACATACCGAACCACTCCCTGGTCCGGTCTCGTATGTTCCATTATTCAAGGGAACGAGACGGTCCCATACGACCGGCGCGGGTGCGAATGTACGATCAATTTTTTCATACCATTTGTTTGCTATACGTCTACACTGGCGTGACTCTCATTCAAACCTGCCAGGAAGACATTGTAGACAGGAATTCGATCGACGTTCCCAAAAACGAGCTCGCACTGCCAAATAATGGGCCACTGAACGCTTGCCAAGCTACGTGTCCCAATCTATACCAAGCCATGAGTGTCTACGTTGCCACCCTAGAGCTCTTCACCTTTGCGCTGATCCTACCCCTGCTCTTTCTCCCCTGCATATACCTTTGGTTCTTGCAACGAGCCACGGCAGAGGCGGATGCATTTGCGCGATTGCAAGACCACTTGCAAGAAGAGGACGCTCTTCTGAGAAACGGAGGAGTGACTACTGGTGAGATTTTGGATAGCCTGGAAACAGTGAAGATGGTATACCGTGGWYCCGGTAGCAGCGCGCACGAAATCACAAACATTAATGACAACCCGGTGGCGGAAGGAGAATCTGAGCCCCAAGAGTTGTGGATACTACCACGTGATGTAGGTTTGGAAGATACGATTGGTACTAAGTCTACTATGCGAGAGTGCTGTATTTGCATGACCAATTTTGATTTTGAGGTCGAAGGGAGCCCATCCTGCGAGATCAGATGCAATGGTAACGACAAATTTGAGAAGCGCAAAAATCTTAAGCGCGTCAACAACGATGCAATGGATGAAGTTGGACACGAAGCTACACCGACAGAACCATCCAGAATAGTTCGCACGAGATGCGGTCACATTTTTCACGAAGAATGCCTTAAGGGTTGGGTCGGTGGGATGTGGTCGGCAAACCCCAACCGTGCCGGTGGCAACAACACCACTGGTGACGACAGCACGCCGGATTGGAAAAAACGAAAAGCCCGCCAAATATATTGCCCGCTTTGCCGTGAAGACTTGCGACCCAACATCCCCTGAACGATGTTTATAACGTGCGCGATAGATAACATAGCACAGTACTCATAGTAAATTGTTGTATTATTATTTGCAAATAAGGAGCGTGTTGCGTTTTCGATTCAAGCATAGTAGGGTGAACGACGTAGACATTTTTTGATAAAATACAAATTCGTTCTTGCATGATTCGTTGCGGTTGCTGYGCTACTATAACATCAAAGATGATTCCCGACACCTCAATGAGTTGTATGAATCCATATTCTCACCCGTCTCTACTCGAATGAACAAAGAACAATTGTTTCACAACAAGTTAAGTGCAATGCTGTAAAAAAGATACGTCAAACCTTTCGTCCTTCTGAATTGAAAACGATAGAAAAGTTGTAGGAGCCACAAGAAAAGAATATCCAATATATTGGCTCTCCCAAAATAACAAATGTTAACGTTACAAACTTGGATTTATAGTACAAGAATACCCAATATATGGGCTCTTCAAAATAGCGCTTCTTGAACTACTGTAGCACTCTAGCAGATTTCAACATTACTGACTCTCTGAGACGCGATGATACCAGTTGTATACCGCCTAGAAATTTGTCTTCTCCTTCGATAGGAACAGGAATGGAAACCGCTGGGAGCCCAGCGAGCGAGGCGGGGACGGTCATTACATCGTTCGCAAACATTGCCGTATTGTTGCCATTGCCCTCCAAGGAAGTTCCATTTCCTATTTTGGGAGGCAAAGAAAGGACCGTCGGGAACAAAAGTAGATCAGCTTTTTCTTCCAAWACCGAAGTCATTTGATCTGCCAAGGCCGCTCTGAGCTTTGCGGCTGCCTCGTAATAACTATGGAATTTGTCGGAGGATAACACCGACGCACCGCACAGAATTCGTTTCTTTACTTCAGACCCAAAACCCTTGCTCCTCGAAGCAGAATATTGCCGTTCCAGTGGAGTCATGCCATCGTCACTAGTATTCTGCGTCAGTCTGTTCCCTTCGGTTTCGCTCGCCGTTTCTTCTTCGTCGGCTGCCACTCCGTACCGGAATCCATCGTAACGGCTAAGATTGGACATCGCCTCCGCACTTACCAAGACATAGTATGCCGACAAAGCCTTTTGGACGAGTCCGGGGTCGATATCCTCGGTTGATATTTCAATAATTTCTGCACCGTTGTCCTCCAAGATATCCGCTGCAAGAGACCAACTAGTGCGAATTTCTTCTGGACATTCTTTTACAGAAAAGGCAGAAGGGATGCCCACTCGTATTCCAGACAACGGTTGATAGTTTGGATTCTCATTCTCCGAGAGCAGCGCCTGTGCAAGCCCTATTTCTGCAAACGATGCATCGGAACTCGATTCTTTATAACTCCCATCGATGTTTCTGCCATAAGAAGAAAAGTTCGAATCTCTACTAAAATCCTGGTTGCGATGCGCCAAGATATCCAAGGCGGACGCGGCACAGTCCACAGAATTTGCCAAGACCCCAACTGTATCAAAAGACGATGCATAGCTAACGACTCCGTGTCGGGAAAGAAGTCCATAGGAAGGTTTCAATCCCACAAGACCACACCATGCCGCAGGAAGCCGAACTGATCCCCCCGTGTCCGTTCCCAGTGACAACAAACTGGACCCATGCGCCACAGAAGCTGCAGAGCCGGACGACGACCCTCCCGCCGAGTATGAATAAGAGGTGCTTCCATCTTCTGCTTCCATATTCCGATAACGTTCGATTGCTTCAGCGTGCTTATCGGAGATAGCTGCCGGTGACATTCGAATGATTTCGGCCAATCGTTCGTCGTTAAATCCACTCCTCGTTCCGGTTCTGCCTTCTCCAACTGTCATTCCATTTATATCTTCGTCGACGTCGTCGAAATACAGATGCTGTAAAAACGGCAAGGGATTTTTAACAAACCCCGGGCTTTCGCCAGGAAGCCCAGGTGGCACATTGGTTCCCAAGCTTCCCATTCCGAATTCRTCCATGCTCGTCGTTCCTATGCATATTCCACCCTTTTCGCGGAGAAGTATCCGTGTCGTGTCGGCATCGTATCCACAAGGAGGCGGTGATGAAGCACCGGTGACCTTCGTTGCGCCAATGGGATGATGACCAAGAATGGCACTTCCTGCCGTAAGCGGCAACGTTTTTTCGGCGATGTTTGACTTGATCGACACAGGAATCCCGTCAAAGATCGACAGGGGTTCTCCATTTTGCCGTCGTTCGTCAGATTCCCGTGCATTTTCTGAAATAACATTCCAAGGAATCAAATGGTTGAATGCGTTCAATCCCCAATTTTTTTCTCCCGCGACAGCCATGGAGTGACAAAATAAGGACAGTTGTGATGAGGTCACCAAGCCGGAATCTAGCAAGCGTGCCGCCGTCTGGATTGTCAAGGACAAGCGACCCTGCATAGCGACACTGGGGKGGGAGGGTTTCTAAATCTTCAGATCAATCCGGTAGCGATGTCGATTATTGTTCTCTTCATCGACTTCTCTTTTACACTGGTGCGCTTCTTCACTGTTCACGAAGATCTTCCCATCACCCATAACGGTACTACGGTACGGTACTTCTGAAATCAAAACTACTGTATTTTGAGGACAAAAAACTCGTACTGTGCTAGTAGTTCTACAGCTACCGTACGTACCATAGTTCTAGCTAGGATTTCAGAGATTTTAGATTTTTTGATGGTTGCTGGAAGTACCGTACGAACCAGTAATTGCTAAAGTATTGTATCATCATATCTTTCGAATCTCACTACGGTATGTTCCATAGATATTATAATGTTATCGTGGCCCAAAACGCTTTTTCACGGCTACCGGTGACGTGGATTCCGTTACTTAAGGAAATTGAAAAAAAGAACGTTCAATTGCGACGAAAACATGCGTCCTCGTAGAGAGCTTGCTTCTTCTTCAATCACACGACACCAATTTTTTTGTGTCTTCCCGACTGCAGCAATGAAGCAAAACATCAGAAGAGAAAACTTTCATATGACATGTCGCGAAGAACAGTGAGAGCAAGAGTACTTACAAGACAAAACTAAACTTTCTTCAACTCTCGAAAGAAGATGAGAAAAGAAATCGAATCCAATTGTCGCGACAGATAACAAACAACAACAATCGGTCATTGGTGTCACCTAGCAACACACAACTCAACAACACAGTGACAGTTAGTGTTACCGAAACCGTAGTTTTAACGAGATACGTCGCAGTGCTAAAATTCGCACACAGGAAGCCACTCTCGAGAAACAACTCGTACGGAGTTCCGCGCGCACGTGCAAAATTGTTACTTCTAGTACTGTAAAAACCGTGTGGTATCACTTTCGTTTTTACTATCGAAATTCAACAGCGATAAAAAAGCCACTGGAAGTGCACATACCAGGGGCACATAACATTGTAGCAAAGACGAAAACAACAACAGCACAATGAGCACATCTTCCCTTAAGGATGTTACGGGGAAAGATTCTGAGAATGCCAGCAACTCGTCTTCATCGAACGGAGAGGGCGGTGGAAACAACTCAGACAATTCGGCGCTCGTGAGTCTCGGAAACACTTCCTTTGGGTTCAATTTTGAGAGCGACGGGGGATTCAACAATTCGAGTGGAAGTCGCTCCCCAAGTGAGGAAGGAGATAGCGATCAGGGCGATAGAAAGCCAAAGGCAGGAAACGGCGAAGGAAACAACAGCAGCGGCAGTAATAGTTCAACCAATGCTCAAACCACTAGCACACTGACAAGTTGCGCTCCCACGGGAACAGAAACAGGGCGGTCTTCCGCGACGAATGAGGGGAAAGAGAAGACAACGCCACAACATCTTCAGCAAGCAAACGGTCAATCACAGCTGCCAGATGAGAAGCTAAAAATTGCTGGTGCGAACTCGATTCCCATCAGTGCGGGAGCAGCTGCTGCGAAGATTAGCTCGGATGCAATGAAACAACCACCCGTCGCTGCGAGTACAGCGTCTGTGAAGAACGAGAGTACCGCTGCGATTTCAAATTCCCCCTCGCACAATGACGCCGCTGCAATAGCAGTAGCGAATTTGAACCAAATTGCAACGGACGCTAGCAAGAAAACAGACGCGGAGAACGATAGTAAGTAAATACAAAACTGATGAGAATTGAAGCAGTTAACGAAACGCAAACGCTCACTATATTTCTACTTCACAATTTCCTTACTTCTTCCATTGTTCACTAGGCGTCGGAAAGAGAGGTCTGAAGCGAAAATCCGACGACGATACAGGGGGTTACAACAGCGACAATGAATGGGGGAAAGGTGATCCCGCTAATTTGGGAGCTCCCGACGTCCAAAAGAGCCAAAACGTGAAACAGGAACCGACGGATGCCCCAAAAACCGCCAACAACACTGCTGGTCAGAATTCAAAAAGATCAACTCCAGAAGGGGCACCAGTTAAGAAGAAGAAACAACTGGACGACTCGAAGCGAGAAGAGCGCAATGCAAGAGAAAAGGAGAGAAGTTTTCGCATCTCCAAACAGATTAATGAGCTCCGAACCCTTTTATCCAGTGGCGGTGTTATCGTACCGAAGGGTACGAAGAGTTCTGTCTTAACGGAGGCTGCGAATTATATCCGAATGCTACAACAGCACCAGTATCGTTCTGAAATGTAAGTTGACTTGAAGGTGCAGAAGCAACTGCTCGATCTGTGACAAACGTTTCTTCACCTTTCCAGGACTCATATCAATCTCTAATATTCCATTCTCATGTTTTAAATTTTGATTGCAGCGATCGTCACCAACTCGTCCAACAAGTACAAARGATTGGCAGTGGTGCCCTGGGTCAACAAGCTGCGCAAGCCGTAAGACACGCTGCTGCGCAAAATGGTGTTTGGTCGTTAGGAAACTTCGGTGGTGTACCTCCAAAGTCAGCCATGATGTACCACAATCCCGGCTCTGTAGGCGAGACACACAGTAGTACTTCTGGCAATGGAAATTTGCCGAGCAAGATTGAAGAATCAGACTACAGATATGTGTTCAATTCGTGCACAGTMGGAATGGCAATCGCATCAATGGGAGGAGCTTTCATTGACTGCAACAAGTTTTTCTGCGAAATATCAAGCTACACGAAGCAAGAAATTTGTTCCATGACGATATTCAATCTAACGGCCCGCCCGGATCTCCAACTAGCTTTTGATTTGATTAGCCAGATGCTATCGGCTCCTCTTGATCCAAGCGTTACGAACACGTCTTGTGTACTCAGAGGAGCTCTGAAGAACCGAACTGATGTTGGTTTAAGTGTTAGACTCATCAAGGGGCATGATGGTGTCGCAAAGTGTTTCTGTGTTACGCTGATTAATAATCCATCTTCACCCTATGATACTTCAAGATCCATTCCAGCGACAATTGAGCCCTCCGGGCCAGGTCAAACACATCCCGGAACAAAAGATAATCAACCTGGTTTGGACGTGACTCCGGCATTTACAACAGGTTGATTTTCCAAAACTAGATCCACGAAACCGACTGCTCCATGGCATGGGTTTCATTCGAACCGACCCGGTATTCAATTATCCATGTAAGTTCCATCCAAGAGCTTGGGGAATGTTGACGCCTCCATACAACAGTTACTAGAACTTTCGTCATCTTAATGCTTCTGTTGATAAAGCGGTGCAACAAAACAACGACAATGTCATTGCCTTGTATTCACCACATGGTGAAAACGAATGAGATCAATCATGGTCCTATCTTTACATCACCGATTGATGAATTCAATTTCAAAAACAATTTGGGAAGACTGTCGTAATGCTCGGCGGAGATATCACGATTTCCAGGGACAAAACAAGACACTAGCAACAGCGGTTTCATCGCGTAACATCTGGGAAAAGAAATCCAGTCACAATGCTTATTCGTATCACATCACATCTTCACTTCACGCGATGGAATACACCCACACCAAACACACGCACAGCACAGCACAGCACACATGCATTTTGATTCAACCAGCACAAGCATCATCTACAACAATTGACCTTTACGATTTTAATACATTAGACTTCAATCGATAAGAGTGCAAAATTTCAATTCAACTTCATATTATGTTTATCTGGATTCCTTGCAGAATTCTACGGCCTTCGAGAATTTTTGAATCGTGCACAACAGTGCCGCCAATTCTACCCGATGGATGCGATTGGGGTCTCCGCCTTCGCCGGTCCTGCCAAGATGGATTTGCAACGCGGTGGATAGACCTAGCATTGCGACCTTTCCATGCAGTCGACACTTGTTGCATTGCACGCAGTTCATGATACGCAATAGGTCTCGGGTTCGCATGCGTGCTTCCCAGAGAGTATTCTGTGAATCCATGGCGTGATCGTGAAGTTTCTTTGCAGCAACCTCTACCGCTGGATCACAAAGAATGGGTAGTTCTAAGAACCCCTTCAGTATGGCAGAAGACTCGCTGTCGATGCTACCGTTGTCGCAATCTGCCAAAAGTTTGTCTTTTGCTTTCGCGGCCGCTGATAAGAATAGCATGTACGCAAAATAAAGATTTTCCATCGCCATGGGCTGTTCACCTCCTCTACCAAGACGGCGATCGAATTCCACTTTCGGGTCTCTCCACACCTCATCGTCTGTGAATTCCTCCCCTGCATCGATTTTGTCTTGAATTCCTTTCGTAACTTGTGCAGATACTAGGGAATGGATTCCAGAGACAGCTTTATTAAAGTCTGCTTTCCAGTGATTGTCATCGTAGTCATAACCTGTGAAACCAATTTTGTCGTGAATGAATTGCCATACTTCCGAACCATCGTATCCAGTATATCCCTCGGGGAACTCCTCCAAATCATAGTAGTCGTTGCTCGGCATATCCCATCGAGCCCACCCGTCCAACTCGAAATCGTGTTCTCGGAAATCCACCTCTCTAATGTTTTCTGGTACCTGAGAGAATATGGCAAAAAAGTGAGAAGACCAATCGCCTGGAGCTGCAATATGAATCACCCTGCAAACAACAAAGATGCAAGGTCTTAGGCTCAATTTTATAAAATTTGATTACTCCAGACATACCTCCTCGTCATCTACTGGATACACTTCACATGTCTCTGAGTAACACTCAAAGAGTTCCTGTGGCATGTATTCGCAACTCGCTAGAATATCCACACAAAAGAGTCGAAAATAAAGCGAATCCTGAAGAATTTCCATCTGCTGAAAGATGACTCCATTTGTGTCGTCGATTACCGAGATTCCGGGCAGTAAATCTCCATTTGATGATAATGCAGAAGACCTCAGCTCCGTTGGTTGGTGATAATGACGTTCTATTGTTTCGAAACCTACCAACGGTCGAGACGATAAGGACCGCGATGTTGGTGTATGAACCGAAAAAGCAGAACAGATATGGATAATTCCAGCGATAGAGAGAAGGAAGGAAATCATGTCTTCAAGAGATTATATCTATATCGGACGCACAAGATTCATTCAAAATCTGGATCGATGGACAATTAATCTCTGTACATATAGAACGTTTGTCGAGGTTAATATGACAAAAGCGGTCAACTACTTTCAATCTGTAACGATGGTCTGAGATTGTTTCCTAGTCGCCGACACAGTGGACAGGTGCTTGCTTTCTTTCTTTCAGTCTATGATCGTCGAGGCGTGCCGGTAGGATGTTTACAATTAAGAAGGCTGTTTGATAACGACGAACGAACGTGGAGGTATCAGTACGTACGTATCGTCGTATGCGCATACCGAGAGCCCCAGTAAGTTTGATGTGGAGATCGACAGTTACACACACACCTCGGACGGAAACCCCCTGAGTTGAAGAAAACAAAGAAAGCTTCTCTCGTCCGCACAACATACGGTACGAACGCAATCAAACTGAAACGCAAAATAGTGATATGCTTACTTTCCTTCAGTACCCACCACCCACAACTGTCTCTGCCAATAGGATGCGAGAAGACGAATTTGTGACGTAATATTGACGTCGACAATTTGTCGACGGACAGACTTCCGTTTGTCTAAACAGTTGCCCATGGTGCAATCAGTTGAGTCAAAAAGACATCCACTTGTATGAAATTGCAGCAAAAAATATGTTTCTACATGTCAGCACACAATCATTGGTTTATTCTGGCATACATCAATATGTCTTTTTGGAGCGGCCAGCTCATTTTATGTATTGAGATACATATTTCATTGGAATCCTTGACTAAGAAACAACATTTTCAGGAGAGGAGGAGCCTCGTGAGGGGGCATGCCCTACTAAAATACAGTGACTGGGAGCCAATAAGAGCAAATTGATGCTGTGCACTTAATTATGATTCCACATTCCTAAAAAGAGGGGAAAATATGTACATTCAGCAAGCCTGCTATGTCTTCTTCAGTACCACTGAAAAAATTCCTGCTGATACTAGTAACATCATAAATGGATTGTTTATGTAGTATGCGGGAATGAACCATTACCAACAAGAAATGTGGAGCATTGTCACACTCCATTACATAATATGAAATATTGTTTCTGAGAAGTACCAATAACTTCAGTTCTGTGTGGCCCCAGGAGTCAATAATGAACTAATTTGTCTTCTTGCTTCTTTGCCTTGTTGTTCTAAGTAATCATTGTGTACAACAACAACAACAACAACAACAACAACAAYAACAACAACAACAACAACAACAACAAGATGAAAGACAATAGTGGGAGCTCTATCAATGATTCCTACAAGAAGAAAGGGAGGAGGAATGCATTCCATGAACACCTCCAGAAAATCTTTAGTTAACACCAATCAAAAAATGATGAAGGACATTTGTTGTAAGAAGGCTCCAGAAAGTACTAGTACTGCTAGGTGGTAGTTTCTGTAGTGGAACTTTATGAAGCAGAGTCATTGATACAAGTCAACATAATTCTCAAACTTTGACATTGAAAGTTCAAAAAGGTGAGCAGGGAACAAGCCGATTCCTGCCCTTTATGTGTATAGGTATGTCATGTTCTCACTTTATTTTAATCATCACACATCTACAACTGCATACTGCCAAAAAGAACACCAGCATACCTGAAAGAATCATCATTGGTTTCTTTTCTGTCAAAGGCAATTTTGGTAATAACCATTTGCAACAAAGAATTTCAATTAAAAGAACAAAACAATCAACAATGTGCAAGATCTCCTAAATCCAATTACTTCATTGTAACCTGGTATCTACTACTAGTACCTGTATAACCAGTAGTACTACTAGTAGTAGTGTACTACTAGTGGTAGTAGACAATCTGAAATACAAGAACTAATTTTAAGAAGAAAAACTGAATTGAGTCACAGATACATTATCAGCAGCAAATGAAACACTTCAAGTACTATTGCTTTTTTTTAGTAATTTAGCACAAATTTCAGTCTATAGGTACACTACTAGTAGTACTAGTAGTACTTTGAAGTTATGTAAGTCACTTGATTAACAATAGAGTAAGATGCCACATAAATAAATTGAGCAGTTGAAGAGGTTGATTCAGGTAAGAGGAATATGAATTATAAATTAATTGAGTAGRTTGTACTAGAAGTGTATAACCTAGTGATGCAACTGTTTCATTTAGTAAGTTTAAGAATAGATAATCAAGATGTGAAAGTCAGCTTTCAGAAAATCTTCCTGGGCTTCTTTAAGTACTTTGTACTAGTGATCGGCAACCTCTTAGATATCAATCGGTTCTCCTTGCTGAATAAAAATCTAAACGCCGCTAAATACAACCTATTGGCTGTTTGTATCACTCAAGTCCTCTGGAGCAATATTTTTGTAAATGATGGAATCGATCGAAAGTGGACCCGCCCCGTTGAACCAAAACACCAGGAAAATTAGAGCATACAGAAGAGGTTCTTCGAAATCATAAGAATAATTGGAGACGTGTCCAAGTGGAAAGCCCTGTGCTCCAACTGCAGATAAGTGGAAGTAGACAGCAGACATCATCGTGACCAATAGGGACAATGCGGCTGGTCGAGTCAAGAATCCAAGAGCGAAGAAGATTCCTCCAAAAAATTCAGCGTAATCGTGCAGTGCCGCCCACAATTCCAAAGGTCCTGGTAAAAATCCAAAGTGAGGAGCCATGACATAATCCACAAATCCCTGAAACTCAGCGGTTCCGAAATTGGCGGGACCAATGCCACCTATCATAAATTATTCAGTTATTGGGTTGTCGCATCACAAAAAAGATGTGAGAAAGGTGGGTTTTGCTCCGGCATTTTTTCCATATGGATGCAGACATTCGAATTGTCGTGGAGGAAACAACACGAACTCCGTGAAACAAGAAATAAAGCGAAGCAAAAGTGAGCAACRAAACGTACCTTCAGAACCATGATGGATCATAAGCATTCCGGTCAAAATTCGCAGGGGGACGAGAGGCACGGAATGAATTCCATTCCAATTTGTCACGGTCTTGAACAGCTTGGGACCAGTGATTCGATCCCATGTCGTCTCTTTCTTTGCTTCGGGATCCGCAGCCATCGAGAGCTGAGACGATAGCGATGGGMCTCCACGATGACCAATCGAAGCAGGAGCGGTCGTCAGCGGTCGTTGCACAAGATTTTGGAAGGCATTCACGTTCGCAGGCGAAAGGAATAAAGCCTGGGCAACGACAAGCAAGTAGCAAAATCGCATCATTCTCGATTCTAGTTTGTCGTCAAGCTTTCGATCGAAGTGTTCGTTCTGTATTAGTTATTGTATTCTTCTTGATTGTTGCCTCGTAGCCTTGAAAGAAAAGATACAAAATGCAATTTGCAGCCGATGCACATGCACATTCACATGCATTCAGCGTGTCTGACGACTAGTACTGACGACAGAGCAAAACCCTGAAGTAAAAATCAAATAGTATTGGGGGAATTTTTTGTACCGTTGTTTATTGGGGATCCATCCAATCTCTCCCTCAAAGGATGAAACTGCATCAAATTTTTCCATGATTCTAGAACAACCGCGCGAGTACCACGCGAATCGAGCGCTCGAAGTAGATGGTGATTGGATTACAGCGAGGATGGGTCCCTGAGCGTTTTAGGTGTTGCTCAAGTTGTCGTTGTTGTTGCTTTGGCTTGATGCTACGAGATTTCGTACCATATTTAACAGGAAGTACGGTAGGGTTGCCAGCATCAATTGTGTTCGTGCAATCAACTACATTAGCGTTGGAGGGCTCGAMCAGAAGAAGGACAAGAGAAACTGTATTCATAGTTCGAAAATGACCTCCATGGCCGCCAGAATTGCCGTCGCGGCATCGGGAGCTGCCAGACGAATTGGGTGAGTTTGAAGTTCGCTTTTATTTTGGGCACTTCGTTCAGCAATCGGCAACAGTTTCGCATGCCGATACTCTTGCATAATGAATAACAATGAGTCTATGCCAGCTTGCGATAAAATCCATTGTACCTAAATTTGAGATGATGCTCAAGTTCTAATCCCATCACTACTTTTGTTCCGATTTCGATCTCGTTTCTACTCTTGTTTCACACTTGGACACATCGCGTGCTCTCAAATCTGTATTATCTTGAATAATTAGAGCCACTCTTGACACTATGGGTGCTAACATGGAAGTGGCAAAATATACGGAGCGATTGGTCCCTTCGAGTCGGATCGTTTCCGTTGATGGTGTCGCCCCTGCTCTACCGGGAGCAAACAACTTTATTGCTCCTTCGGCATCTGTTATTGGCAACGTTACCATCGGTGAACACTCAAGGCAAGTTAGATATTTTGATAGGATGCGATGCAATTGTCATGATTATTTGCTCTAACTGCTGTGAAAATGAATATCAATTTTTCTAATGAAAATAACAATTGCTCTTCGTTTTTACGATGTCTTTTCGTGTATGAATTTATGGATATTTTAGCGTATGGTATGGAGCCACCGTCCGAGGAGACGTCAACAACGTCAAAATTGGAACGAAAACAAGCATAGGCGATCGAGCGGTTGTGCATGTTGCAAAAATCCAGGGAGATCACCCCACCGTGATCGGCGACAATGTCACGATTGGCGCCGGAGCAATCGTTCACGCTTGCACCATCGAAGATTTGGTTGTGGTTGGTGAATCCGCCCAGGTCATGGACGGTGCCACTGTTGGTACCAATTCCGTCGTAGCTGCGGCCTCAATTGTCACTGCCGGAACAAAGATTCCCAGCGGCGAATTATGGTCTGGAGCTCCGGCAAAAAAAGAACGTGCGTTGACGTCCGAAGAGATTGCGGAGATCTCGGAATCGGCACACGACACTCTCGAGTTGGCATACCTACACGCTGTAGAGAACTCGAAGGATTACAAACAGTTAGTGGAAGAAGAAGAAGATAGACTGGACAGAAAGCTGCGCAAGAATGCCTGGTTCGATCCTAATATTCCAGATCCCGATGATGTTCTTGGACAAGGTGTACCTGGACGAATCTTCAACTCGACTTTGACAAATCCAGAGGAAGGGTTAAAAATGCATGCCGAACGAAAGGCGAAGTCCTGAACAAGCTATAAAGAAAAAGTAGGAGAGACCGCCAAATATTTTATTGGAATAAAATCGGCGGAAAGTAGCGAAGTATGTTTTCAATATCAGCCGTGTCCGATACCTTGTAGCTCTACTATTAGCATCTTTGGGAAGAGAAGGCATCTGTTCTTTCGAAGAAAAATTTGTTGGACAAATCGAATAACCGCACAAAACCCTTTGAGAAATGATTTTTCTACTTGACTCGGTTTCAATTAAAGGTCCTCCAAAAACAGAAAGGACCGACTGATTACTCGATATCTTGAATTAGTTGTAGGCATTTTACTGCATTGTACTCTACCTACAAAACTTCTAGTACGGTGATTCCCAATTCAAGCTTGGATTATCGTACTCGTACTTTATGATCCAGAACTGGATATATTCTGTCGGAACTCACTTCGCCGTAGGAAAGAAGTACAAAAACTCACTTGAAGACAACGAATGCACCTCATAGACCGCAACAATATTGAGATGACGTTCTATTCCGACTACGATACGATCAAGGAGTTTGTGGTAACAGAAGAAATGTACATCTTGGAGACTAACAGGAAAGAATGAATCATCATAATGCTGTATTTGGTCTTGCGTTTTTATTGTTTCTTCATAGTATCAAATGATTTCGTTCTGCTACTACTAGAGATCCAACTGAGCAACCAATCGATATTGAAGCGATCTAATGATTGTTTTTATATCTCTGTCGCTATTTTTCCTTTTTTTTCGTTTTCAAAAATTGTGTAATTTTTTAACGGTCGAGTATAGTGCCTGCTACGGCCGTCATATTTTGTCCCATGGTTGTGATATGTCATTTGTTGATTAGCGTTTGTATTGAGCGCGGTATTCCTCCCGTGCCTTACGCTCCATCTCTGGATCGACTCGACCACTTTGAGGGTCAGTTCCAAGGGGTCTTCGGAAAAGAAGAATATGGGGTTCGGGGCTAAGAAAATTACAGAATTAAACAACACAAAATGAAGGAGAATTCACTTGTTAGGAAGAGTAATAACTGATTTTGCATTGGTACTTTCTCATCGTTCGATTCGTTCCGAAAATTCTCTACTTGACTCACCGGTGGATGGCATAGTGTTGCCAACCTCGACTTTGTTGAACACCAATTCCTCGCCATTCCGACTCGGTCAGGAGACGACTCTTGGGGAGTGTCTTTGCGAGTTCCTTCGGAAGAATGACGTGACTGTCGAGAGAAGATGTTGTTGGGGATTCGATCAGAGACGGAGGATTGTTAGGACTATAGTTCACTACGACAAAGAAAGAGGTGAAAGTCTTACGATACAGTTATGTAGCCTGCAGTAGAAATTCAACGAGACTTCCAAATATTCGACAAAAGAACTATCGTGTGCTGATCGATACTCTAAGACTTACCGATATTCATTGATATCGTCCGCATACTTTTCGCTGTATTCAATACGAGATGCACTGCTACTCATGGTGATGTTTGTTTGATTTTGAACGATGAGAACAGAGTGTGCTTTAGAGTGGGATGCAATTCAATGTAGAGGTCGGCGAAATTACGATCGTTAGAAGTCGATTTAAAAGCAATGCTCGTCAAGCTCGGAATTTTTGTCGTAGAAAACGGATCGATTCGAGTCCATGATTTTTTATTTTTAAAAACCGTGTATGCGTATTTTGTATTTTGAATATGGGGACTGCGGGAAATTAATTTAACCTCATTGTTCAGAGCCAGAAGAAGTAGATTAAATTTCACGTAACAAAATTGGTACAGTACGATACAGTATGTCCAAAAATACAGTATGTCCAAAAAACCACTTCTCCATAAAAAATCATTAGTTTTTGTGTCTGAACCGAGTGTTCTTTTATCGAAATTCAATGAACAAGCGATGAAACAGGAACAGAAGTACCAGTAGTACAATACCTGGCATCCACAAAACTTTGTAACCAGCAAACCAGACATTTGCGATTCCTTCAATTCTTGGTATCACCCGAAAGAAACACTAACTTACAATGGGCTTGCTAGCAGAAATCGTCTCGTTCATCCGGCCGGCGTTTATCCTGATTTTTGCGATGATGTTGTTCAACCTCCCCACGTTGATCTACAAGATCGGGATGTATCTTCGGGGCTTGCTTTATTTGCTCTTTTGTAATGATAAATCCTGGAGGAAACCCCAATGCCCTAGCATTACTTTTGATCCCATCTTGGAGGCAGAAAAAGAGGGGACTCTCGTTGCTGAGGTTGTTGAACGAAAAACGATTTACTTTGTGAGACATGGAGAATCTACGTGGAACGATACTTTCAACAAGGGAAGTCACCGATCACAAGCTGCCTTTGCCATCGGCTTTATTCCTGGTTTGATCAAATCGGTTGTTTTCGAGCTTTATTTGATCCTTTTGGGGAAGATGGATAGGTGAGTTTCCCGAAGTGTAATGAAATTTAGGGTTCGAAAGAATTCATTCGTCTCGGCTCAATTTTTTTTTCATATGAATCATAATTGTGCGTTGAAATGGGAAAACAATGAAGCTGGTTCTACGATTCTCCGACTTCAGTTCTTGGACTAAATCAAGTTGATGAACTATCGAAATTTTTCGAATCAGCCAGAGATCTAGACGAAAGCGATCCAGTAGCAAAACACGTAGCGGTTCTAATGGCAAAGAAGGATGCTCCACCTTCCAAATTGGTGTCCTCGAGTCTAAGACGTGCTGTAACAACTGTAGCGGGTGGTTTCAAAGATAGACTTGCTCGTAGACCTCAAGAAAAGATTCTAATCCTGCCATCCTTGCAAGAAATCAGTCGCAATCCCGATACCTTGTCGATCACACCTGCTCAGACACAGATCCAGGCATCGTGGATAGACAAGGGATCGAAACTATGCGACTTTCAGTCTACCTTTATGAATCAGGTTGACATGAGCCTGCACATGGGCAACAAACCGGTCGGGACCAACGGCTTGAAGCGCATGCGGAAATTTTGCGATGTTATTTTCTCCTCGTCCGTCACGGAAGAGAATGTCATCGTTGGTGGTCATTCCATCTGGTTCCGATCGTTCTTTCGAACTTTTTTGCCCTTCGAGGAGAACCATGTTGGCAAGAAAAAGAAAGTTGTCAATTGCGGTGTAATTGCGTTTACATTGATGAAAGTCGTGCGAGAGTCGGGACGATCTACGTACATGATTGATCCAAAAAGCGTAGATGTCGTGTATGGAGGCTTCCACTAGGCGCTGTAGAACCATAAATATTAGGCACTTTCATATAAGTTGGAATATGTAGCGTGGTGGTTAACTTTATAAAATTGAATTATCAAAAACTCGTTGTGGCGATGACCACGGTTGTGCACATATTGGACCCGGTTTTCTTTGAGTCGAAATGTGGCAACGGCTGAATGCCTCACAACCCTTCACTTCAAAGAAACCATTAACAGATGAACAGTATTTTCTAATTAGCATGAAGAAAGCTTTCCACACTCTGATGTTTGCGAAATACCTGACCGTGGTGCAAACTGAAATCATCGCATAATTAAAAACATCCACACCTTTTGACCAAAGGGTTTGTTTGTCTTGTAAATTCTATTTGATCCAAAGCATGGTACGAATACAATTCTGCTCGCGTCTTGAATATCTGACATGTGTCTATCGTTAGTATTCCTTTTTGAACTTGGTTTCACTGTTTTCTTCTACCCATCGCCCAGAATGCGAATCACTGATACCACCATTTTGGTGAAACATTGTATCCATGAGACTCTTTCTACGAGCCAAACGCATCTCGCGTAACCGTTGTGGATCCACCTGTGCTGGTGATTCGCTGCCAACGTCATGTGCACCTTCTTCACTAGATCTCTCTTCGACCCAGTGTCCGGAATGCGAATCACTAATACCACCTTTTTGGTGATGTAATGTTTCCATAAGACTCTTCCGTCGCGCGTAACGCATTTCTCGCAACCGCTTTGGATCCACCAATCCCGATGATGCATTGTGATTTGCTCTTTCGTCATTTGTACTTGATGGGTCTCCCTTCCAACCGTCGTATATCGGATGAAGCAAGTGCACCAATTCTTTCCCGGTGGTGGACGCCATGAAGAATTGGCCAAAGGCGAACGAGGATAGCACAACCAACATTCCCGTGTTACGATTCAGTGACTTCCCTTTAATAAATCCTAGCTTCCGTGCCCATTGAGCACCAGTGTATGTTACTAAACSACCACAAAGCCCAAGACCTTCCGAATGAATGTAGTTACCAGAACAAAACGAGATACAGAAGATGATTTCAACATTTTATCAAAGGAGAGGGAAAACAAATCAGCGAAGTGAGCGCATTGTGAGTAGACCTATTTTCTAAGTCGATATGACCACCCTTTATTCCATCACCCTCCTACTCCCTATACGAGATTTGAATTTCTTTTGCTTACCACCTCCTATGATCCCTTGGTAATAAATATCTCTTCGTACATTCCGCAAAGTTTGGACATCTTCTGCCGAAAATGTCGTAGCTGGATTAAGACCTCGTGTCATGATTGCTTTCGTATTTTCGCTACGAAATATTTATACACCACGAACCAGTTTGTTCAGAAAGAGGAACTCGTCGGTATGGTAATGACTGTGACGGACGTTCTAGCTTCGTTTTTCACGATATTTCGATAATTCGTCGGGATCTACCCTTTTGATTCTATTTCTTTCAAGTTTTTCATACGTCTCCGACCACTACAACAGGGTGGAGAAGCAATATGCTACGTTAGATTGATAGCAATAGTTGTATCCGGATGTGTGCTCTATTGTACTAGTGAGGACCCATCTTCCTAGTCAAGAATCCCTTTATGGTCTATTTTGGGTTCTGAATCTTTTGCGATAGTGACAAGTTGAGAATTTGTATCGTGAATCAGCGGAGAACGAGTACGAGTACCGTGGTACAGAACGACAAAAGGGAGAGCCCAGAGATTGGTTTTGGGGGATATGCACCCAGGGGTCATCTGAATTTTGACCCCTGTATGCACCCCTCATACCACACATAATTTTCAGATTCAGATTAGCTCGCTAATGCAAATACTGTACTAGTTTCTATGGTGCAAAAACTAAGTTAGTGCTAGTAAGATTGAAAGTACTACTGCTCTGAAAAGTATGTACAAGCTTATCATTGTTGAAAGCGGCATTGTGGCTGTTTGTTCTTTCTGAAATAGTAGGAATGAAATTCATCATCAATTTGTTGTTCTTGCTGGTGTGTAAGTTGTGTACTAGTAGTACTATTGTTGTTGGTAGTGGTGTCTTTTGTAAGGAGAAGATGTGTCCTTGCAAACAGACCACACCAACAAGTCCTGAGCAACTCTTGAAAGAAAGCACAGCAACATAAGAAAACCAATTGCTTGTTGTGTAAGACCAAGTTGAAACCAACACATTTTCCAAAGATCTTTCCTGTAATTTTAAACAGTTCTTGCATTGGTAATAGTATTAATTTGGAACTGAGTTCAATGTGTTCCTTGTTTTTGACTTGTTTGAGTTTGATGGGTACTTTTTGATTCATGTTCTTCTTGTGGACAACAACATTGCTTCCATATGTTGATGCGTAGGCAATATCTTTTGGGAGTTTGTCCCAAGGTTTTACAATTCTTGAATTGATAATTTGAGCTTGCTCCTCTTCATTCAAGCCATTTGTTCTTAAATCATCAAGAAAGCTCCCCTAGTAGATTGCATCATATTTAAACCTGTGGTTTGTTGCTTCAAGGTCAAGAAATGTGCTATTTTTTCTCTCCAAAGATGGAAATCTTTTGTTGACAAAAGGGAGTCTTCTTGTCCTCTTCCCACTGGGCTGAGTAAAATGAATTAGTAGTACTTTTGATTTTCTAGTTCCACCACCACCAGTCCCTGATAGAAAACAGATAAACTGCTATTTATTGTTCATTTTTGCCTTGAGATCTTGGATGTAGTACTTGTTGCAGCAATTACCAATTGTCCTTTGGAGTCCCTACTTTTTTTATCAATCAGACAAATGTACACATTTTGAATTGTCAAAGTAAAAGCAGCAACAATCTAGCGACCCATTTTCCTGTTACCTATCATGTTGAAAACTCAACTTTGAAAAGTAGTAAAAAAATATCTTAAAATTATGTTTAACCTCATGAACTAGAAGAGGCACTATGTTGGCCATAACCAGAGCTTCTTGGGGGGAAGAATGCTCCTAGCTGCTCTGAGGGGCAACAACTCCCTCCAAGGAGATGTGATGGAGGCACAACCACTAAGGTGGATGGGCTGGTTGGTTGATTAGTAAAAAATTGTGTCATAGTGATTTGGATGGGGTTCAATTGTTGTTAACAGTAGGGGTCAGAGAAGGCTCTGGTAAACTAGGCAGTTTGTGTGGTCTCTTCTTCTTGGAGTATGCAACTTTGCATAGCAGTAGCATCTAATATTTTCCACACTTCTATTACATGGTGTATTTTTGACAGCATCCAAATTATTTTTCTCTCCTTGGATGATAACATCAAAACTTTTATGCAGCATTTAATACAAAACACTTATTGGTAGCTTGTTTGTTGTCATATTTTGGGTTGGGTTTTGTCTACTATCGTCATATGCATAGGAACCAGTGACACCCAAGAGTTATAAAATGCAATTGCACTTGAATCTGGTGCTGGTACTTTGGGTGCTTTAAGAAGCACTGTTCTTCAGCATTTTTTGGAACCTAGATGTGTGGCAAGTGAAGTGGCAATTTGCAGTTTAATACTATATTGTCTGTCTATAAACTGAATTCTGTTTCTGGTAGTAACAGAGAGGAAAGTATGATGGTGCTCTTGAATATTGGAGTAACTGATTGTTGTGATAATGACTGAATGTTTTAGTTAAAAATGAATCATCTGTTTTGTGTCAAGGGACTAAATTATCTGTAATTTTGGGGTATTGAGGCCTACATGGATTATAAAAAAAGAAGTTTTTTTGTTTCTACCAGAAGTCCAGAGCAGTGAGAATTCTTCAAGGCCAGTGGTTACTGTGCACAAATGATAGTTGTAACACTGTTCTTTTTTTGTTTTCCTGAAACCATAACCAATTTTTCACGGAAGTAATATGATCAAAATATCATGTAGCCACACATGTGTGCCAGAGGTCATGCACACCACCCTAAAAAATCTCAACGTGAATGACCACAACACAACACAAACCAAACACAGCAACAAGAAATGCACCCCTCCCCCCCCACCACTACCAGTTCAATTGGAACTAAGATCATCAATCAATCAATTTCTCACTTTGAATAATTATTCATCACCTTATCCCTCATATCTCCTGCAAGTTCAAGATCGAGTGTGTTAGTACTGGGGTTCCTCATAGAGGAATTTTTTTCAATTCTGAGCTGGTGCGTGCTCTCTGCCATTTGATTATTTTTCCACCAAGCAGTCCACTACCTACCACTTCTGCAAAAAGTTTGTTCAGAAACAGCTTTCTTTCACAAATTTACTACCTCAACCCTACTAGTAGTACCATGACAACAGCACCCTCTACTACTACAAGTGGCACCACTACCAATCTATCTGCTGTGTATGACAATTGTATGTCAGAAGGCAAGTCCTGTTGGGAGTGTGACATGATATTGAATGTTGTTAAACCTAATCAGGTTGATCCTGTTCTAGTCAACCTGTCAAAACTTTTCAATAGAAGAGAGTCTTACACGTTCCCAACTCACCTATGACCTGGACAATTGATCAATGTTGTTTGTTACACTAAAGATAGTGAGCATAAAGACTGGTTTCTTCTTACTTGTAACAAAGAGTTTACTAAAAAGTCAGAAGAGATTGAGATTGGCAATCCATGGGACTTTTGGAGCATAAATCTTGTTTGTGCTGTCAACACAACATACCACATATTAAGATGGCAAAAGGTGTTAAAATCTCAGATAAACAAGCACAATGTGACACCTATGCCCTGATGAAATGTGCAACTTTGCAATAATATGATTGAGTAGGAATGTTCCTTCAGATAGTACTTACTCTGGTCAATGGATATTGGCACCAACTCAAGGCAATTCAGATTGTCTGTATCCATGCTGTGTAGGTCTGCCAATGCTATATTTGGTAGATCTACCATTACTACATTTTGTAGTGCTTTGTACAAGTTCCACTACTACATTTAAATGATGTTGTCCCTTTTGGCAAGATGAACAGATTGACAATATGAGGTCCAGAATACAAATTTGGCAACTACTATGAGGTTCAGAATTCAGAATAGGMATTTTTGGCCAATACAAGGTTCAGAATAAGCATTTGGGGGACACCAATAGTTGGACATCCAGAATACAGATCTGGCAAATCCCACAGTAACGGGTTTAGAATACAGATTGGCCGGATAACAAGATGCAAAACTTGGCAGAAACATTTATATTTATTGGATGCTACCAGAATAATTTTATGGAGATACTAGTAACTACTTCAATAATATATTCATTCACACTGATCACAACTTGTCTATCATGGTCTTCCTCTTCCTAATTCTGGTGCTGAAGAGTTGGAGGGGCAGCATCACAAGTCCTTGTCAGTGCCCACACTAGAAATTTGTTCATACACTTTTTTCCTTTTTTGCAGAAGAACCCTTTCTCAAGGTTGGTTACTTGTTCAAGGCAGGAATGACCTGCTCATCCTCAATGTCTGACCCACTGTCCTTCTCTTGTTGGGCTGGTTTGTATCTTGTAGTCTTCTTTCTTTGGTTTTTCTTCCTGATAGCTTGAGTAGTTGCCTGCTCACAGTTGGTTCAACCTCACACTCACTAACCCGCAAGGTGTCATCTGCAGCAGATTTCCTCTCTACCCTTGTTTTCTTTCTCCGGAATGGGCAGTCACGTTTTGCCAGGCCAACATGCTTTAGAATAGTTGTGTGAAACTTGATATGATTTCACCACAATGGCAACAGAAAAAGTTGTATTTCACTCCTCCCTGTCACCTTATTTACTCTGCTTACCAGGGCATCGATTGAGAAAATGTAAGATACAAACACCATGTCTTGTTGTTGCAGAAAGAATCTTTCCATGCATGAATCTTGTTGCTAGTTTCTTCCATCAATATGCATGCACATGGTCCTTGAATTGCTTGCATTTCTTGCAGCCTTCCTCTCAGCTTTTTCCATGGCAGTCAGCAAATCCATCCTGTTGGTGATGAATGCCACAGGAGATATTGCATTGTGAAGTTTGTTGTTTCATAGTGGATGCGCTGCTGTTTGGGGCTCAAAGAAAATATTTCTTTGCCAAATGTCTTGATTTCTTCCACAACTACTAAATGTYTTGTTGTCTTCCTCTCCAGGATGTTTGGATATGCTGTTGAATTTTTGAAAATTCAAAATAATTAGTGAAATTTTTGTTGTCAAATTTCATGCAAAATAATGAGAAAGATGTGCAAACCACATCACATCATGTGTTGCTACAGAAAATTGTGCTGTGCGTGTTGCTGGACTGACTCCAAGGGGTGAGCATAAGGGGTGAGCAAAAGGGGTGAACATAATGGGTGAACATAATGGGTGAACATAATGGGTGAACATAAAGGGGCAAACATAATGGGTGAACATAATGGGTGAACATAATGGATGAACATAAGGTGTGAACATAAGGTGTGAACACAAGGGGTGAACACAAGGTGTGAACACAAGGGGTGGCCATGAGGGGTGACTGCAAAGAGTGACCACAAGGAGTGACTGCAATACTGCAGACAAAAATGCTCAAGAGATTTTTTTAATGAAATACCCTTGACATATTCTCAATGAGGGGTACATTACTAAGTGTCCAAAATTTTTGATTTTATTAGCCTGACAAACAGCACAGTTTATTAAAAAAACAAAAATTCTGACTTTAGCAGCCCAATGAATAAAAATG